GTACTTGATTCGTTCTGGAGGTCCGTACTTAACCTGAAACTGTTCTTAACCTGAAGCACCACTTTAGCTTATGGGGCCTCCTGCTGCTGCCACACCGTCGGAGCACGATTTCTGTTCTCATGCTGAAGCAAAGTTCTGAACCCGAGGTAATATTTCTGGGTTAGCGGAGTCTGTAACCTGAAGTGTATGTAACCCGAGGTACCACTGTATTCACATTTCTATAAAGAATGTTGCACTGTTAGAGTAGCCGTGTTTAAGCACCTGCTCTTCAGTCTGGTGACAAATCAGCCAAACTGCACAACTTCCAAAGTACAGGTAGTGGTTAGTGGCCTGGGTTTTTTGGCCACCAAGAATGGGTGGTCGGCTATTGTGATCTGTGGACTTGTGGTCTCCAGCTGCTCTAAGATACCCTTTCTTTGCAGAGAAGTAAGACCTCTCTCAAGCCAACAGTTTTGCTGAACAGTTGCAAAGGTGAAGGGGAGAAGGGTCATAGGTCAGTGGGGGAGTGGCACTGGAGGTCCCAGGAACAGTGGGAGAGTGCTATGGCTATGAACTTCTTCTGGGCTTCCAAAATACGTCTGTTTTGCCACCATAGAAAATAGGATGCTGGCTGGAAGATATGCCTTGACAGGCTTCCAGATCTTATGATCGCTTATGTTTCAGGAGCAGGTCTGAGAATTGAAAAGTAACTCTGAAAGTGGCGTCGAATTTGCATGGGGGGATGTGCAAGCCAGATCTTCTCATCAGCTTTTGTCCATTAAACTGGATTTCTAAAAATTAAAACCAGGGTGGACAAAAATCAATGGTTTTTAAAAATAAATAAATAAAAATCAGATTTTTTAAATTTAAATTGGATTTTTAAAATAAAATGCTTTTGGGGAAAAAATCTATCTAAAGACAGTATTCTATTTATGTTACATTGTAGTCCAAAGGCTATTCATCAGGAAATAAGGATTTGTTTTAAGTTTTTCAGGTGTGCTAAAACTCAGTCTCCTGGTTTGTTTGTGTTTTTTTTTAAAAAAATTAACCAGTTAACAAACATAGATACATATGCTATAATGTTATTGTTTTAGTTAAACAAATTGTTTAAATTGTTATTAAGGAAATGATTATTTTTCTCCTTCCAATAAAGTACAGCGGAAAAGTTGTCCAAATATAAACAGTTAACTTATTAAACCTCACAATAATTTCATAATTATTTGTATATGTATTTCTAATAGTATAACTAAGTCAGTAATTTTTGCTATAACTGTAAAAACTACTCTGAAAATTGTATTACAGCGGGACCTCGGTTTAAGAACAGTCCTGTTTACGAGCGATTCGGTTTACAAACTCTGGAAAACCAGAAGTAGTGTCCCGGTTTGCAAACTTTACCTCAGTCTAAGAACGGAATCCAAACGGTGGAAGGGCACCGGCGGCAGGAGGCCTCAGTAGGGAAAGTGTGCTTCGGTTTAAGAACGGTTTCGGATTAAGAACGGACTTCCAGAACAGATTAAGTTCGGAAACGGAGGTACCACTGTACTCCAAAAATGAAACCTTCATCTGGTTGTAAATATTAAAATTATACCAGCAAGAATGAGTCTTTCTGTAAAAAAAAAAAAAGATTTAAATCAAGTCTTACTGACTACTGATTTAAATCAAATCCACCCTGATTAAAACCAGTCCAGCATAAGCTGTGGTTCAAAAAGTCAGATGGACAGGGCAATAACATTGGATTTGGTGAAAGTGGACATACTTTGCCTATTATAACGTAGTGGGCCAAGCTCCAAAGCACGGTGGGTTCCAGTTGGTCCACACTGGCCAGAAGCTCTCCATCCCTGGATATCTACACTTGTGGTGAAAATTTCCTTTTAAAAAACCAACCAAATGTTTGCAAGACATCATCTTCTGCTATTTTCTCAAGCATGAGCTCTGTAGTAAGACATTTATTACAGAAGGAAGATCTTCAGACCAGGCTCTGGTCCCAGATCATATTCCTCTGTGGGTGTTTAGTGGTGGTAGTTCAAAGAAATGTTTTTCAAAAACTGCTTTTTCCACCACTGTGTGGGAACCTGTTTTTATGTGTGTGTGTGTTTGTTAATGCATGAACTTCCTGTTGAACATTTTCCATAAAATACCGTATTGATATAAATGATTCCATTCCTGCACATAATTTTGAAGACAGTGAATGTGCTTTTTGGGCAACATGTTTGTGACGGTGAACCCACCTTTAACTTGTTTTTGCCTTCAGTGCTTAAAATAGCACCTCCATTTTAAACAAACAAACAAAAACCCCACCTCTGGTTTTTGCTTGCTGTTCCTCATAAATCTGTTCTGTTGACTACTATTGTGGGATATTTCAAAACCTAATTAATATTTGCAAAGCAAGCTGATGTAGACTTTGCTTGGCTGGCTTCTGGCTACTATTTAGGAAAGATTCTGCTTTCTGAGAGTTCTGCTTTGTGTCACCCTTGCCTAGATGTTGACTGGGACCCCAGCAGAAAACCCAACGAATATATTTCATTATTGAGTGAAGAGTAAACATTTGGGAAAGCTAGTGAAGAAATTTGTAACGTCATTAGAGGAACAGGGTATAAGAGAGGGCCTTCACCTCATAGGAATTTGCTTTTAAGGGAGAGGTGGGTGAATGGGTGGTCACACAGCTAAGGTAAGAATGAAGTCAACTGTGATCTGGACAGGGAGGTTGAAGCCAGTGTGATGTACAGTGGTACCTCGGGTTAAGAACTTAATTCGTTCTGGAAGTCTGTTCTTAACCTGAAAATGTTCTTAACCTGAAGACCACTTTAGCCAATGGGGCCTCCTGCTGCCGCTGTGCCGCCGTGGCTGCATGATTTCTGTTCTCATCCTGAAGCAAAGTTCTTAACCCGAGGTAATATTTCTGGGTTAGCAGAGTCTGTAACCTGAAGCGTATGTAACCCGAGGTACCACTGTAGTGGTTAGAAACTTGGACTAGGACTGAGGAGACCCGAGTTCAAATCCCTACTCTGCCATGAGTGTCATGGAGTGACCTTAGACCATGAGTAGGCAAGCTAAGGCCCGGGGGGCTGAATCCGGCCCAATTGCCTTCTAAATCTGGCCCACGAACGGTCCGGGAATAAGCTGTTTTTACATGAATAGAAAGTGTCCTTTTATTTAAAATGCATCTCTGGGGCATTTGTGGGGTCTGCCTGGTGTTTTTACATGAGTAGAATGTGTGCTTTTATTTAAAATGCATCTTTGGGTTATTTGTGGGCCATAGGAATTCATTCATTCCCCCCCCCCCAAAAAAAAAATATAGTCCGGGCCCCCAGGAGGTCTGAGGGACAGTGAACCAGCCCCTTGCTGAAAAAGTTTGCTGACACCTGCCTTAGACAGTCATTCTCTCTTCCCAACCTTACTTTACAAAGTGGTTGTAGTGACTCATTCTGGAGGGGAGGACACCATCTTGCACTGTCCAGGGGCAGGATAGAAATGGAGTGAGTGGGAATGGATAAATGTCTCTTGCCAGGGGAATACTGTGCAGGTGCTGTTAGTCTGCATGCATATGCCATTATAACTGCATGGAAAGAACAGAGTTGCTATCTTTGTGGGTGTGGGGCTTTGGGGGGGAATGCATTTTTGTGCATATTACTAGGCCTGGGAGCTGCATTGCAAAATTCAGAGAAGAATGAACTTCAAAGGTGATAGCTCTGTTTTGGTTCTTGGATTGCTTTGGAAAGTGCAAAGTGGATATTGCAAACTGCTTCCCTTCAAATGCAGATTGAATCTAATTTCTCTCTACCCCTAGCTGAGAGTGAGTACATAATACATCTTAAACAGGATGAAAAGTGCTGATTCCTTTCAGCTCACTAGGGTGGGGTGAAGGGAAGGAATTGTTCTCCTCCCCTCATACTGGTGGGCATTAAATAAATCAGACTCTGTACTTCCAAAAAAAACTCCAGTTGTCTTGTCATATTCCGATGCTGTACAAAGTTTCAGATTAGCTTGATGCACAATGACCTAATGATTTTAACTTTTAATGTAGTAAATCCATTGCAAAAGCCCTTTTCAGCCATTCTCTGCGTTTTAATTGAATGTTGTACAGTACTGAAGAAGAAATGCTGTGTCCACAGCAGCAATTTCTGCTTTGACTCTGCATGTGTTTCTTGAGAAAGACCCGAACCTGAGCCCTTGAGGTGCAACCTTGCAATAAACATCTGAGATAAACATCTGCCCTCCTCCAGTCTTTCCCCTCCATAATGGAGTGACTTTTTTTTTTTTTTTTGTAATTTCAGGGAGTTTACAAAATCTCCTTTCTGTTGATGGTGTAAACACCCGGGATCTCCACATGGGGGAGCATCTATAAGAAAAACTAACTTGAGGGAATTTGCAGTATAATTCCATAATGTTGGCTATTACTTAAAGGGGGAAAAAAGAGTTTGTATGGTCTTCCTTTCTGTATATAAGGTGGCACAGAGATGAGGCATCTCATTCTTGCACTTGCAGGTATATGTGAATGTCCAACTTGGCTGTGTTTGTGGGTGCATTTGACTCCTTCATGGATAAGTGTGCTCTCCTGATGTACGTCATTCCTCTTCAGAGAGCTTTTGCAGAAATCAAATCTTTACAGGATCAGGCTGTAGCCCAAATAGGGTCCAACCCCATACAGAGATAGGAAGCCTGCGAGGCATGAGTTAAATAAAGCCACACTGCCACAGGTGGATTTGGGGAGGGGGGAGCTCAGTGATGGTGGCTGATGGGACCAATCAGGTGTAAGGCACCAAGGTGAGCAGTGGGTAGAGCCAATGACTGGTGGAGCCAACTAATTCTGGTTTCGCCCCCACCCACCTAGAATCATAGCGTTTGAAGGGACACCGAGAGTCATTATAATAATAATTTATTTATACCCCACCCATCTGGCTGGGTTTCCCCAGTTACTCTGGGTGGCTTCCAACAAAATATTAAAATACAATAGTCTGTTAAACATTAAAAGCTTCCCTAAACAGGGCTGCCTTCAGATGTCTTCTAAATGCAGGAATCTTTTGCCCAATGTGGGGCTCAAACACACGACCCCGAGATCAAAAGTCTCATGCTCTGCTGACTGAGCTACCGCAGCAGAGTGGGGAGGAGGCTGACAGGTTGTAAATAAGAAGGCAGGCAAGTGAGAACAGACTGCGATTGATGGGGGCAGCGCCCCATTCACCTGAACGAACCAGCCTCCACTGATGGGGTATGTGTGTGTTGCTGTCAGCGCACTCTGAGTTGCCTCTTACTTTGAGCTGACCCTGTATTGCACACCTGGACTTCTTTAGCCTACCTGTAGACATTGGAATCTGGTATTGGAAGGCAATTTGCATGGATAATGTACTCTGTCATTGCATAGCTAATAAGAAATACTTTAAACTGGGGTGGTAGGGAGCTTAGCACCCATATTGCTTTGACACGTGGCAGCAATGGGAACTGGATTTGGGTAAAAGGGATTGAAAATCCTCCTTGATTGCACCTTGCATTTCCAATGTGCAAATGTCTTGGTCTACTAGCCTCCTTTTCCCAGCAGAGACATCTGATTGTGCTTTTGTTCCTGTAAAAGAACCTTGCTCTGAGACCCCTTCTCTCTCTCTCTTTTTCTTTCTGATGTCTCTTTCTAGGGAGTCCACAAGACGTCCCAGGTGACAGAGGGGGTGAAATGAGTTCCAAAAGGTGCCGGACGGAGGAGACCAACATCTGCGAGAAATGCTGTGCAGAGTTCTTTGAGCTTTCCGAATTCCTCGAGCATAAGAAAAATTGCACTAAGACGCCACCTGTCCTAATCATGAACGACGGCGAGGTCACGGTGCCCCTGGAAGACTTCCCTGACAGCTCCTCGGGGAGTTTCCCCAGCAATCAGATGGACGGTCAGACGGCCAAAGGGAGCCCTGCCAAGAGTCACTCTGCTTCTGCGGAGAAGAGAGGAGAGAAGGTCGGTGCTGAACCGGAGGGAGGGATGTATCTCAAAACGGAGCCCCCTGTCGCTCCCGCGGCTCATGAGTTGAGCTATATGCCCAAACCTAAAGTACCAAACACTAACGTGACTTTGCAGTCCATACGTGGCACTAAAGTGGCTGTCAACCAATGTACCTCGGAGACTGTGTCTCCATCCATGGCTGGCCTCAACGCCATCCCCATGATCCTTGAGCAGCTCGTGTGCCTACAGCAGCAGCAGCTCCAACAGATCCAGCTGACGGAGCAGATCCGGATCCAGATTGCCATGATGGCCCCCCACATCCTGCATCCTTCAATAGCTGCTGCCGACCCGCTCAAAGCTTTGGGAGCCCACATGTCCCAACAACTGTCAGCTGCCGTGGCGTTAATCGGACAGAAAGCTGGGAACCAAAGCCTATCCCTGGAATCCTTGAAGCAAGGCAAACTACCTCATTCGAGTGCCGGCATGCCGGCCGCTGTCTCTATGGCCGGCGGGCTCACGCCAGCGGCCATCTCCTTGAAGCCCGACGCAATCAGAGGCCTGTCGGGCGCCATCTCCCGCTTCCCGAACCCTTTGCTACCTCAATCGTCCAGCTCGGTCATCTTCCAAAACCCGCTTTCGGCCATTTCCCCAGCAGCGGTCGACCCCTCGAAGAAGGCGAAAGGGAAGCTGGCCACCCTCAACATGCCCGAAAACAAACCAAGCCTGGAAGAGCCTTCCTCCTTCTTCAAACACAAGTGCAAGTTCTGTGGCAAAGTCTTTGGCAACGACAGCGCCCTGCAGATCCACCTCCGTTCGCATACGGGCGAAAGACCCTACAAGTGCAACATCTGTGGCAATCGCTTTACGACCAAAGGCAACCTTAAAGTGCATTTCCAGAGGCATAAGGACAAATATCCCCAAATCAAAATGAATCCTTACCCTGTACCGGAACACCTGGACAACATGCCCACCAGCAGCGGCATACCCTATGGGATGTCTGTCCCACTGGATGAATCCAACCTTATTGTAGACACCAAGCCCATCTTGACTGCACTGCCTACCTCTGTAGGTGCCAGCTTACCTCCACACGCTTCCAACTTGGCAAGCAGCAAGGATTCTTTTGCCGGTGTGCTTCTGAGTGACATGCAGCCCAGGCCTTCTCCGGAAAGTGAAGGTGGGTCTTCATCGGGTACGGCGAGTCACGAGTCGGGAGTCGAGCAGAACAGGAGTTCCCCGCAGGCCGGCTGCAGTGCAAGTGTGTTTCATGTGGGCAGAGCTGGTGAGCAAGGCTCCGAAACGACAAAGCTTCAGCAGCTGGTGGAGAACATTGACAAATCCGCGTCGGACCCCAACGAGTGCCTGATCTGCCACCGAGTCCTCAGCTGCCAGAGCTCCCTCAAGATGCATTACCGCACTCACACGGGCGAGCGGCCCTTCAAGTGCAAGATCTGTGGCCGCGCCTTCTCTACCAAAGGCAACCTCAAGACGCATTATGGAGTGCACCGCGCAAATACCCCCTTGAAGATGCAGCACTCCTGCCCCATCTGCCAGAAGAAGTTTACCAATGCCGTGGTGCTGCAGCAACACATCCGGATGCACATGGGTGGACAAATCCCCAATAGCCCAGTCCCAGAAAACACGCGGGACAACACTGAGGTGGAGGCTACTGTAGCTGAGAACAACGGAGACCCGTGTTGCCTGGAGGATAATGTGGAAGCCATGGATACAGAAGATCTGGAGTCACGGGATGGCCTAAGCCACTCTTCCAAGCCACTTGCCCCATGTGGTACTCCAGGCGAGCCTACGAGTTCTGTTTTCTCCAGCATTTCAGCCCTGGAAAGCCAAATGAAGATGGTGAACTCCACCTTGTCCTTGCAGCGCCAAAGCAGCCAGAAATGCAGCGATAATGGCTCAGGAGAGAGCGATGGTATGACCAATGACTCTTCCTCAGTAATGGGTGATGCAGACTATCAGAATGGCAGCCGCAGTCCTGTTGCCTCTGATTCAGCTTCTTTCCCAGCATTGTCTCCAGCCAACAGTCAAGCAGAGAGCCCCACATCCAAGTCTCCAGACTTTAACATCCAAGAGGACAGTGCAGCGGGAAGTAAGGCTGAGGGTCCCGAAACCCACACCACGGGTCCTGAAATCCGTCCCGTGGAAAGGGATAGTGCTTTGGATCTAACTTATGGCAGTATTGGTCGAAAGATTATCAAAGAGGAACCTGGGTTGCTCTTCCCAAATGGAGAATATGGTGAGTCACCCTTTCTTTCTTTCTTTCTTTCTTTCTTTCTTTCGTCCCCATTACAGTTACTGTTACATCTATGGGTGTGTGTTTTGGCTTCACAGCTTGCTGACTGTGCCTGGCTAGCAAGTCTCTTGGACCAGGTATGGAGAAGCAGTGGCATTCCAGATGTTGATGGACTACATTTCCCATCAGCCCTGACCACTGGCTGTATTGGCTGGGGCTGATGGGAGTTGGATTTCGACCATGTCTGGTGTGCCAGAGGTTCTCCAACAATGCGCTACAGAAAGGGAGCACCCAGCCTGGGAGACTCCCAGGTTGGAGAAATGCTACAGCTGCTCTCTTTGTGGAATTGGTATTGGTCTTTCTCTGGATCTAAAGCTAAGCAACATGATGGGAGGCTTGAGAACAATCCGATGTCCTCTTGCCATCAGATGAGCAAAGTAGAAGTCAGGTAACCACTGCCTCTGTTTCTTTGCCAGGCTTCTGCTTCCTCACCATCTGTCTGCCCAGTTTGTCCCAAATTCCCAGTGTCTGTAAAGCATCAAACCTAAATGTAATCAAAAAGACATGCACATCTAATGACACAACCCAAGATACTTAAACTAGTTTCCTTGAGACAGGAGCAGTTGGGTGGTTTATTTTCTTTTTCTCCCTTTAAAGAGTGCTAGGGATACATGAAGGTGTCTGATCGAAGAGCCACAGTACTCTCATTGATGGGAGAAAGGAAAAGTTTGGTTTCTTGTTGCTTAAAATGGCTTGATTGTATGGCTAAAGCAATGCCTTAAGAAGTAATGTGAAACTTCTGTGTTGCCTGCCCTACCCCCTCAGGAGGTGCATATTTCATAGAATCGTACATTGTAGAGTTGGAAGGGACCCAAGGGTCATCTAGTCCAACCCCATGCAATGCAGGAATCTCAACTAAAGCATCCATGACAGGAAGCCATCCAACCTCTGCTCACATCCAACCATACACCTTCAGGTGTCTTTCTCTTCGCACGAGTAACCTTTTCAATTAAAATAGTCTCATAATTTTCTGTTGAATTTGCTGTTGTTGTTCATTTACAAAGCTTCAAATTAATTTCTCATTCATTTGGGAGGAAATGCAAGATAAATTTTCAGCACAGCACTAATTGAGATCACCCCTGTCATGCCACAAGGTCATATATACAGATGATCTTGGTGGCTGCTTTTATTGGCTGTTGAATCTTCTCTTACGTGAGATGCTCCCAATCAAGGATGATCCCTGTGTTATATCTTAACAGTGCAACAGCTGTCACCAAGTCGCTGGCCTGTGGGTGGCATTTGTGCCATGCAGATAACCTAGGAATGATTTCCTTCACTGTTGTTGCCCCTCCCTCCCTCCACCAGGGCCAGCAGTAGCACAGAAAGTTCCCCATAAAGCAGCCATGTGGAATTAATCTTCCTGTGTTACTGGTGCTGTGTGGGACTGGAAACAACTTGCTGCAAAGGCAATAATATCAAAGAGCCATACCACATTAGACACCCAGACGATGCTAAAAGCTGAAAGATTGAAGGCAGGCAAAAGCAATGACTTCTTTGCACAGTTGACTTCCCTTCCACAAGAGGTAGTGCTGGCCACCAATTTGGATGGCTTTAAAAGAGGGTGGCGCTGTGGGTTAAACCACAGAGCCTAGGACTTGCTGATCAGAAGGTCGGCGGTTCAAATCCCCGTGACGGGGTGAGCTCCCGTTGCTCGGTCCCTGCTCCTGCCAACCTAGCAGTTCGAAAGCACATCAAAGTACAAGTAGATAAATAGGTACCGCTCTGGTGGGAAGGTAAATGGCATTTCCGTGTGCTGCTCTGGTTCGCCAGAAGCGGCTTAGTCATGCTAGCCACATGACCCGGAAGCTGTACGCCGGCTCCCTCGGCCAGTAAAGCGAGATGAGCGCCGCAACCCCAGAGTCGGTCACGACTGGACTTAATGGTCAGGGGTCCCTTTACCTTTACTATATATACAGAGAGATAGAGAGAGAGGATTAGATGAATTCATGGAGGAAGGCCATCTCCTATCTCCATTGCTGGGAATATCAGTAGGGCAGGTTGCTGTAGTGCTTACTTCCTGTTTGCAGATTTCCCACGGGCACCTGGTTGGCCACTGCGAGAATAGGCTACTGAACTATTGATTCTTCAATCTGTTCTAGCAGTTGCCTCTTCTATGTCTTGTCAGAAGCATTGTAAAACCATCTCCATTATGGGTGGGTCTAAAAGAGTTGGGAGTTAATGCCTAATACAACAAAGCTATTATAACATCAAACTTTCGACATACGTCTTCTTTTCATCAATTTTTTTTTAAACATCATTGAAAAGTACTGCAAACTTAGAAAAAGACGGCAAAACCTGTGCTTGGCGAATACAAATTTAGCAAAATTTGTATGACACTTAATTGTCATTAAAGCCTCCTTTGTTACCCACCCAAAAGCAGAGGGTCTTCCCCCCCCCCCCCCCCGTAGGTCTGGAGACAGGCATCCATTTTAAAGGATGACATTTGGCATTGGGCAAGCAGATTTGCCCTGCCTTTCCTGCACCCCTGAAGCCCACATGCTCCTCATGATCTGCTCCAGAAGGTCCCCTAATCCTCCAGAGCAGATTTTGGGGTGCCTGTGGAGCTGCAGGGTAGGGGACAAGTCCATCTAGTCCAAGCTCCTGTGACCAACTGGATGGATGCACAGGGGAAGCTCGCAAGCTGGATTTGAACCCCAAATGCTCTATTTCCTCCTGAAGTTTCCAGCATCTGATACTGCGGGCTCCCTCTCATGAGTGGGGACAAAACATAACCACCAGGGTTAGTTGCCTCTGATAGCTTTATCCAGCATTAATTTTTCTAACCTGCTTTTAAAGTCATCCAAGTTGCTGGTCGTCACTGCCTCTTGTGGGAGAGAGTTCCATAGTCCTAACTTCGTGCTGTGAGAATAAGTCCTTTCTCTTGTCTGTCCTGAATCTGAGTCCCATGGCATGAGTGGTAGTCTGTTTGGCTGGTGGACAGACCCTAGAATTCTATCCAAAGAGAGGTTTCCAGGTACACATTATTATTTTTTGTCCTGCTCTTGTAAAACAAGCCACTCAGCAGAATGCATATACCGACGGCAACCAGCTATCCTATTTACAAATGACCTTGTGCTTTTGTGCATCTGTCTCCAACCTAAGCATATGATCATATGGTGATTTGTTCGCATTTGCTCAGCTGGATTTTGTGTGTGTGTGTTAAAAAAAAAGTCACTAGGTCCTTTAGAAACATTGAATCAGGCTCATCGCATTTAAGGTACCAATGCGTTCTCTGTCCCCCTTTTGAAATTATTCTGCAGGTCGAAACAGCATCCACCCTGCTTTTGTCAGAGCGCCGCCAGGTCTTATAAAAATGGAAGTTCCTAGCGATCGCTCCATTACCACGGCCCATTTTATTGGCCCCCATGTGTTGTCGTCCTCTGGGCCTCTGCTGGTGCCGCCCCCTCGCCGGACTGCGAAGCAACATATCTGCACTACGTGTGGCAAGAACTTCTCTTCGGCAAGCGCCCTCCAGATTCACGAGCGGACTCACACGGGCGAAAAGCCCTTCGCCTGCACCATCTGCGGAAGGGCTTTCACCACGAAAGGGAACCTCAAGGTGAGCCGAGGAGGGAAAGCACTGATTTGTATTCAGGCGCAGAAAAAATTAAGTATTGATCCCTCGCTTTTCTTTCTCCAACCCAAACGGGACTGCTAGTGGTTGCTGTGGGAAAGCCAGAACAGCAGCAAACTTCTGAAGCTGGAACTGGTACTGTGGTCAAATGTGTTACTTGTCTCCTCCTTCCTTCCAAATGTTCTTGAGCGAAAACTCTCATCATCTCTGACCCACTGGCCATGCTGGCTGGGCATGAGGGGAGTTGTAGTTCAGCAACATCTAGAGAACTACAGGTTCCTCTGCCCTACTTTAATTAAGAGTCCAACATGAGTCCCTCTGTTGGGGTGGGGAGTTGGGCCCACCATCAGCAAGCCCATATGCGGCAATTGTGGCAACCTAGTCAGTTGTGTGGCAATTTATAGTCAATTGTGGATGTTCCTGCTGCATTAGTTATCAGTTGTTATTTTAATGGTGCGCTTTAATTAATTTGTGATTAATTTAAGTAATCAGATTTAATTTAATTGTGATTTATCTTGATGAGAAGAGGGGCTCAGGAGGACTTAGTGTGAATACCTTTGCAATCCTCCTTTTAAATGCATTGACTGAGTCGGAGCAGAGCCAGTGGCTGCAGCCCCTCTTCTCTCCATGTCTTGAACGTGGCTTTGACGTAGAGGACCACATTAAAAGGGCTTGTCTTTGTGTTGTAAAATGCCTCTTGCAGAGCTTCCTAAAGCCCACAAGAGTCTTAACTTCATTGACGTTCAGAAGGTTCCTGCTGCTTTAGCTCTTGCCGGGAAAACCCAGCACGGAGAATGTACCATGTTTGTGGGGGTAGGGAACTTCCTCTTGCCATCTGTCCCCTTCCCTTTTAATCGCTTGCCTCTTTAATCTCTTGCATCTCTGTAGCATCGTCATTCCTGGGAGCACAGGGCAAAGTGCTTGGGGTTATTGCACTTTTCACTATTAACACACCCGTGAAAGCAGCTTGAGCGAGTGATGGACTTTGCCCAAGTCACAGTTCTGTGGCTGATGCTTTACCCATAGCTCCCATTTGCTTCTTGCCAATGGATCGGTTAGAAGTGGAAACATCATTTTGATATTTTCCCCTCCTTCCTGTCTCTGTTAAGGTTCACGTTGGAACTCACATGTGGAACAACTCCCCCAGGCGTGGAAGAAGACTGTCCATCGACAACCCCATAGCTCTGCTTGGAAATGATCCCAAGAAGGTATCAGAGATGTTTCCCAAGGAGGTTGTTCCTGCCTCGGTCAGCCTCGATCCCTCAGCATGGAACCAGTACGCTGCAGTCCTCAGCAACGGCTTAGCCATGAAAGCCAACGAGATCTCTGTCATCCAGAGTGGCGGTATACCTTCTCTTCCAACCACAATTGGGGGAGGTCCGGCAATCAACATAGCAATGAATTCCGCCACAGTCTCCAAGATGGATGGTTCCCAGTCTACGACTGGTTCAGAGATCGAGAAGCCCAGCAGCACCGCCACAGACACTGTGCCAAAACGCCAATTCCCTCACTTTATGGAGGAAAACAAAATTGCTGTCAATTGAAAGCCAAGAAAACTTTGAGAGGAAGCAGAATGGATTTTTTTAAAGGAATCACTATAGAAACATATATATATTATATTTTTAAGAGATTACACCTCAAGTATCCTTATTTTCCTATCAATGTGCAAATGAGTCTATGGTTGTCTTTGTAAAGAGTTGCCCAGAGTACAATCATGCTGGTTTTGTTTTGTTTTGTTTTTTGGGGAGGAGAGTCTATTTAGGGCTCTCCTCTTTTTTTCTTTTCTTTTTTTGGAAAGATGCGGGTCTTGCAAAGTAGTTCTTACATGGATGACTTTAATGTGTAAAACGTTGCCCGTTTTACAATGTGAAAATCCAAAACTGATGAACATATATACCTCTTTTTGTTTCGTTGTTACGGCTTAGAAATCAATTGTGGCTTCAAGAAGAGCAGGGTCAAATCAGTTGGCCATTCAGAGAGGGACACAGGGAGTTTGGCACTCCTGGAATTCACGACTGATATGTGGAAAATAATTATGCGGGTAAATATCCAAGAATGCCACCCTTTTAGGATAGTACCTTTTGCGTGTGTGTGTGTGGTTTGTTTTTAAATGTGGTTTTGAATGTAATATTACTATAATGCCTACTGGACATGCAGATCCCACTTTACTCAGAAGAATGTGTTGTTGGATATGAAAATACATTTTTAAACTGGCACTGTCTGTTTAATCCACGATAAACCTTAAATACCGTGTACTGGTGATTGCTGCTTATTTAAAAACTACATGAACGCATGCACGCCATCAAGATAACTGTGCCAAAATCCTGATTTTGTAGTGCATTGCTGTTCCACACCCACTGCCACCCCCAAATATGCCACATTGCAGGGAGGAAGTTGGGAGAGACTCACTGAATGAGCAGGAGGGTAAAAGCTTTGTATATACTGTTGAAAGGGAATTTGGATCCTTTGGGGAGGCTGAGTTCGGAATGTTCTGCTGGGAATCTCAAGGGACTGCGTTTTGGAAGCAGTTCACGTAGCATGAGGAAACCTTTCGCCTGTTCATGTATATTTGATTTTCTTGGGAAATGCCTGTATCAAGATTCTGTATTTAAAATGAAGTAGGGGGGGTGAGGGGTGTTCTAATTTGCTAAGACACTTCCAGTTCAGAAATTCAGGGTGCAAACCACCCAGAAGTTTTATCTGTATGGACTTCCTGTGTTCTTGTGGTGCATTTGGAGTTTGTACAGGAGAAATCTAGGGTTGCTTGCAGGGGGCGGACAGCTTCCTTTTTGACTTTGTGTATTTGCATTTTTGGGGGGAGGGGAAAACAACCCCCCCCCAAAAAAAAAACCCTGATGGCATTTGTGTTTGTATGAAGGTTACTGGGATGGCCCTGTGGATTCTAAGTTATCTACCTCATTATTATTATATTATTATGTTGTTGTTCTTTTTGTAGTGCTGAGTGTCTATTTTTCTATCAAATAACCACTGTATTAAACTTGAGATCCAAGCAGAGGCTACTGTGCACTATTTGAACCAAAATATGATATGCTGGTAAGAATGTCTGATGATGTCATGGTGTGTGTGAGGTTTGCTTGTTTGTTTGTTTGTTTGGGGGCTTTCCCCCCCACAGCCCCTCCCCTCCTCGCTTCTACATAATCTCTCTTTGTGGATGTGAAGCTACATTGGAAAATAGAGCTTAGCATTCGGTATTAAAATGACTTGGAATAAACATATGGCTTCTCCCCCACCCCCCGAATTCAAGGGTCCAGCTGTGCTCATGTGGAAGGCTCATGAAACAATGTGGATTCAGTAATAATAATAATAATAATAATGAAAAAATACACTTTACTTGCACCATGTTGTTGCACCTGAACTATATTGTGTGTGTTTCTCCTCTCAGTTTTTGTTGTTGTTGCTTAGGATCAGTTTTTTGCCAAGTTGTGCCTTTCCTGCTGGACTTCGTAAAGAACACAACCCTGTTTACACTGTAAAATGGATCCTGTTACATTGAACATGCCAAAGGTTCATCCCAATCATCAAATGTCTCTTCTGAGTTGCGAATGTATGGACTTTTAAGGAAATACTGTGTAGCTTTTTTAAAAAAGAAAACTTATCTACTGAAACGTTTCTGTTGATGTTATGAAAATAAATTTGGGATGACTTTTTCACACTTAATGCATCTAACTTTCATTTTTGTGACGTTTATACAGCTCTTTCAGTGCAACAAGGTGCTCCATAACCAATGCTCAATGTATTTTATGCTTTAAACAAAAAGAAAATCTGCACACAGGCTATTCAGATTCTGGGAATTGTATAAATTCTGCCAAACGGAGTGCCCCCCCCCCTTTCAAAAGTTTGCATTACAGTTGTACCTTGGATCCTGAACGCCTTGCGAGTTGAATGTTTTGGCTCCCAAACGCTGCAAACCCAGAAGTGAGTGTTCCTGTTTGCGAACGTTCTTTGGAACCCAAACGTCCTCCGCAGCCTCCATTGCTTCCGATTGGCTGCAGGAGCTTCCTGCAGCCAATCAGAAGCCGCGCCTTGGTTTCCAAACATTTTGGAAGTCAAACAGACTTCCGGGACGGATTCCTTTCTACTTCCGAGGTACCACTGTACATCCCCTTGGTATGAGTACCAATGGTACTTTCCAGCTTTGCTAGTTGGGGAAGAAGCAAAGTTACTGGAGTGCTACACTGAACCAGGTGTAGAAAATCTGTGGCCCTCCAGTTATTGCTGGGCTCAAACTCACAGCAGCCACAGTCAGCATGGTCAATAGCAAGGGATGATAGGAGTTGCCACAGGTTAGCTGCTCCTGCCCTAAACCATTGAAAACCTTACTGACCTCCCAGCATAGGAGATTTCAGGAAGCAGGAAACTGAAAATGGGCAGAGAACTGAATTGTGAACCATTACCACTCTGTGCTTTTCTGATTTGAGGGATGCTCAGGCATGGCACCTCAATAAGGCTACTGCAACCTGAAACTGTCCAAGAGTAAAATTGCACTATTCCAAGTTGGAGTTAGCTCATTATGAGGATTCAGGTAGGTAGCCGTGTTGGTCTGATGCAGTTGAAATATATATAAAAATAATAAAATTGTCCAGTAGCACCTTAGGTAAAGGTAAAGGGACCCCTGAAGGGACTCCAGTCGTGACCGACTCTGGGGTTGCAGCGCTCATCTTGCTTTATTGGCCGATGGAGCATGCGTACAGCTTCTGGGTCATGTGGCCAGCATGACTAAGTCGCTTCTGGTGAACCAAGTCGCTTCTGGCACAGAAATGCCGTTTACCTTCCCGCTGGAGCGGTACCTATTTATCTACTTTCACTTTGACGTGCTTTTGAACTGCTAGGTTGGCAGGAGCAGGGACCGAGCAATGGGAGCTCACCCTGTCGCAGGGATTCGAACCGCCGACCTTCTGATCGGCAAGTCCTGGGCTCTGTGGTTTAACCCACAGTGCCACCCGTATCCCTTAGAGACCCAACTAAGTTGAAGTCACCAGACCTGTATACATAGTGGGAGGGTGGGGTGGGGTTTTTCTCAGGAGGGTAGTAGGAGATGGGCGATTGACTCAATGGGTATGGTAAATGCGGAAAAACACAATCTTCTAAGGCCTAATGAGCACAGCAGCTTATCCCCCGTAGGTCATGCCCTATGAATCTTGCCATCTTAAGTCACTTTTCCCAAGCAATTTGGAGACTGCCCCTGTGTGTAGCCTGCCACTGCTACATCCATTTCAGCCCTCTTCTGGTTCAGGGAAACAAAGGGGGAGGGGAAGTGGTCGCAGCAGGAGGGGGAGACACTTGTGGAGCTCCACCAGCCAAACTCATATCTGCCTCCTGGCCCCTCTCCTTCCACTTGCCTGCTTCAGCTTCTGCCTCTGATTCTGGACTTCTCTGCCACAGACTTTCTCACCCACCCCACCCATGCTCACTAAACCCTGTTACCTCTTCAGCTTCTGACACCTCCTTATCCTGGTCTTCCCACTCTGACCACTCACCATCGTCCCAGCACCACTCCCCAGGCTCTGAGACTTCTTCTCTTGGTGGTTCCCCATCTGGTTCCTCCCACCATTCCTCTGTGTCCGACCAGTCCATGAAACCATCCCAGGAAACTCTTAGGCTACACCTAATTTTGGAATAAAAGAGTTGTAGATGACTCAAAACAGGTCATCTAGTCTAAACTCCTGCAATTCTTCTTGGGGTTGGGGATCTTAGCATTGATAGGGTGGCAGGCCCTTTGTTGGTTATGGGACCCTAGCAAACACCCAACTTGGTCACCACTGGAATCTAGCCCTGTTTTTACACCTTTGTTTTCGCAAAGGTACACCTGCATTTACTGAAGGCATGAGATGGGGAGGAATAGGGCCCTGGGAGGCTGAGCCAGCAGGCATGATTCTGATAGAAATGTTATTTCTTTACAGCACCAAAGTAGAAATAAAAATGTTACACTTTAGCCAAACTCTGGAGAAAACGGCTACTCTGTGTCTTAGCAAACCCCCCTCATTTTTACTATTTAGGAACTGATCCTCCCAAACCCTTCTAGGCTATATAAAAGGTAAAGGGACCCATGACCATTAGGTCCAGTCGTGGCTGACTCTGGGGTTGCGGCGCTCATCTTGCTTTATTGTCCGAGGGAGCCCAGCGTACAGCTTCCGGGTCATGTGGCCAGCATGACTAAGCCGCTTCTGGAGAACCAGAGCAACACAGTTTACTTTCCCTCCGGAGCGGTACCTATTTATCTACTTGTACTTTGATGTGCTTTCGAACTGCTAGGTTGGCAGGAGCAGGGACCGAGCAACAGGAGCTCACCCCGTCACGGGGATTCGAACCGCCAACCTTCTGATCGGCAAGCCCTAGGCTCTGTGGTTTAACCCACAGTGCCATTCGCCTCCCTTCTAGCCTATAAATTCTGCCAAACAGCTCTAGGCTATACACATAACGTATATTTTGAAGCGCACAGAACACACAGATGCATCAGTAGAAAGATGCCAAATGGCCCTTCTGCAAAAGCTACACAGCAGCCTGAGCTGTATTGTAGTTTCCGTTTGCAAGTGCTGATGGATTTATGAAGGGCTTCATTAAATGTATGTTTAAAGGATATCCGCTATCGCCCACTTGTCTAAGCGGGCGAGAGAAGAGTGGGGGGAAATCAAAGCCATCCCAGCAGATCAGAGATACAGGTGTTAACAGCTTATTATAGTCTGGTAGTGATTAACTGGCCAATTAATTGCAGTGGCCTTGTCAGTGCTCAGACACAGAGAAGATTTAGGGCAAATATACCATTGCCGTACCGCTAATAATTTCAGTTTTGCCATCGAAGATCACGATTGTTTCAGCTGCAGAAGCACTTATGTTGTGAGATGTTTTTATTTTAGTGATTTTTTTTTTGTCCATTAAACCACAAGAAGAGCACTCCCTTGCCTCTGTTCACAGCTGTTCTTTTATTGTCTCTCCTTAGAAAGTGAATATAATGGGTTGAGGGCATTTATGAAGGAGATGGAACTTGGATGAAGCCAGCCCCTCGAGACCCTCGCCAATGACTGGGATCTGAATGCACTTCATGGAGCAGTCTTCTAAAGGAGGCTAAAGGCCTCTTAAGCATTCAAGCTCCCATGTTGCTAGGAACAGAGGAAGCTGCATTGTACAGAGCTACAGAATCATAGAATTGTAGAGCTGGAAGGGCCATCTAGTCCAACCCCCTGCAATGCAGGAACCTCAACTAAAGCATCCATGGCAGGTGACCGTTCAACCACTGCTTTAAAACTTCCAGTGAAGAAAAGTCCATCACCTTCCAAGGGAGTCTATCCCACTGTCAAACAGCTCTTACTGTCTGAAATTTCTTCCTGATGTTTAGTTGGACTTCCCTTTATTGTAACTTGAAGACATCAGTTCGGGTCCTACCCTCTGGAACAGTCAGATCTTTGGTCCATCTATCCTAGTGTTGACATTGGCTGGTAGTGACTCACCAAGGTTTCATGTACGGCTCTCTCCCAGGCCTACCTGAAGATGCCACGGGCTGAATCTGGGACCTTCTTCATGCAAAGTAGATGTTCTAACCACTGAGCTATGTTCCTTCTCCTGCTGCAGGTGATGGGTAATGTCTTCTACTGTTCTCCCATGTAGGTAGCTCCCTGCATGTAGTAATCTAACACAGCAGGGAAAGGTTTATGCTTAATATTTCTACTTTACTTTAGGTAGGGTGGTGGTTCCATTGTGCATAGGAGGGCATTAAAAGAATGATGCCTCATTCTGAACAATGCACAGATTGGTTCTAATGTGATTATTGCTGTCCTGGGCTCCTTTGTAAGGAAGTGTGCAAATCTGGCCACTTGGCCCAGTCTTCTGTGCATATAGGTCAGGGGTCAGAAAACTTTTCCAGCAGGGGGTCGGCCCACTGTCCCTCAGACCTTGTGAGGGGCTGGGCTATATTTGGGAGGGCAGGGGGGCGGGAATGAATGAATTCCTATGCCCCACAAATAACCCAGAGATGCATTTTAAATAAAAGGACACATTCTACTCATGTAAAAACATGTTGATTCCCGGACCGTCTGCGGGCTGGATTTAGAAGGCGATTGGGCCGGATCCAGTTCCTGGGCCTTAGTTTGCCTACCCAAGATTTAGGTAATTTGGGCAGTGCTCAAATGTAAAGGTAAAGGGACCCCTGACCATTAGGTCCAGTCGTGACCGACTCTGGGGTTGCGGCGCTCATCTCGCTTTATTGGCTGAGGGAGCCGGGTCATGTGGCCAGCATGACTGAGCCACTTCTGGCGAACCAGAGCAGCGCATGGAAACGCCGTTTACCTTCCCGCCGGAGCGGTACCTATTTATCTACTTGCACTTTGATGTGCTTTTGAACTCCTAGGTTGGCAGGAGCTGGGACAGAGCAACAGGAGCTCACCCCGTCGCGGGGATTCAAACCGCTGACCTTCTGATCGGCAATTCCTAGGCTCTGTGGTTTAACCCACAGTGCGACCCGCATCCCTATGCTCAAATGTAGCCACATGTAAAAGCTACTTTCTCTTACAGTCTGCCCTCCTCACAACCGCTAGTTCTCTTCCAGAGAATGATTTTCCACAGAGAATCGGATACAAACTGGTTACTTTAAGAAAAGTGATATCTTCCTTTCCTTGGGACTAATCTCTTATCACCCCTGTGTGCAGACAGTGAAGCTAAATTACAGCTTTTATAGAATTCATTCGGCTTGGGCCCTGCTCTGCAGTGTACTTGCCGCAATGATTAATGCAGTCTGCCCTAAGTCCTGTTGCCTTGAGTTTTTCCAGATGTGTCGTCCTGATGAGATAAATATGCATTTAACAGATGACATGAAGAAGTGGGAAGAGCAGTGGGCAAGGATAATCAAATTCCTCAATGGGATCAAGCAGCTTTGGGATGCACCTGTTTCTATGGGAAAAGGAGGATGGGACAGCAGAGTTAAAGAAGAGAGGCCAAGAATTCCCCAAAGACAACCATCCAGTTCCTGGAGTCAATTAGGGTAATCCAGCTGCCGATAGGCAAACTGTGACACACGACCACATTTAGCACTGAGATCAAAGGACACTGGCATGGTGACAGCTTCTCAGCCCAGTTGGTGCAATCAAAGAGAAGAAACTCTATACTTGAGGGCTATGGACTTGCCTACTTAGTTGGTTTAAATCACACTGGAGTCAGCTGGATTTAGCTATATTGTCTTGCATCATTCCTCCAAGAGCACACAAATCCCTCTTCCTCCACGACTGTATAACTTTGAAAACTTCAGCCCAGGGGGGTCTGAAGTGTCTAGCTGTCACTGCACACAGGTGGGACAAAATAATGCTTAGGTTTGAGGGCTTGGCCACACTTCCCTTTCCTCCACTCTTTCCAGGCACAGTCTGTGCTTTGAAGCTCTTGTGTCAGAGCACCTTTTTCTCCTCCGCCCCAAACTTCCTGTTCAAAAACCCATTGGAACAAACAACAACCCATGGAAAACTTGAATTGATGTTTGCTCCGACTGAGCACTAAAGAGTGGTTTTGTTGGGGGAGGTGTTCCAGTGCAACAACAACAACATCTTGACAAGGAGCTTTTAAGTGCAGACCTGTGCCTGCAAAGAGTGGGGCAAAAAGTAAGTGAGATTGGTCAGGAGCAACAAGCACCTATGGGGCTGGCCCTATCACTAGACAGAGTGAGGCAATGGCCTCAAATACTGGGTGTCAGCACTCGGCCATTAACCTTGAGGTTCCTGGTCTTCCCCTTCTCTTGGGGATCAGGGCTGTGGTTTGTGAAACAGAATCCCTCAGGCACCTACTGCCCTCCAGTCCACTGAAGGATGCCACCCCAGGGCCAGGGTTGAAGAAAGAGTCACCTGCCAATCCAAGCCAGCTCCCTATACCTGGCACAGACGCCTGGCCAGCGTGGCAGCCAGCCAAATATCCTGGCACCAGGAAGTGTGTGTGGAGGGGGGTGCGGGGAGAGTGACTTTGCTGCGGGGATGGTTCGACGTCCAACCTGGACAGCAACTTTCTCCAAGGCCGCGGCTGCTCGGAAGCGCAGCTTGGCGGAGAAGCGCAGCACCTTTACCTGGAGAGATGGTGGAAGGCGCGAAGAAGAGACCCTGCGGCGCCGGGTGCGTTGAGCCGGGGGACGGGTGGGGGAGGCAGCGTTGCCTAGTGGCGGGGGCGACCGCCGCCCAATGGGTGGGCCGGGGAGGGGGAGATGCGGGGGAGGGGGCGGCGTGAGCGTCCACGTTACCTGCGCGTCGCCGCCCAGCCCCCAGCCCGCCCGGTCGTCCTCGGCAGCGCCGCCGCTGCCATCAGAGCGCGGAGAGGCTGGGCCGCGCCTGGCGAGGCTGCTGGTGGGAAGGCGAGATCCTCCCCGCCGCCGCGGCCATCATGACCGACAACATCCCCTTGCAGCCGGTCCGGCAGAAGAAGCGGATGGACAGCAAGCACCGCGGCGGGTAAGGCAGCACCGGGCCCGGCTCCCCTCGCTCCCCTTCCCGCGCGCGCGCCTCCGACGGGCCTCGCCTGCGCCGCAGCCAGCGCGCCTTCCTGGGTTCTCCTGCCCGGCTTGGATGGACGCCGCGGCGGCCTCCTTTTTCTCGCTGTCTCTTCGCTCGGCGGCTCTCTCGGCGAGGCCGGCTGCTGCGCCCTGGCCCTGCCTTCGTCGCTCGGGCTCGCCCCTTCCCAACGATCCGGGGCGGCGGGCATTCCCACGGCCGGGTGTAAACGTTTTTCTTTTCTCTGCCGGTCTGTCTCCAAGCCGCGCGGTGGATCTCCCGTTCCCCGATCCGGACTCCCCCCCCACTGCCCTACCACCACCGTCTCCGGTTGTGTTCGCCATGTGAATTTGCTTTCCCAGATCTGCGTTTATTTCAAAGGCGCTTCAGTCGCCAAAGCTAGAGATTGCCTTGGAGGCGGGCAGCGCTCTCCACGGGCATCTGCGCGCTCCCGGGACGCGCTGAGTGGGTTGCATTGCGCTCCCCCACCCTCTCCTTCTCCTCGGGAGATAAAGAAACCCGCCGATGCCCTTCGGGGGACTGGGTGGATCCTTTCCCTATAAGCTGGGACTCCGAGGGAGAGGTCGACCTCTGGAAGGGGCTGTTTTGCTGGCGGGGGTCTCGCCCAGGCAGCCGGAGCTGACAGGTTGCTCCTGACGCCATTGCAAGGTGGCACGCCCAGGCGGAGGCTGCCATTCCAGCCCACGGATCCTGGTCGAGGGAAGGAAGGCGGAAAGAGAGCGAGGCGGGCGGGCGCTGCTCCTGCCAGCATTCTTTTGCTCTGTGCACAGGCCTGGATAGAAACCAGGACAAGAGGAGAGCCCGGGCAGCCAAAATCCCTTCTTTATCCTACCTTTGCTTGTCTCACCCAGGTGCCAGGAATTTTACTTTTTGAAATATGGCAACCCTACTAGTGGAGAGATGCAAAGGGACATCTCCTTAGCGGATGCGCTGTGTTACAACCGGCTGTTCATTCATTCCTTTATTTTAGTATTGTACTGTAAAAGCATCTATGTGCCCCCTCGTTTTGCTAAGTAAAGGAATGAGTTGCCTCAATGTGGTTGCACTACAACTCCCATCATCCCTGACCATTGGGCTATGCCATCTGGGACTGATGGGAATTGTAGTCCAACAGCATTAGGGGGACACACACACCCAAGGTTGGGAAAAGTGGTTTTAGATCATAGCCTTACAACTACCGCTTCTTTTTTTTATTTGGGTATCTCACTCCTTTACTTAGGGAAAGAGCGGGGATGTAAATCCCTTCACCAAAATAAATGAGAGACTGATCTAAAAGACATGGCATGCGAGGAAAAAGAGTTGGGGAGGGAGGAGGGGGAAAGCAGCTCAGGTACCACTTCTTAATTTTATGATTCATATAGCATGATTATACAGCTCTGTCTCCTGTGTAGATCCTGGCTGACTTGGAGAGCAACCTCTCATCAGAAAAAAAACCTCTCCTTTTCCGAGATTAGACTCAGCAAGGAGTGGCAGGCAGGCAGGGGTGGCGTCATATACCTGGCCTCCTGGCACCAGCACTGTTGCTGTCGCTTACCAGGGCAGTGCAGAAGCAGGGTGGCAGTGAGATGTAGGTGGGAGTACTGATTGGCTCTGCCCCTGCTACACCAATGTCCCGTCCCTATTTGCTGTAAATAAAGTGATGCTGCATCTGAGAGGCCAAATCCATTTCACCTCTTGCGTCCGGGAGCAGAGGAGGGAGCAATGTCCAGTCCAAGTGGGTGGGGCTGATCCTGCCACAAAGTTATTCCACCCGATAGCTGACTAATGGCCACCAGAATCATCGCAGGAGTTGCCCTCCTCCTTTGCCAATATTTCTGGCTTCTAGGAGCTGCTAGATGACACATCCAAACCCTCTTCTTATAACAATTTAAAACAAAGGGAAACTTTATGGCTGTTTGATCTATGGCATGAATCAAGAGTGCTTTCTAAATAATGAATAATTTCAGCAGAGACATGCTCATCACAGAAAAGCTGTTACGTCTGAATAAATCACCCAGAGTGGATTTTTCTGGAATACCATAATCCCTGCAATGGTTAATTTCTGAAAGGTGACCTGCAGGAGATTGTGCATGTGGAGAAGCCATGTCCTCTCATCTGTAAAGCTTGACCCTAGAGCAGTGTTTCTGAAACTTGGGTCTCCAGCTGGTTGGACTGCAACTCCCACCTCCCCTAGCTAGCAGGGACCAGTGGTCAGGAATGATGGGAATTGTAGTCCAAAAACAACTGGAGACCCAAGTTTGGGAAACCCTGCCCATGAGATTTGCTTGGTACCTTTAAAGTCACCAATGAAGTTAAAGAAGAAGAGCTTGGATTTGATATCCCGCTTTATCACTACCCTAAGGAGTCTCAAAGGGATGCGGGTGGCGCTGTGGTCTAAACCACAGAGCCTGGGACTTGCTGATCATAAGGTCGGCGGTTCAAATCCCCGCGACGGGGTGAGCTCCTGTTGTTCGGTCCCAGCTCCTGCCCACCTAGCAGTTTGAAAGCATGTCAAAGTGCAAGTAGATAAATAGGTACCGCTCCAGCGGGAAGGTAAACAACGTTTCCGTGCGCTGCTCTGGCTCACCAGAAGCGGCTTAGTCATGCTGACCACATGACCCGGAAGCTGTCTGTGGACAAACGCCAGCTCCCTTGGCCTATAGAGCGAGATGAGTGCTGCAACCCCAGAGTCGTCTGCGACTGGACCTGATGGTCAGGGGTCCCTTTACCTTTACCTAAGGAGTCTCAAAGCAGCTAACAAACTCCTTTCCCTTCCTCCCCCACAACAAACACTCTGTGAGGTGAGTTAGGCTGAGAGACTTCAGAGAAGTGTGACTAGCCCAAGGTCACCCAGCAGCTGCAGGTGGAGGAGCGGGGAATCGAACCCGGTTCACCAGATTACAAGTCCAGTGCTCTTAACGACTACACCATACTGGCTTAAAGATGAAGCTGAACAGTTCTTTCTTTGCCCTTTCCTCCACCTTCCTCCCTTCCCTGCTGGCTGTGTGCACCTGGAATCCTACTCGAAATAGTCATTGGCCATGGTGTAGTGGAGAGAATGCAGCAGAGGTGGCTTTTGGGGAGCGCAAGTAATTGGGTCGCACTGGGCGCAGAGCCTCGGAGGCCCTGCAGGGGGTGCCTCAACTATGATGTTGAATGGAAGGCGAGAGACTGTGGTGCCAAATTTTGGCATCACACACTGAAATTTGAGACCCCAAGGTCTGCCCTGCATGCAGTGGGGTGCCACTCTGGGACTGTTTTTTTTCAGGACAGGAGTGATGATGTCATTTGCTTGGGTGTCAGGGCAATTGACAAACCTTCCTTGCTCTAGCAAGGGAATGAGGTGATAAGGAGGCTTTCAAGTGTGTTTGTGACAGATTGCCATTCAGGAAGTCAGAGGATGAGGAAAATGACAGAGAGAATGGACATCCCCTCCTTTCTTTGATGGGCTTTCAACTTTACACTAGCAACAGGGGCACCCTGTGCAAGGCCAAAATCTGGTGCCCCAGCCCCATGCCTTCCGTTCTACTCAATCCACTGTGTCATATTTGGAATTTTCTGCAGCGCCCCCTTGCCTTGGTGTTCAGCGCGGCAGAACCCGTCACGCTGCCCCAGATCCTCATCTGCTGTCAATTTAAATCAGGCACCCCCAAACTCGGCCCTCCAGCTGTTTTGGGACTACAGCTCCCATCATCCCTAGCTAACAGGACCAGTGGTCAGGTATGATGGGAATTGTAGTCCCATCTGGAAGACTGGGTTTGGGGATGCCTGATTTAAATGGTAATACTTTATTGCACGATATGCTTGTATTTCTAATTAAAAGCTAAAGGTTGCATTTCAGCTAGTGGAAGACGCTTTATGTTTTATAAGTTGTGTTTTGCACCATGCAGTTGAGTTCAGTGGAGTTTACTTCCAGGTTTGCAGGCACACCAATAAATTGGGCAATTAGAAACAGTTGTGCTGGCAGAACAACCCCCTCATTATGGCACTGAATGCAATCCATGTTCTTTTTCCTAAAGAAATATTAAAGGATACTAGTCGGTTGGTTTCAGAATTGGTTCCTTGTTTGTTGACCTTACTAGATATGTTCAGTAGAATACCTCATAATGTGCAACGGGCCTGTACAACTTGTGAGTGACTGAATGCATCTCGCCAGTCCTACAATAACAATGCAGTCTGCTAGGTCTTTGAGAGTCTCCCCATTCTAGCAGTCTGGGGCAGGATGGATTCTAGCTTGGTGTAGTTCGCAAGGCTGTAAATGAAGAAGAAAGCACTGGTAGTCAGTCTTTATCTCAAAGCCAACATTTGGTCACAGTCTCTCTTTTAGAAATTGCACATCCGTTGCAGAATGTGTGCTGCCGTGCTTTCGACATTCGTTTTATGGCTTTTACAAGCTGTTTTCAAGTCAGGCTGCCAGCAGCCTAATGAGGTTCTACAAAGCTTCCAAGAATGAAGTTTGGGTGCTTCCCAGTGTCAGAGGCAGTATCCCTCTGAATGCCAGAAGCTGCGAATCACAAGTGGGGAGAGTGCTGCTGTGCTTAGGTCCCATAAGCATCCAGTTGGCTATGGTGAGAAATAGGTGCTGGGCCAGATTTGGTCTAATCAAGCAGGACTCTTCTTACAGTCTTAGTCACCTACAGTATACGCACTGTGTTCTAAATCTGTGTTCTTTAGCCTTGGGGCTTCATGTTGCTGGACTACAATTCCCACCATCCATATCTGTCTTAGCCATCAGGGAGTATGGGTGTTGTAGTCTCAACAACATCTAGGGACTGAAAGCTGAAGAACACTGTTCTGAACAGTTAGTACATTAGTTTACATTAGTACACAGTGTACATTAGTTGTTGTTGTTGTTTAGTTGTTTAGTCTTGTCCGACTCTTCGTGACCCCATGGACCAGAGCACACCAGGCACTCCTGTCTTCCACTGCCTCCCGCAGTTTGGTCAAACTCCTGCTGGTAGCTTCGAGAACACTGTCCAACCATTTCATCCTCTGTCGTCCCCTTCTCCTTGTGCCCTCCATCTTTCCCAACATCAGGGTCTTTTCCAGGGAGTCTTCTCTTCTCATGAGGAGACCAAAGTATTGGAGCCTCAGCTTCAGGATCTGTCCTTCCAGTGAGCACGCAGGGCTGATTTCCTTCAGAATGGATAGGTTTGATCTTCTTGCCGTCCATGGGACTCTCGAGAGTTTCCTCCAGCACCATAATTCAAAAAAATCAATTCTTTGGCGATCAGCCTTCTTTATAGTCCAGCTCTCACTTCCATACATCACTACTGGGGGGGGGGGAACTAAGATCATGGCCACTGGGCCCATCACCTCCTGGCAAATAGAACGGGAAGAAACAGAGGCAGTGAGAGATTTTACTTTCTTGGGCTCCATGATCACTGCAGATGATGACAGCAGTCACGAAATTAAAAGACGCCTGCTTCTTGGGAGAAAAGCAATGACAAACCTAGACAGCATCTTAAAAAGCAGAGACATCACCTTGCCAACAAAGGTCCGTATAGTTAAAGCTATGGTTTTCCCAGTAGTGTACATTAGTACACTGTTCTAAACAATTAGACAGAACTGCCTCTCACACTCTAGGGAGGCACACCAAGGGAGGAATCAGAGCTCAGTGGTAGAGGTTATGTTTTACATGCACATTAATCTGTGGGATATCTCCCTGTAAAAAGATTTCCAACCACCAGGCTAGAAAAGACTACTGCCTGAGAGCCACGGCTAGGTGATGCCTTTGTAGCTGGGCTAGTTGACCCAATGGTCCGTCAAACATAAGGCAGCTGCATATATTGGGCCCGGCCTGTACAACCTGTGGCCTACCATGCCAAACATAGCACAATGCAATGTTTTGAGGCTATTGATGATTCAAAATGACCACCACCTTATTTGCAGGCAGAGGCCGTGAAAGCCAGCCAACTTCTTTGCTTGCCACTTGTTAATCCTCTGCTTTTGCAGCCTCAGACATAGAGTGAACGCAGAAGACCTAACATACATGACTGATGGGCTGTGTGTGACTTGGTGGGGTTCACAAGACACACAGGTCTCTTGTTAGGGCCAGGCGACATGTGACTGGATCTTCCAGAGCTTGCTTGTTTGTTTAAAGTAGCCAGAACATGTGAATTGGATCAAGGCTGCCATGACAGAGATACGAGTTTAACCTTTTCTCCCCCACTTAGTTGTTAATTTGTTTAAAATTTATTTGGAAAACCAAATTTTTTTAGTAAAGGTAAAGGGACCCCTGACCATTAGGTCCAGTCGTGACCAACTCTGGGGTCACGTTGGCATACAGCCGGCGTACAGCTTCTGGGTCATGTGGCCAGCATGACAGAGCCGCTTCTGGTGAACCAGAGCAGTACCCTTTCCTCCCCAGACTATTAGCCTGATTTGAATCAACCTTTTCCAAACCTTCTCACCACCACAATTATGATTTGTTGTGTGGGGTGAAGGGAGTCACTGGTGCATAATTTAAGTTGGGTTGATAGCTCCCCCACAACCACATATACACACATCACAGCTCATTTGGTCTGAAAATATACATTGAGAGAGCTGTCCATGGATCTCCCATATAACTGTGGTTTGCCCATTAGACTACTTATTATTGTTATTTTATTTATTAAACAAATTCATATGTATTTATAGATTTCTCCTAATGAACACATATGTGTGTGCAATTTTGCCTACTGCACACATTTTTGGCATGCAATTTCCTAGCATAATGCATCATTTTGAATTTTGTTTTCACCTCCCTGTGGAACACCCTCCCTTCAGATGGAGATAAAGAGCTACACAACTTTTAGAAAACATCTGAATGCAGCCCTGTACTGGGATGTTTTAAATGCTTGATATTTTACTATGTTTTTATATATGCTGTAAGCTGCCCAGAGTGGCTGTGGAAACTCAACCAGATAGGTGGGGGTGGTATTATTATTATTATTATTAATGCATTTTTGTAAATGTCCTTTGGTTGGAAAACTGCATCTCAAAACTTGGAAAAGGGCAGGTTTTGAGGGACAGACGTGCTTTCATGCACATACATTGTTTCCAGAAGTGTGAATTAGCCAGCTTTACAAACCAAATTAGCCTCTGTTCCTTTGGCCAGCCCTGGTGGCCAACACCCTGTGGTAATGAAGGGTATTTTGCTAGTTGCATGATAATGGTATAATGGTGAAATGCCAGATGATGAAAATGGTAAAGGGAAATGGCAATGTTTCAAGGCGGTTCCGCTGACACATAAAAGCAGCCTCATGGCTGTGGAGCAGAGAGGCCAATTAGTACTCCTTGGCTGATCTTGCTTTCTTTGTAGAGAATTACACAGTCTCTACTGGAGTTTCGTTGACATCCTTGTATGGCTTGCCTTGTTAGTAGTGCTTGCAGCAATTGCCCTGAGCTAACCCGTGCTCCAGAGCTACTAGTCACAACTAGGGAATCGGTTTGCTTCAATTGGGTCACAGAATTGTTATTTCCTATAACCATCAAGAGCTGTTGATAGCACAGAGCTGTGCTGCCAGTTTCGGGTGTTTTCATTTTGTTTTTTAACCATCCACATTTCTGCTCTTTAGGATTTGTCTGTGTGTGTGTGTGTTGGTTAGTTGAGCTTCAGATCAGCTTCTGAAGTCCGAGTATTTACACTGCTGAAAACAATAGGACTTCTGAGTAGACTTTCATAGGATCGTTCTGTGGGTCAATTGGCTAGATCCATTGCACTGTGGAGAGTGTACTAACTTATGGTCTGTGTGTGTGGTTTGGGAGCTGCACGGCCAGGGAAAAAACAATGCTGTCCAGGGTTGTAAAGACTGCAGAGAGAATAATTGGGTGCACTCTTCCCACCTTAGATCAAATCTATGCTGTCGGGTGCCATAAGAAAGCTGCAGAGATAGCACAGGATAGTACGCACCCCGGAAATGATCTCTTTCAGCTTCTGCCTTCTGGAAGAAGGTATAGGGTTATAAAGGCCAGGACTAGCCGCCTGAGAAACAGTTTCTACGCAAATGCAATTCTGGTTCTAAATGCAGCATAAGGAGTCTCTATAGTATATTGTATTTTAAAATGGGGTTTCAGAGTTTTTAGGGGGTTTTGAATGTTTTATGTAGTTTTTCAATTTCATTGTTCTGTATGGGACAATGACAATAAAGATATCGTATTGTATCATTAACAAGCAAACATTTTGATCAACTAAAAAGATCAACAGTTGCTTACAAAAACCAAAAGAAAACAAACTTCACTGAGCAGGTTTGCTCTTTGTAGATTTTTGCAGGAGGTTCAGGATCCCAGCTTGCACCATCCGTCATCAGCATTGTTTGGCAAGCATCAAACATCCCAAATTCCCCCATAGCTTGCCCCTCCTGGAATGTGGCAGCAACATTGCTAGCAGGAGACTATGGAGCAAGTGGCTCCAGCAAGGCAAGGTGGAATAACAAATAAGATAAAGTAAAGCTATCATATTTACTTACTCTTTTTTTGAGTTTTATTTATCAACGTTCTTATGTTACATCGGTAAACAGTATCATATTACATCACAAAGCTTATTATAATATAATTTTTGGCATGTATACAAAGTTTATATACCTAAAGAAAAGAAACAAGGACAAAAAACTATTCCAAAATCATATATGTACCAACACTTTGGACTTTCTGTCTATCCCGTTGTACTGTATATTCCTTTTTTACAAATGAATGTACTCTTATTATTGTATATTTCTTTACATTTTATCTAATACATTCCTATATCAATATGTACCCTTGGTCTTATTTCTCAACTCGGTCTCTCTCCAACTTTCTATTGGACAGAGGAACCCTGGAAAGGGACAGGGAGTTTCCTGCATCGCAGTCGTACAGTCATAAGCAGGAGACTCCCCACCACCACCACCTTTGGGATGCTTTCGTTCGTGGGCAACCTTCTAGTGCACACTTGTGGTGGGTGGGGTCAGGGGCAGGAGGGGGCAGAGCAGCAGACATGACTCTTCTCTTTGCTCAATCGGATACATTCCAGCCAGGCAAAAGCCAGGGGTTTCTGTATACCACACCACCTAATCTTGCTTGCTTCTATCCAGGCAAGCTAGGGGCATTGGCATCATTAAAGGGCACATTCCACCCTGGCGAAAGCATGTGGAGAGGGTGTGGAACAGAGCCAATTGTGGGAAGAGTCCAGAGGGCTGGATAGAGACACTCAGAAGGCTGCATCAGTCTCATGCGCCAGGAGTTCCCCACCCCTACTTAAGGGTCTCTAGTCGATGTGGCAGTTATCTGCCTTTGTGGTTTGTTCTGTAGTTAGGAGCACAAGAAATGCTAGCCAGCAAAAATGCAGGCACCTTTATACAGTGGTACCTTGGGTTACAGATTCTTCAGCTTAAAGACACTTCAGGTTACAGACTCCGCTAACCCAGAAATAGTACCTACCTCAGGTTAAGAACAGTTTCAGGTTAAGAACAGACCTCTGGAACAAATTAAGTTCTTAACTTGAGGTACCACTGTATTTGGATCAGTGGGACTTCCCTTTGCTAAATGCAAGAAGCTAACCTGGCTGGATTAAACATGACATACTCAGGATAGTCAGAATGTGATCCGCAATATATTCAGTTTCCAAAATAATTCTGGTGAAGTCATGCCTCAGTTCTCCCGCCAAGAACAGAATGAGTGTTCTGCAGCTTTGCTGTAATGAAGGTTATCCATCTGAATATGAGTTAAGTGATCTTTGGGTGTTGGCACAGCCATTACACGCTACCAGAGTGGCTGGGGAAACCGATCCAGATGGGCAGGGTATAAAGAATTATAAAAAATTATTACGAGAGAGAGAGAGAAATAATATGTTGACTATGCTGAAATCAAACGTTGCTTTATAGCAGGAAATGGATGAGTAATTTTGGCCTTTTGCTTTTAAAACAAATTAAAAGCGAAGGTAGGCTGGAACGATTAAAAATGGACGAAGGATCAGCCGGCCACCATTCTGGAGAGATAATGCTCTTTGATTGTAAAATATAAGCTGATGGAGAAGTTGGATGCATGTGTCAGGAACTCATTTAGCTGAATGAGCTCAGATGGTCTGTAGGAAATTTCTCAATATAGTGTTTAACTGAAGGGCTACATAGATGGGCGTCGGCAGGAGTTTCTTCATAAGTACCCCAAATAAATAACTAAACATAGTTAGCGTGCCTATTCATTCTGGTCCATCTCTTGACTGAGTGGTGGTCATACAGTGAGAAGCTTGTATTCCAGGTCTAACCCTGCATTGCTTCTCAGTGGGTATTCATCTTCTTATGTATAGATCTGACATCCAGACACTCTCTTTCCACCCACAGCTGAAATCCCGCTTTACTTTCCCTGGCTCCTGTCACCCCCTTCAGCACTTAATTAAGCACATTGCTGCTACAGTCAACTTTGCACACACCCTGCATTGCCCTAAAAACAAACAAGCCCACATCAACTCACCAGGATAACAATTGCATCTCAGGCTTGTCATACGTCATTCTGACTCATTCTTTCTCCCAGTAAAATGGGCATAATAATAATGAGCTACTTTGCATGGTTGATGAACCACAGCCCTGCCCCTACAATATTTGTATAATAATTGTGGACTTTATCTGTATTGGCATAGTATCATTTAAAATGTTTTCTGACTCAGGAGGGAGAGATGCTTTCTTTTGGTATGAAATAAGCCTCAGGTTAGAAAGATCATGAACTCCTGTCTTTGCGGCTACCTTTCATTTTTCAGTTGACACACAACTTCCCATTTGCAGCTAAACTAAAATCCTGGATATCTGTGCAGCAGCAGCAGCAATCACTTCCCCAGGGAAGACCAGCAGAAAAGGCTCAAAAACAAACTGGAGATGTTCCTGCTCCAGAGTTCAGAAAATGGGCATTTCACTCTAGCCTTTAATGGGCTTGATCTGCATTCCTACATTTCAACCATTGCTATGACTTCATTCATTGGCTAAAAGCATGGAAAAGTGGTTAGTTTCTCATAAAACAAATTAGGAGATGAATGCGTGTACTTTTTGTCTCGCATCTCAGGTTCCCCAAGTGCTAGGAACTTGATTTTTTTTTAAAAAAATAATGAATACTGGGAGTCTTTAGGTTTATGGTTCACGTCATGGGCCACATGGTGCAAAGTGAGACAGTGTGGCAAGAGCAGGATCCTTCAGAGGAGGAGGACCCTGAAATTGGGGAAAGTTCAGATAGTGATGTTGAAGAGGCCATGCTCTGTAAGGGAGGGTGAGTTGGCCAGTTCCTCCTCTGCTTTCTGAGAACAAAGTTCAAAGGGTAGTCATCAAAGAGGCAGCTGGCCAATCAGTGGACATGGCTGAATTGGATGTGGTGGTGATGCACTTCCTGTTTTTTGGTGATATATAAGTGAGCACCCTATAGATCATGGGTAGGCAAACTAAGGTCCGGGGGCCGGATTAGGCCCAATTGCCTTCTAAATCCGGCCCGCAGATGGTCCAGGAATCAGCACGTTTTTACATGAGTAGAATGTGTCCTTTTACAGTCATACCTTGGGTTGAAGTCGCTTCAGGTTAAGCCTTTTCAGGTTGTGCTCCGCGGTGACCCAGAAGTAGCAGAGTGTGTTACTTCTGGGTTTCACCGCTCACACATGCGCAGACGCTCAAAATGACGTCACACGCATGCATGAAAGTGGCGAATCGTGACCCGCGGATGCGCGGACGAGGGTTGCATTTGCTTCAGGATGCGAACGGGGCTCCGGAACGCATCCAGAGGTACCACTGTATTTAAAATGCATCTCTGGGTTATTTGTGGGGCATAGGAATTCGTTCATTTGTTTTTGTCAAGATATAGTCCGGCCCCCTCAAAGTCTGAGGGACAGTGGACCGACCCTCTGCTGAAAACGTTTGCTGACCCCTGCTATAGATTGTACCCAGAAAATATCAATCCCCCCCTTTAAGACAATATTTATATGACCAGGTAAAGAGAAAATTTGGTTCCCCACTAATTTTTCACTCAGCACACGAAAATAAACTGTAGAAAAGTAAGCAACGAAAATTATCGCCTCAAGGAAGAGAAAATCAGCCGAGCCTAAACATATTTATAGAAGTGTAATTTCCCCTCCCATGAAGCATTATTAAAGCTTGATTTCATAACTGTTGAGTGTGTCTAAATCTATGAACGCTTTTGGCTGTAATTCTCCAGGGCAGATCTTGTCAGCTACATTTGCTCATTTTGTTGGGAGTTGTTAAAGAAACCCTTCTGCTGCCTGGGTAGACGAAGGCCTTGTCAAAGGAGAGCATATTTCCATACCCTGCAACATGTCCCAGTGGAAAACCTGGACGTCCATCTTTCAGGACCTTGATCTCGTGCACTTTGCACAAAATGGAATGTCAGGACAGTTGAGGGGTATGTAATTCAGTTGGCAGATTGCCATAAACCCAAACTTTTAAACTAGAGATTACAATGGGCAGGGAATGTTTTTGAGACTGAGGGCCACATTGCCTCATGGACAGCTGGCTGAGGGCTGCATGCCAGTGGTGGATGGAGCCAGAGAGTTCCAGGGGCCAGAGAGAGAGAAGCTTGGAAAGCCGTATACACCCCTTGGGCTTGAGGTTGCCCACCCCTAAATAATAACTAGGGATTGGGAATTAATTGGTGTGACAGGTGGCAGTGTCAACCTAGGCCTCAGATCCAATGCATGATAAACTTCAGCCACTTTCTCCTATGAATCCTTGCACAAAGGGTGAGTTAGATGACCCTCTTCATGTGTACTGAAAGAATCTGGGGGAAACTGGTCAGGCTAGACCCATCCCTGTTCCATGCACACTGTAACCACAAATTTATCATCACCGTCACCGTCACCATCACCATCATACCTGCATGCTTCCCCATTTATCTGCCCTAAATTGTATTGTTTGTTCTGCCACCTGATTCTGCTGCATGTTTTCAGCAGCTCTCATTTATTTGTAAGGCTAAAGCAGGGGTAATAATACACACAAACACACACACACACACACACACACAGTTCCGTGGCTGTTCATACTGAGGAGGAGGGATAAAAGAGCCTTTTGTCCATTTCTTGCTTTGCATTGGCCAGCATGCAGGCAGAACCAGTATTGCTGGTTCTTCATCATGCTGTATTCAAATTGTTATCCCTGAAAGAGGTTTCAGTTCCAAAGACCTACTCTTAACAATATTTGTGTTTAAAATGGGGGGGGGGACCTACTGCATTTCATTCTTCATAACTGAATGACCCGTATGAAAGCATAGATTCATTCTCAGTGGGCCTTTCAGTGACTATTTATGTCTACCTAAGCCAACAACCATCTAAAAATTATTAAAGATCCTTACAATAAATTCCAGCATTTATTTACTGAGGTGGGTGGACGTATTGTATCCACAGGAATAAACTGTGTCTTAATAGTTGCTATTATGCATTCCTGAAAGGTGTGGTTTGCCTTTCAACTTTAGTTTCTTCTTGGAAGGTAAAAGGCAACAGAATTCAGCCTCACAGCAGGGAAACAAGTTTTACACCCAGAGGCTGTAAAAGTGGGATTTACTTCTGAGTAAACAAGTTTAGGATTACATGCCACACCTGAGTTGAAGCCAGCCTATTGAAACTGTTGAAACCTAACTTAGGTATGTACCTAAATTTCTGAGGGTCTGCTCTGAATATACCTTAGTTGAATAACAGCCCCTATTTCCCTGAAAGCAAGTCCCATTGATTTCAGTGGGATTTATTTCTAAGTAAGCGTGAGTAGTTCAAAGTGCAAATAGATAGATAGGTACCACTCTGACAGGAAGGTAAACAGCGTTTCCGTGCGCTGCTCTGGTTCTCCAGAAGCGGCTTAGTCATGCTGGCCACATGACCCGGAAGCTGTACACTGGCTCCCTCAGCCAATAAAGCGAGATGAGCGCCACAACCCCAGAGTTGTCTGCGATGGGACCTAAAGGTCAGGGGTCCCTTTTTACCTTTAAGCGTGTGTAGGACTGTTGACCTAGGGTCAGCGCACACGGAGGTGGCCAGATGCAAAAGAGAATGGGGCTCTTGAACCTTTTAGTTGTGAAGAAGTGGGAATGTGAGCAGGTGTACCTTCGTCATGCAAGCTATACTTACTGAAATCCCTTCTTCTACACAATTCTTATAGATGTAAGAGCTCTGTCCTGCCTTGCATCAGACTACCTTATCCCACACATTCCATTTGGGAGACCTATCTCTATGTGCTGCTGCTTAATAATGTGCAAAAATCACCACTGACTTATCTTAGACATCTTTTGAACACCAGCAAGCCTTTGAAACAGGATCTTATTTTTACAAACTGATATTTACCGATGTTTTCATTTGTGCATTTATCAACATTATTGCAATGCTGTGTTTTTTAGGCCGTATGCAACCTTGCGGTCTTTCTCTGAAAGTGTGCTCTATGACTATTTAAACAAATAACACTGTAGCGTGGCTACAACAAATGCTTGTACGGCGCAGGTAAACACATCAGGGGCTTCTCAGTGACCGCACCTGGAGGCAACTTGATTTTCCGGCCTGTGAAAAACGTGTCCAAAACAACTCTGACAAACTCTTCCTTATTTCTAGGGAAGTCACCTGTTGCAGCAGCAAGAATGAAGGGTCTTGGTAATATTTATTGTGGCACAAGCCTTTTGTAGATAGACTCTGCTTTATAATACATGTACTTGCAAACCTGCATAACAGTTACAGAAAGAGAAATAGTTATCAGTAGTGTACACAGGGGGTGGGAAAGACATTATATGTCTGTCACAGCATCAGGTCTAACATTTCTGTGGAGAGCCCAAATCATAACTGGGTAGCCATTTAGAACAGCAATACTGCTACCCCACCCCCCAAGCTATTGTGTGCTTATTTAACTCTCTTGGTGTGGCAAGCGAATCCCCAGTTCTGATTGTGCAAATTGATTAGAATCATATTTGCTGATAAGGTCTAATACAGCAATTTCACTCTGGAATCCTGCATTTGAAGCCTTCTTGTTGGTTACATGGTGGCTTTGAGGTCAGCAGCAGCGAGCAGAGCATCCTTGGAGAATGAAATGTTCTCTTGTTGCATCCTGAGTGTTGCCAGCTTCTAGGTCAACCTTCCCCCATGCCCTTCTCCTGTTTGCGCACAGTACAAACAGGGCACTCTCTTGGCAAGGGAATAACACAGTGCAAACCTGACAATTGAATGTTAAATGAATGGGAGGTTCACAAGAGCCATTTCCAATTTTTAACGCTAACTAAAATACATCTGTTATAGAAAGCGTGCAGCAACATGGTTTGCCTTCAGGCATTATGATGATGGAAATGAAGATTATTGTAAATATTATATGTAATAAGCCAATTAACCCCAGAAAAAAATAAGCAATTCCAATATCAATGAAAATAATGAGGCCTGAATTCTGTTGGCAACTGAATGCCAATGCAGACATTAATTCTTCAGCTAGCATTATTACATGTATCTCTTGTTTAAAAAAGAAAAAAGAAAAGAAAACCAGTTGGGCAGGAAGTACCTACTGGTGTGTAATTGTGCGTTCATAATTCTTTCTTCAATCATTATACGATTATGACATTTGTGGTTAGCTGGAACTGCTAGATATTGCAGAATGGAGGCCTTTTGTAAGAAGACCTTCCGATTTTCCAATTTTGTGGTTTGGTGGAGCAATGCCAGTGGTCTGTTTCTCTCCCTCCCCCCTCCCCAACACACTCACTTTCTCACACAGGCACACTTTGGCCTCCCCCTCCCATCTTAGCTGCATTGGAATCTTGGGATCACCGGGAGCGTAGGCTTTAATCTGTGCTCACCCAATGATTCTGATCCAGTGGTCCTGAAATTGCATGGAAATGTATTTCTTTTCCCAATTGATGACTGATCAGCTGGGCAACAAGGAAAAGTGGGCAGGGCTCCCCAGAGCTTGGTGGCTACACTGAAAGCTGGCAAGGTGTGGGTAGTGTAGATGTGTCCTACAGCAATGTTCTTTCCCCATACAGTAACTTACATTAAGGACTCAGCTATACAGCTGCAAATGAAACATTTTCAGTGTGTTGTAAAGTGCAATATACAAATATGGCACTAGATGGCAACAATGAGCTATGCCAAATTCAATGTATTTTTCACAACTTTTTTAAAAAAAGCATTTTCACGGCATTTTTAATATGCGTGTAGATTCCACCTGTGTCTTTTAACGTGATTAGAGAGGCTATTTTGCACATCCTAATCATCACTGTTGATTGGGACAAACCCTTCCTTGTTCTCAACATCTTAACCTTAATCAGTCATAGAGGAAGGCCATTTTAAGCTCCATGGAAATGATTTGCAATGTACCAGTCAGCACTTGTGGAACTCCCTTCCTTATTGGTCCTCAGGTGCCAGTTGCTGTGCCAGACCTATGTTGCTTTCAGGAGAAGGAAAACTCTGATGGAGAAGGAAAACTCTGACCCGAAACCTCCTCTGCCTTGTGGGTATACTGTAGCAGGAACCCCCCACCCCAATCATTCAGTTTGTACAAACTTCACACACTCACACTCACACACTACATATGCCACACTTCTGTTATAAATTCATAGAAAAATCAACCATACATCGGATTTGCACTGTTCCATTTTTATTTTACTCCATATGACAAGGACTATCAAAGGGGGGTGGCTTGGTTCTGGTCAGCCATAATCCCTTCACCATCCCAGCACATCCACAGGAGCCCTGCCCAGTTGCTATGCCAACCCTGATGGTCCTAGACAGAAGACCATCAAGATCACAAAGAACTTGCATATGGGAGTGGATTCAGCATGGACTGAAACAAAGGACAATGATCAGATCTTCCCTCTGGGGGCAGGAAACTGCCAACTCCCCTTTGTCTCCTGGAAGTGACTCATGGGCAGGGGGAAAGGAGGAACCAGCCAGGTGACAGGACACTCAGGTTACCACCACAACTCCTCCCTCAACCCCTCCTTTCTGTAATGTATGCATGATGTCAACCCCTCCTTTCTGTAATGTATGCATGATGTCAACCCCTCCTTTCTGTAATGTATGCATGATGTTTCTGGGGGTGGGCTTGACCTAGAGGATGGGAATTTTAAAAGTTTTTATAAGGTCTTGCACACCATCTTTCTGGGTCTTTCCTCTCTCCTGCAAGTGAGGGGAACACCCTGTTGCAACAGTTCAATAAAGGCCAAGCCTACAGGCTGCTGTTTTGCTCCAAGTTATCCTGGTTGGTGTCTTTGTTTTTGTCCAAGGGAGCCCTCGGATTTTTCCGGTAACAGTTTACAATACCCATCCATGAGAAAGGCTTCGGGAGTAAACCCTCAGGAAAAATCTGTACCTGCTGCCTTGCGGGACCTTTTTGGGAGAAGAAAAGGCTATGGAGTAAACCCTACACATATCTGAAGTGGAGTCCCTAAGATGGTTGGATGGAGCCTTGTATGCCTCCTTCCAGCAACTCCTGCAACCAAACTGGTGCTAAACATACAGTGGTACCTCGGGTTACATACGCTTCAGGTTACACACTCTGTTAACTCAGAAATAGTGCTTCAGGTTAAGAACTTTGCTTCAGGATAAGAACAGAAATTGGGCTCTGGTGGCGCGGCAGCAGCAGGAGGCCCCATTAGCTAAAGTGGTGCTTCAGGTTAAGAACAGTTTCAGGTTAAGTACGGACCTCCGGAAAGAATTAAGTACTTAACCCGAGGTACCACTGTATTGCTCTGCTTTCCTTTGGGCCACATCAGCAAGACCGAAAGGGGCGTTGCTGGGCAGCGCAGAATCTCCATACACACTGCCCACGCTTGTGTCCCATAGAAGTCAGTTCAGTGCTGCTAATGCAACAAAAACAACATAGGAGGCAGAAGTTACGAGTTACCAGTTTCCACAGACACAGCAGGCACTGTGATTCTCCAGCGGCTTGACTTCCCCCTTGGAGGCACACGCTCTCAAGGCAGACAGATGCCAACAACAACAATGTTGTGTTTGGTTCTTGAATGCAAAGAAGTAATCCCTAGATCAGAATCTGGCAACCCTTCTCACCCTTGTAAGCCGGGGGTAGGCAACATGGTGCCCTCCATATGTTTTCTCCTACAGTTCCCATCAGCCTCAGCCAGTATGGTCGATGGTCAGGGATGATAGGAGTTTCGCTCCAAAGTACCGTATCTGGAGGGCACCTTCGCATTGAGTAGGAGGTTGGACGAAATGACATGATTTTATGATCCAATGAAAACCACAGCTTCTCTTGACATCCCTTGGAGAGATCCTCTTTGAGAACCAAAAGCTGAGAGTCAGTACCAAATCTAAATATTAGGATTTTACCTATTGGCTTTCATTAAATATTCCCCACTGAAATATTTAGCCTTAAAAATATTGACCTGGCATGGAAATCATCTTGTGTTTGTTCTCAGTAGGGTGGCTGAAAAATACCCGCTCATGAAAGTTAATCTTTCCGCTGCCTGTTGAGTATTCTGATTTAAGCAAAGCTAACATTTCCTAACTCATTCCTTCTAACTGGATTTTTCCAGATGTTGCTTTCCTTTTTGGAGGGTGGTATTCTAAAAGCATTTCCTTAGCAGATAAGATTTCTTTTATTCTTATTTGCAGGCACTGAGGTGGAAAGCAAGAAATGTGATACTCTTTTCTTTTCTTTTTTGAAAAATAAGATGAAACTACCTTCCCTATTGTTTGCCATTCCCCAAAGTGTTTCCTGTTCTACCTGTTGAAAGCGCTGAGCTCTTTCTTAAACAGAGCTTAGTTTGCTTCTAATCAGCAAGTTATTTGCTTACCTAAATCAGTGCAACAGACAAGCCTCATTATTCTTGGTAGACTGGTAGATATTTAACCTGTGCGTGTGAGCCACTGCATGTGTTATTTTTCCCCCAGCTTTTCCCACCCGTGGCCAGTGTGTCTCTGACATGAACCAATATTTCAACATGTCAATGGAGAACAATGCACGAACCTTATTAATCTGATATTGTGGTTAAATAGACCCAGCTAAGACATTGGCTTTGTTTCTAGAATAAGTTAATTTAAGAAAGTTCAAGGAAGGAAAGTTTGCCACATCTTCCTTTGCCCTACACGACACCTGCAACCCCAAAAGGCATGGAGGCTGCTGGGGCTTGGGCTCCAAATCCAGTTTGGGGAGATTGACCCTCTAATGTTAATTCCAAAGAGTTCTTGCAAACCCATGATTCTCATGCACTTTTTTTTCCAGCTTGGCTCCTCCTTGAGGCATGAATTTAAAAATGCAGTATCTAAATCTGTTGCAGCAACACAGTGTAATCAATATGCTGTTAAACGCTTAAATGAAAGTTTTCATCATGGATATATTAAAATCTGTCGTCTCCTGAATAGGAAATTCAGGAGTGATCAGGTAGGAGGCACCAACGTTCCTGATACATTAAAGCAAAAAGAAAGAAAAAGGAAAAAAGGAAAAGAAACAAAAAAAAAAATGCTTGCTGACTGCTAAAAAAAAAATTCTGAGCATGCTTAGTTTTGTATTTTAAATAACACTATGATAACTACAAGGAATAAAATTGTTGGTGTATGCACACCACAAATATAAATCCACTTCTGCTGTTTTGGCTTGGTCACTGTTGTTGTTGTTGTTGTTGTTGCATATGCCACCCATCAGCCCCAGCCACTCTGGACAGCTTCCAGAAATAAATAAATAAATAACCATCAAACATCAAAAACTTCCCTATACAGTGGTACTTCGGGTTACAGACGCTTCAGGTTACAGACTCCTCTAACCCAGAAATAGTACCTTGGGTTAAGAACTTTGCTTCAGGATGAGAACAGAAATCGCGTGGCAGCCACGTGGCGGCAGCAGGAGGCCCTATTAGCTAAAGTGGCACCTCAGGTTAAGAACAGTTTCAGGTTAAGAACGGACCTCCGGAACGATTTAACTTCTTAACCTGAGGTACCACTGTACAGGACTGCTCTCAGACTTCACTGTAGTTTGGTTTGTTTCTGTTGTTAAGAGACTCCCTTCCCAGCACCTTCACAGGGCTGCAGTCCCCAAGGGGTAGGCTTGAGGTGTTTGCTTCTGCTGCCCTGATAAAATGAGTACCTGTATCCATGCACGTGTCTGGCTTGTTGATTATAAAATGTACTTAAATAGAGGAACAAAGAAAAGGCAAGTGGCAGTTGCTGCAGAGTCTGGAATGCTCAAGGTGACTAGCTGCTGACTCCAGCACTGTTTGTGCCCATCAGCTGCCATCTGGCTTATAGTTTCAGGGGAACCCTGCGTTGTGGGGCCCTGCACCTCTGTATGTGAAAGCCCTCTATATGTCAGGTACCTACATGTTAGGGGAGACTTTGACCACACAGTCCCTTCATACCACTCAAGGTGTACCCAAGTTTCACCAACTTAAAATAAGTTTTGTTTGTTTCAGTGGTATCCCCCCCCCCCCGGGAGTGTTTACAGTTGCAGCCCTACTACTACTACTACTAATAATAATAATAATAATAATAATAATAACAATTTTTTATTTATACCCTGCCCTCCCCGGCCAGAGCAAGGCTCAGGGCGGCTAAAACCAGTAAAATTACAATAAAAACATAATGCGGGGGGGAACCCAATTTAAAATATGGGTTAGCAACTGGGCAGGGCTCCTTTGTATGTGCTGGTATGCTCAAGGGATTATGGCTGCCCTGTATCAAACCTTCCCCATTTTTTAGTCCTTCCTTCATGGAGTAAAATAAAAGTGGAACAGTGCAGATCCGATGTATGGTTGATTTTGTGTGTGTGTGTGTGTGTGTGTGTGTGTGTGTGTGAAGTTTGTACAAACTGAATGATTGGGGGGGGGGTTGCCTGCGACAGGGTTAAATTACAATTTAAAATGCAGCCTCATTTTAATAGTAGGCCATAGATCAATATAGGCATAACCAGGATTTTTGTTGGGGGGCGGGGAGCAGGACTTTGTTAGAGGGGGCAGAACCGTGATTGGTCAGTTAGTTAAGTATTTCTATTGCTTTACTTGATCTATGGGACAGCTGCCCCTGCCCCCCCCCCCCGGCTATGCCCATAGCCCTACATCTTTTTACTTGTCGTTTCCCTACATCCTGATTCTTCATGTTTGCCTAAACCCAGTGAAATAAATGTGTTTTGTTAGAACACACCTAGATTTGCGTAGGATCAGGTCGCAAAGGACGTTGTTGGCAATTGAGCAGAAATATTCTCTGCAGGAGCTGAGCTGGGGGGGCCAATTCTGCCCCAGATGCTCACCAAACTGCAGAGGCACAAGACAGGAGCAGATGGGAAACAAATCAAGCTTTGGAGAAACAAGCCATTGCATGTTTGCTCAGCTGTAAGATGACTCATGGTTTGTTGAACAAACCATGCTTAAAATAAGCCATAACTTTTGTGTTATGTGTGAATGCAGTCAGAGATTGGCCCAATATCACCCATGGCTGAATCTCTGTGCTTCTACTGCTACATTCTAACCATTGCATCACATTGATGTGTATTATTAACCTTTGCAGCCTGACTGTTTGCACCCATTTACTCAGAATTAGTCCTTACTGAGTTCTTTGGGGATTGCTCTAAGAGCCAGGGCAGAAGGGCTGAAGTTTGTTGTTGTTTAGTCGTTTAGTCATGTCCGACTCTTCATGACCCCATGGACCAGAGCACGCCAGGCACTCCTGTCTCCCACTGCCTCCCGCAGTTTGGTTAAACTCATGCTGGTAGCTTCGCGAACACTATCCAACCATCTCGTCCTCTGTCGTCCCCTTCTCCTTGTGCCCTCCATCTTTCCCAACATCAGGGTCTTTTCCAGGGAGTCTTCTCTTCTCATGAGGTGGCCAAAGTATTGGAGCCTCAGCTTCAGGATCAGAAGCTTTCGTGTGCATGCACACTTCTTCAGATACCCAGATACACAGGGAAGCTTATACCCAGAACAAACTTAGTTGGTCTCTAAGGTGCTACTGGACAATTTTTAAATTCATTTTGACTGTGTCAGACCAACACGGCTACCTACCTGAATCTGGAGGACGACACAGTTAGTCTGTGTAGGACTGCAGTCTTACAGTCTGATCCTATCTTTGTTATCTTGGAAGTTAGTTCTACTTATTTTAATTTCCTCCAAAGCGTGATAGGATTGAAGCCTTCTGTGTTCAGGATTGCACACTTGTATTTAAAAACAAAACCCTACAACTGGTTTCTACACACATGCACTCACAGTAAGTTTCTTGTAGTTAAATGAAACTTCCTTCTTGGGCTATCAGCATTGTAGCCTGACCCTATGCATGTTTACTCTCAAGTAAGCATATGTAGGATTACAGCCATGCAGCGAGCCCTACATATATGTACTCAGGCAAAAGTTATATGAGGGATTTACTTCCATTTTCCAGCTCTAGTTTTTTGTTTTTTTTACTTTCATCATGATTGATGTGATGAGAGTGACAGGGAACATTGACTTTACGATCAAGGGGAGGTGCCTCAGCCTACCACTTTCTGGATCGTACAGCTTTGGCAAGTTAAACAAAATGCAATTAAGCCTCAGACATGAACTGCTTGAGAGTTTCGCTTCATTGCTCTGTATCCCAAGCCTTTGCAAAACCAGCCCATTACGGAAGAGATTTGTTTCAATCATTAAACTGCATGTGCTGTAAGGGTGCTGCAGTGTACGCTATGGTTTATTTATTTATTTATTTTTTATTATTGTTATTTACGTATTATTAGTTATTGAATTTATATACCACCCTATACCCGGAGGCCTCAGGGCGGTTCACAGAACAAAATCAAAAATATAAAACCACAAAATATATAATCAAAATACAAACAACAACCCAATACCCCCCCCAAAAAAACCCCACATTTTAAAAGGGCAGTGTTGACTAAAGGCAGTTGCTTGGTGACACAGTGCAAGTGCATACTCTGAGATTGTATACAGATCCGTACCTAAGTATTCAGATCAAATAAGCAGTGACTGTGAACCCAAGTTACAACATAGAAAGTTGCTCTGGCAGTTCAGTTAAAACTTTATCATTTAATTTCCAGGTCACTTTTTGAAAGTGTTCAGAGCAGCTTACATAAGGCCCAGATGGATCAGCCAGACCAGTGGCTTGCTGTGTTCATCTGATAAAACAAAATGTACACTACAATCCTATGCATGTCTACTCAGAAGTAAGCCCCAAGGAATTCCACAGGGCTTATTCCCACTTTTGCAGTGTGCAAATGGCTGAATTCTTTCCCAGGATGCGAGAGTTAAGGACAAGAATGGAAATTAAAATGTGGGAGAGGATAAAGTTCTGGACAGAATGGGGTGCTAATCTTTGGGTTGAGGCAAAAAGTATTGGAACAGACTGTTGATGAGAGTTTCCCTTAGGTCTCTTATGAAGTAAGAGGTTCTTTGCTGGGCTGTGAGGAGTTCAATATATCTGTTGATAAAGAAAAGTTTTTATTGCCTTCCCAAGCTTCACCTGTGTTGCAATAATACCCTGCAGGCTATGTGAGCAAAACATTGTAAAAAGAAGGGTGGAGCCCATGTATTTTGCTTGTGTCCTTAAGACTGGTGAAGGTGGTTTGGTCAGGTGATGGTGAGGTCAGAGGGAAATCTGCAGCCTTTTACTTTTGGCCACAGCAAGAGTAATAGAATCAGAGCACAGGGCTATCACCCAGAACCCAGTATCTGACAACCATTCAATAAGGGAAGGCTTGTAGCTGAGATGTAGAGCATCTTACTTGCATGCAGAAAATCCCAGATTTGATCCTTGGCATCATGGGCTATAGCCAGCGGGGTGGGAAGGGGGGCAGCTCCCCCCTCCAATCAAGTAAATAAATAAAAACACTTAACTAAAAGTAGAAAACAATTGGAATATTTGAAATCAAAATGCTCACTGAGGTCACATGGATGCATTCTAGCGACACAACTGGCATCCCGACTGTTGTTGAGACATTTTGTTCCGAATCTGCTAGACAGAGACAGACAGAGGATGAGGGCAGGTGGGTGTCCTGCCCCTCCACAACATAAATCCTGGCTATGCCCATGCTTGGCATCTCCAGGTAGGGCTCAGAGAGACCCCGGTCTGAAATATCTGGAGCCTCTGCCAGGCAGAGCTTGTTGCACTAGTATTCTGACATGATGAAAGGTAGCTTTCTTTGTTCCTATAGCCTAAAGTTTAGTGGACTAGGGTCTATTTCATCAAAAGCATGAAGTACTGCAGCAGCAGCAGCAGCAGCAGCAGCAGCAAGGGGCTGGATTTGTTAGCAGTGAGGTCAGAGGGAAATGAAACCCAAGAGAGAATATTGGTTCTTAGTACAAGTATAACCTGCCCTCCTTTATTTAGATAACTAACAACCCCGTAGGGACGCGGGTGGCGCTGTGGGTTAAACCACAGAGCCTAGGACGTGCTGATCAGAAGGTCAGCAGTTCGAATCCCCATGACGGGGTGAGCTCCCGTTGCTCGGTCCCTGCTCCTGCCAACCTAGCAGTTCGAAAGCATGTCAAAGTGCAAGTAGATAAATAGGTACCACTCCGGCGGGAAGGTAAACGGTGTTTCCGTGCGCTGCTCTGGTCTGCAAAAAGTGGCTTAGTCATGCTGGCCACATGACTCGGAAGCTGTACGCTGGCTCCCTCGGCCAATAAAGCGAGATGAGCGCCACAACCCCAGAGTCAGTCACGACTGGACCTAATGGTCAGGGGTCCCTTTACCTTTACCTTTAACAACCCCGTGAGGCAGGCTTAGATAGGCATGGTTTGCCTAAGGCCATCCAGTGAGCTTTATAGCTGAGTTGGGATTCAACCCAAACCAGCGGTTCTCAACCTGTGGGTCCCCAGATGCTGTTGGACTACAACTCCCATCATCCCTGAGCTCTGGCCTTGCTAGCTAGGAGTGATGGGAGTTGTAGTTCAACAACATCTGGGGACCCACAGGTTGAGAAAGTCTGACCCAAACACTCTAATGTGGGAAATGTTTGGGGCTCCCATCATGGGAGTTGCTGAACTACAACTCCCATCGTCCAGTTCCTGAACAACAACTCCTATCACGCCTGGGCATTGGCCGTGATTGCTAGGGCTGATGGGAGTTGTAGTTCAGCAGCTACTTGTGGGTCAAAGGTTCCCATTGCTGCTCTGCTTTCTGCTCTGGAGGACGTAGCAGCTTTCCGAAAGGCTGGAGAAATACGCCTGTGCTTATTTAACACTGGGTTAAATGGGTAGCATCCCTATTCAGAACTGAGGCAACAGCTACTGCAGGCAGACAGGAACTACAGTTGCCAAGCTGACCAGGTAAAAATAAGCACCTCACCTCACTTATGCCTTTTTCATCAATTTCAGCTCCAGAAATCAACCTGGGATTTTTCACAATGTGCAGATTAAGATCAGCTGCTAATGTCTGTGATTAAACAGACCCTGCTACAGAGGCCAGGGGAAGAACTGACAACCCTAATAGGGACAATGGAATCCAGTAGAATGCCAATAATGTTATTTTAGAAAAGTGTCTCCCCAGTTGCAGTGGGGGTTTACTCCCCAAATAATGTGTTTAGGACTGAAGTCTTAAGGCAATGGGGCTAAACAAATACCTCTCAACACAGACACACAGGAACAAACATTTAATCAGCCTTTGCTCAAAGAGTGGTTGGATGTGGCCATTGGCAGTTTCTGGCACCTGATTAACAACCAGGAAGGTAGTCTCTGATTGGATGCAGGGTATTTAAGAGGAGAAGCAAGCAGCTAATTACATTTTTAAAACCCCAAAACTAAGCAGCTGCTTTCCGTGCCTATCAGTAGTTTAGGCCTCTTCTGGGATTACTGGGCAGCGAAGGCTATGAAGGAATGGAGAGAATTTGCCTAAGAGCTAAGTTCAGGTGAATTCCTGGATGAATGTTGGAGTGTGCTTGTTCTTCCGGGATCACAAGGGGAGGCTAGGGTGTGGCTTACATGCTATGCATCAAGTTCATTTTTCACAGTTGTGTGACTGTATTTCCAGACCCTCCAAGTGTCCCTATTTTCCAGGGATGTCCCTGATTTTTAGAAGCTGTCCCGGTTTCTGATTTTATCCCGGAATGTCCCACTTTTCCTTAGGATGTCCCTATTTTCACTGGAGAAATGTTGGAGGGTATGGAGTTATCCAATCCCTGAGCCATCTGAAGGCAATCCTGTATAGGGAAGTGGTTTCTTTAAGAAATGTTTAATGTTTTCTTATTTTTTATGTATGTTGGAAGCTGCCCAGTGTGTCTGGGGTAAACCAGTAAGATGTGTGAGGTATTAATAGTAAATTATCATTATGGAATGGGAAGTCCCTATTTTCACCAGAAAAATGTTGGAGGGTATGTATTTCAGTTATGGTAATAGCAGACCCCCAACATTTGATTGCTTATACCCTATCTGTAATTGTCTATATTCTATTAATTGGGGGCAAAGTATATTCTGTGATCATACTGTGCAGGTGTAACAATCTTGGTTGTGTGTAGTTTTAGGATTTGTTTGTTGTTTAAGCGTTTGTTGTCCTCAAGGAAGGTCATGGGATGGAGCCTCTCATAATTTTTATAGTACAGTGGTACCTCGGGTTAAGTACTTAATTCGTTCCAGAGGTCCGTTCTTAACCTGAAACTGTTCTTAACCTGAAGCACCACCTTAGCTAATGGGGCCTCCTCCTGCCACTGCGCAGCCGGAGAACAATTTCTGTTCTTAACCTGAAGCACTATTTCTGGGTTAGCGGAGTCTGTAACCTGAAGCGTATATAACCTGAAGCATATGTAATCTGAGGTACCACTGTAATAATTTTATTATTTGTATCCCATCCATCTGACTGTGTTGCTCCAGCCACACTGGATGTCTCTCAGAGGGTGCAAAGTTTAATGACTGGAGCCCTGAGGCCCTATCCATTTCATGTCTCCTTTTCCTCTTTACAGAGAACTGTTATGGGGCCACACTTCCTTTATGAGGCTGACCTCTCTGTGCCATCATCCTAAAATGGTGTGGAAAGAGTTCCTGCTTTGTCGCAATGCAGGATTTGCATGTAGATTTAGAATGTGGGGTCCGGTTCTATTGTTCTTTAATGCTAGTGTTTGATTAGTGCTCCTGTTCATGGACCTTTGTATGTATGGCACTACATACAAGGATATGTTCATGATACGTTTCAAAGCAGTACTTGAAATTCAGCAGGTGCATTTTGCACCTGCCTCTTGGCCACTTATGACCAAGTGAAGATGCCCAGGCGCCAGGATGGTGCCTGATGTCTCCACCATCTGGAGATGCATGCCTGGGAATTCTTGGATCTTGCCTCTTTTCACACACTAACAACACATCTTGTAGAATTCTATCTGTGATATTTTATTTGCATGATCAGAGAGAATTTCAGGAACCCCAAAATTGCATTGAAAAATACGACTTTTGAGCCATCTGACCCCAAAATGGCAACTAGACATTCCGTTTTGGCGACAGTAACCCTGGTGTAGGAGCCATTTGGTGCCTAGCGATTGTCTTAAGGCTATGAGACAACTTCCTGAGCTCCGGGGAAGAGGAATTGATTGTTGAAGCGCTCTGTAAACTGTAGCTCTGTGAGAGGAATAGGAATCGCTGAACAATTCTCAGCACACTTAACCAAACTACAGCTCCCAGAATTCTTTGGGGAAAGCCATGACTATTTAAAGTGATATCATAGTGCGAATGGTGTGAATGCAGCCTTGGTCTGTATGACTCAGACTGCCCTTTCCTAGTATGTACTGTGGTACCTTGGTTCTCAAACTTAATCCAAAACCAAAGCATTCGAAAAACCAAGGCACACTTTCCCATAGAAAGTAATGCAAAACAGATTAATTCATTCCAGACTTTTAAAAACAACCCCTAAAACAGAATTTTAACATGGATTTTACTATCTAATGACACCATTAATCCATAAAATGAAACAATAATCAATGTAATGTACTACAAAATAAGACAGTATTTTAGATGATAAAAAATAAGTTTTTTTTCCTTACCTTTGCTGATGATAGTCATTGTTTGGATGGGGGGCTTTTTTTTTAAAAAAAATGATATTTATTAAAGTTTCCATAAAAGATTAAACATAAAACATAAAAAAGAAATACACAATTCAAAAAATACACAATACATAATCCAAAAAAGAAAAAAAGAACAAAAAACAAAAGACAAAAAAGAGGAAAAAAAAACAGTTAAAAACAATATCACCTTTTCATTTCCATTTTTAAATTTACTTATTTTCTGGACCTTCTCATACCTCCCTCTTTTGTATTCCAGTTCAAATTGTTTGTCCAGCAATTTCTTTCCCTCTTTTTTAATCCCAATCTTTGGTCTTAATATAATATGTTTGGATGGGGGGCTTTTATCCATTTCCGCAGTCACACAATCAGTCAGTCAGTCAGTAGCTAAACTGGGTTCCACACAGTCACAAAAACAATTTAACTGAAAAAGCCTCAAAAACAAAAACGCAAAATAAATGTTCGAAATCCAAGGCGCAGCTTCTGATTGCCCCAGAAACAATAACTGACAGCCGGATTGGATGTTCGGCTTCCGAAAACCGTTCAAAAACTGGTACACTTACTTCTGGGTTTTCGGCATTTGGGACCCAAGGCATTTGAGTACCAAGGTGTTTGAGAACCAAGGTACCACTGTAAGTTCCAACAACATCCATTGTACTGACCACTCCTGGAAAAGGTCATTGTCTTCTTGGCATCCTGTGGGCTTCCTGTTTGGCCATTGTTGAAAATGGAATCCTAGACCGTATGGGCCCAAGGACTGATCAATCAGGGCTCTTATGGTAGCTGTCCTCAATGCAATACATTTTTAAAACTTCCCCCACCTCCTACAGATGTTGCGAGTGCCTAAGATGTTGTGGAAGAAGAGACCCAAGGCCTCGGACGGTTTGGCTTGGCCATCCAGAAAAGAGGGACCAGCGATACCCACGCAATGTGATCAACAACCAGAAGTACAACTTTTTCACTTTCCTACCAGGGGTATGTATTCCATGTTGAAAAACCGTGTGCTTTCCTCTTCTATTGATATTTGAGGGTTGAGTGCCAGTGGTTTATTTGGAGTGGGCAATCAAGACAGCTGTAACCTGGATTGGCTCAATCTACTCTTCTGCATTTAAGTGAAGCTTAATTTTGCTTCTCCCTGTCTGTGCACCAATAAGCCATCCTGTTGCCTACAGTAGTGAAGAAGTCGCTGAGGAATTTCCCAGTCCAACACAACTGAATGGAGGGAAGAGAAGGGGCTGAAATTGGGACTTTTCCTATTTCAGTCCTCTTTCCCTGTGATATATGTATCAATGGACACACTGTCCTTTCCGTATAGATGCAGCGTTTAAACTGTGCTATAATGGGGAAAATAGAGGGGGGAGCCACAGTTGACTCCATATCTTTAATGTCCTGGAATGTGCTGGAGTTTGCATTTTTTTTCTTAAAGCTTTCCTGGTTAGCTGAATTCCTAAAATGTTGCTAGATGCCTTGGAACAGCCTTCAACTTGGTATCCTCCAAATATTTTGAACTACAACTCCCATCAGCTCCATCCAGTTGATGGGAGTTGTAGTCCAGAACTTTGGGAGGGCACCGGGTTGCGAAAAGCTGTCTTAAACATTTCCATGGTGAGGCGTGTTAACCTTAGATGTGCTGCTACAAATGCCTTTCTTGTTCCTCACTCTGTTTCTTAGGTGCTGTTCAACCAATTCAAGTACTTCTTCAACCTCTACTTCTTGTTTCTGGCCTGTTCTCAATTTGTTCCTGAAATGAGGCTCGGTGCTCTTTACACGTATTGGGTTCCTTTGGTAGGTAGTATCGAGTTTATTTATTCAAGAAAAGTTTCAGTGTTTGAATACAAGATGTCCTTTGTTACCTTATCTCAGAGATCCAAGTGGTGCCGTAACTTAAAATGGTTTTTGTTAGCTTGTTTCATGAAGCCTGTCCTTTATGTGTTTGGGAATTGTAGCTGCCGAAAGTGATTTAATAAAGGTTTGCTATTCAAAATTGGGACCTTCAGCGGTCTAAGGAAATGCACGAGGGATATTTGATCCAAAAAGGTAATTTATCCCATAAATCAGCCATTCTAGGAGTACAGCTAAGGGAGATTCCCTTGGGTTAACCCTGGGAAGAGTAAGACATCATGTGAACGTTCCACCAGTTAATCCCGCAACAATTAACTATACAGGTGAAACTCAGAAAATTAGAATATCGTGGAAAAGTTCATTTATTTCAGTAATTCAACTTAAAAGGTGACATGGCTCCCCAAATATCTTTTCTGATGAGAGCAGCTTTTGCATCTCGTTTGGAAACCAAGGACCCAGAATCTGGAGGAAGAATGGGGAGGGACACAATGCCAGATGCTTGAAGTTCAGTGTGAAGTTTCCACAGTCTGTGTTGATTTGGGGAGCCATGTCATCAGCTGATGTTTGTCCACTGTGCTTCATTGAGTCCAGGGTCAACGCAGCCGTCTGCCAGGAGATTTTGGAGCACATCATGCTTTCCCCCCGCAGATGAGCTTTATGGGGATGCTGACTTCATTTTCCAGCAGGACCTTGGCACCTGCCCACACTGCCCAAAGTACCAAAACCTGGTTCAATGCCCATGGGATTACTGTGCTTGATTGGCCAGCAAACTCGCCTGACCTGAACCCCATAGAGAATCTATGGGGCATTGCCAAGAGACAGATGAGAGACATGAGACCGAGCAATGCAGAAGAGCTGAAGGCTGCTATTGAAGCATCCTGGTCTTCCATAACACCTCAGCAGTGCCACAGGCTGATAGCATCCATGCCACGCCGCATTGAGGCAGTAATTGATGCAAAAAGGGCCCAAACCAAGCACTGAGTACATATGCATGCTTCTACTTCTCAGAGGTCCAATATTGCTCTATTTGCAGTCCTTGTTTTGCTAATTTCATTTAACATTCTAATTTTCTGGGATTGTTAATTTGGGGCTTTCATCAGCTGTGCTCCATGACCAATTATAACAAATAAAGGCTTGACATATCTTGCTTTGCATGTCATGAGTCTATCTCATATATTAGTTTCACCTTTTAAGTTGAATTACTGAAATAAATGAACTTTTCCATGATATTCTAATTTTCTGAGTTTCACCTGTATATTATTTGGCTAGTGTTTCAGACATTTTGTATGTTGGGTTCAGAATTAAGCTTGTACACCATATTAAACCAAATGATCTAGAGCTAGGGGTGAGCAGTATGGTAGCCAAGTTTGTGGATGATGCCAAATCATTCAAGGCGACAAAAATAAAGTGGGATTTCAAGGAGCTCCAAAAGGAGTCCAAACTGGATGAATGGGTAGTAAAATGGCAAATGCAATTCAATGTAAGCATGTGTAAAGCCAGTGGAAAAAATATATTTAAAAATCCAAACTTCGTATATATGCCCATGGTGGTCTGAACTGGTGGTCACTAACCATGAACAAAACTGTGGGGTCAAAGTTGATAGCTCAGTGAAGATGTCAACCCAGGGCATCTTCCCAGGAAGATTCCAAGCCCAATTCAAAGTGTTGGTGGTGACTTTTAAAGCCCTAAACGGCCTTAGCCCAGTATACCTGAAGGAGCATCTCCACCTCCATTGTTCTGCCCGGACACTGAGGTCCAGCGCCAAGGGCCTTCTGGCGGTTCCCTCCCTACGAGAAGCCAAGTTACAGGGAACCAGGCAGAGGGCCTTCTCAGTAGTGGCGCCCACCCTGTGGAACACCCTCCCACCAGATGTCAAAGAGAAGAACAACTACCAGACTTTTGGAAGACATCTGAAGGCAGCCCTGTGTAGGGAAGCTTTTAATGTTTAACTAACCACTGTATTTTAATACTTCGTTGGAAGCCGCCCAGAGTGGCTGGGGAAGCCCAGCCAGATGGGCGGGGTATAAATAATAAATTATTTTATATTATATATGAAGCAACCCACCAAGTCTAGATTTAAATGACAAACTAGGCTCTGTCCATGGGAACTTGTTCACATTAAACCATTGTTTGCTTTTGTTTTTAATATTACTTTATATGATGTTCAGACAGGTTTGCTGTGTAGTTTTCCCAGAAGGTTTTATTTTAATTTTAAGCCAAGGAGGGTAGCTTTAAATTTGATTGGAACAGTGTGGTGTCTTTGTCTGAATTGCACCTCCCTGAAACCTGTTAGAGCAATTAATTAATTTGTTTTCCAAATTGTCTTGTTTTGCACCATCCTTTTATTTTAACTCCTTTGCACGTTGTTGGGTTTGCTAGTCATTGGGAAGGGCAGGAAACAAATTCAAGGTAGCTACTGGAAGCCCCCAGCCACGAGCTTTCTGAGATTTCGGCAGACTTTGCCTGCACCCTTTCAAGCATACCTCTACAGCTGCGAGGACAAGAAACTTGAACCCGTTTAAACAAAAGCCGAGATTCTTGTGATCCCGAATTCTGCGGCCTCATTTTATATATGCCATTGTGTCAACAATCGGGTGCTTGCCTGTAGCTGCACTGTTTCATTTGTTATGGCTTGGGAAAGAGAAGTTAGAGGCTAGTTTTTGCAAGGCTGGCTTGCAAACCTATAAGGCCATTGTGATTTGCCCCACATCACACGAACCATTGAAATTCAGCATGTGAGCGGCCAGGGCTATATATAAAAGGCCTTTTGTTCATTGCAGGCTGCTAATGCAACCATTTTGGTATAGAATAGCAACTTGGGATAGCTTAGTGAAGCAGAACATGAAGGGGGTTTTTTTTGGGGAGGGGGAAGGAGTGATTATTTGAAATCCTTGATTGGCAAATGCATATAGATTATTTATAAAAAAATATATACTGCTGTATCATAAAAATACATCACAGCGGCTTATCACTTTGTGTGTGTGTTGCCTGTAGCAATAACAAGCTATGTTTTTGGACTCTTTATCAGAATGCTAATTAAAAGCAATAGTTTGAAATGCTGCAAAACATTCAGAAGCCATGGTATATAAAGTCTATAAGTGCCAGAGGAGATTTCCATCTTTTTGGGGGGTGAGGGGGGCACATGCATGCCATGACAACTTGGTGCCCTCAAAGGAGAAATAATGAAACCCCTTAGGGCTGGCTTCATGCAGTGACTTCCAAATTTGTGCAGCTGTCCTGTATCCCCTCAGCAGGATTTGCATCTCTTTGCAAAGCGTCCCCAAGCCTTGAGGGCATGTAGCAATGCACTTCTGAATTAATGTTCATGAGAAGTTTTGTAAGGGATGCCCTGAAATTAGCCAGACAGATTAGTTTCCTTTGAGGAGGCGTTGTGGCAGGTGGGTAGGGCTTAATTTCATTTAAGTAACAAATTATAATTTCATGATACAAGTAAGGAAAAGAAATATTAGGAGACATGTGTGCCAACATTGAGAATGTTCTTTTGGATATTTTTGTGCATTGGTTTTTTTAAAAACAAAACAAAACAAAACAAGGAATTCCTCCAGACCAGGGGTCAGCAACGTTTTTCAGCCGTAGGCCAGTCCACCGTCCCTCAGACCTTGTGGGGGGGGGCGGATTATATTTTGGGGGGAAAAAAATTGAACAAATTCCTATTCCCCACAAATAACCCAGAGATGCATTTTAAATAAAAGGACACATTCTACTCATGTAAAAACATGCTGCTTCCCAGACCGTCCGCAGGCTAGATTGAGCAGGCAATTGGGCCGTATCCTGCCCCCCAGCCTTAGGTTGCCTACCCCTGCTCCAGACTGTCAATATTTTGCAGGAGGGATTCGAATGCTTATGCCAGACCCTCCAAGTGTCCCTATTTTCCAGGGATGTCCCTGATTTAGAGAAGGTTTCTGATTTGATCCTGGAATGTCCCGCTTTTCCTTAGGATGTCTATATTTTCACTGGAGAAATGTTGGAGGGGATGGAATTATCTGACTCTGGAGCCCTCTGAAGGCAATCCTGAATAGCGAAGGGTGGTTTTTTTAAACATGTTTAATGTTTTATTATGTTTTGATATATGTTGGAAGCTGCCCAGAGTGGCTGCAGCAACCCAGTAAGGGGTGTAGGGTATAAATAGTAAAATTATCATTATGGAATGGGATGTCCCTATTTTCATCAGAGAAATGTTGGAGGGTATGTTACTCTGGAAATTTAGGTTTTTTGCAATGTCAGTGGATTAAAGCACTCTGTCACCCTCATATAACAAATGCGATTCTTAAAAAGAAACAGACTAAAAGAAAAAAATTATTGAATAAACATAGTACAAAAAGATAATACGTTAAATAATTATATGTTTGTGTTGTTATTATAATATTTATTTATCCTGCCTTTTCCCTAGACTGGGACTCAAGGCAACTTACAGAAATTAAAACAATAAGGTTAAAATGCAGAAAGCTTTAAAACATATAGAGTAACTAAAAAGCAATTAAACTGTAATAGAATTAAAACAATATAAAATTACATAAAAAATAGAATACAAAAACAAATCTATTAAAATGCAGATAGTAAAAACAGCACAGCACTATAGAAAGTCCTTTCCTTAAAACTAGTCTATTGCCAAAAACATGCTGGAATAAAATAGTCTTCACCGGCCAATGAAGGACATCAAGGCGTTTAACATACATTGAGTGCTAAGAATCTCAGGGCGGATTATATAAATATATAACCAAGTAGTCCTTAGTCCTGGTAGCTATCATTCGACCCTTTCATGACAAATGATTACCAAAACATTCAGTTTATAAATGTGCAGTCAGCTTGCGGATACATAAAATCTACACCCTTTTTGCACATAGGAACATAGCAGAGAACTGACCTGAAAAGTGTGTAATGAACAAATGGCTAATGGAAAGATGTATAAATACTCCACAACCAAATCAGGAATAAGGCAAGATGAGTGCTCATTGTCGTATAATTTAATATCCTCATAAACGTTGTGCAAGCAAATCAGGATAGATGTTCAATAAATAAACAAACAGGTCCTCTGGAGCTGCCCAAGTACTTAAAACATGAAGAAAGTTTAGCTTTAAGGTTTTGTGGAGCTCCTTTTTAAATGAAGACACAGCTCAATGCTTAGTTTTCTCTATAGAGTCTGACAATTTTAATGAAAAGTGTCACCGTATATCATCTGGTAGGCCGCACACTCCAGAATGTATTCCCGACATTCAGTGGCTTTCCATGCACTGAGTGGGAGTTCCTTGGGCTTTTATCCACACATTTTCAATGACCCCTCTCCCTCCCGCTCTCTCCTAGGGCTTTGTCCTCGCCGTTACCATCATCCGCGAGGCTGTGGAAGAGATCCGGTGCTACATGCGTGACAAGGAAGTGAACTCGCAGATCTACAGCAAGCTCACAGCGAGAGGTCAGCTATTTGGCTCCAGCTTTCTACATCTGCTTGCAGAGTCCCTTAGCTGACTGCCCGAACAGCAGGGAGTTGCAACTCAATCAAATGTTGCTGACAATTGGAGGAGCAAAGTTTCTGAAAGGGGGGTGGGGTTTGACTGTGGGGAGGGGGGAAGGTTGCCAAGCACACAGGCACATGGCTTAGCAAGTCCCCTCTGCTTCATCTGGCCCTGGCAGAGCATCAGAGACTCCTGATGACAGTACAGATAAATTTCCAGCTACAATTGGGCAATAAGTTCTCAGGGAATGGGAACCTTCCACATATTCAATGCATATTGGGATGTGGCCAGTTACTCAGAATAATTATGGCGTATGTTGTATCGAAGGGAAGAATATGAAGGAGTTCCTATTTTTGAGATGATGGCTGCTACAGCCACATCCATTTTATAGATTATAAGCGATAGGTGGTCTGAATTTGTTGACTATCCTAATCCTGACTTGGATCTTTTAAGAATGGGAATGCGTGTTGCAAATTAGGCATGCAACCTAATCCCATTCATGTTTGTTCAGAAGTAAGGCTCCTTGGGTGAAATCCCATTGTGAGCATCCGCTAGCAGAATGGGCTTAAACTCCTGCACCAGGACTCTCCCTCCCTCTCCTCCCTCTTGCAAGCTGCATGCTGACCAGATTTGCTTTGGACAGTTGGAGGACCCTGTAGATATATAGGGTTATTGGGGGTGGGGGAAGCTGGAGGACGAGGAGGAGGACGAGGAGGAGAGAACGTGCCATTTAAAAACGATTTAATATGCCCAAATCTAGACCACCTTTTAATTCCTAGGATGTAGGAAGCACACTCCTATGAAATTATGCAAATATTGCTATGAGGGCTGTCACCTAAATGGAGATGCTTGAGACTTGATCCTGGACAATTGCAATAATGGGGATCCTGAAGTACATGAAATTCACAGAAGGGGGTCTACCTCCAAAAGGCTTTTCTAAGTACCAGGAGCCCTTGCAAACAGCATGAAGTATTTTGGGATGACTCATCATATGTCCTATTACACTTCTCACAAGAAAATTTCCCCTTCCTCCTCCTCCTCCTCCAGCTCCCCCACCCCCAAATAACCCTTTATATCTGGCTTATTTGAAACAAGTCACAGTTAACCGCAGTTCAGGTTTCAGGTGAAAGACTAAACTATATGACATCTAATCATGGCCAGTGACCAACCCAAGGGAGGAAGTTCCAAAACTTTGCTTGCTCTCTCCTCCCGCCCACCAACTGCTTATATATAGAGTATACCTCTCCCTTCTAGCAATGACCTGTTTTTCTGGAGCAGGTGTTTCAGGGCTTTTTTTGACACAACCTTGATGGCAGAAAGTGAGGAGGAATTAAAGAACCTTTTAATGAGGGTGAAAGAGGAGAGTGCAAAATATGGTCTGAAGCTCAACATCAAAAAAACGAAGATCATGGCCACTGGTCCCATCACCTCCTGGCAAATAGAAGGGGAAGAAATGGAGGCAGTGAGAGATTTTACTTTCTTGGGCTCCATGATCACTGCAGATGGTGACAGCAGTCACGAAATTAAAAGACGCCTGCTCCTTGGGAGAAAGGCGATGGCAAACCTAGACAGCATCCTAAAAAGCAGAGACATCACCTTGCCAACAAAGGTCCATATAGTTAAAGCTATGGTTTTCCCAGTAGTGATGTATGGAAGTGAGAGCTGGACTATAAAGAAGGCTGATCGCCGAAGAATTGATGCTTTTGAATTATGGTGCTGGAGGAGACTCTTGAGAGTCCCATGGACTGCAAGAAGATCAAACGCATCCATTCTTAAGGAAATTAGCCCTGAGTGCTCACTGGAAGGACAGATCGTGAAGCTGAGGCTCCAATACTTTGGCCACCTCATGAGAAGAGAAGACTCCCTGGAAAAGACCCTGATGTTGGGAAAGATTGAGGGCACAAGAAGGGGACGACAGAGGATGAGATGGTTGGACAGTGTTCTCGAAGCTACAAACGTGAGTCTGACCAAACTGCAGGAGACAGTGGAAGACAGAAGTGCCTGGCGTGCTCTGGTCCATGGGGTCACGAAGAGTCGGACACGACTAAACAACAACAACATTTGCATCTGATTCTTCTGCTGCTATTTTGAGTGGGGGGTGGGGAAGGATATGATGTGAACTAGCTGTGCTAGAAGAGAGAAGTGTTCTCTATGTATAAGCAGTTGGTGGGCAGGACTTGTTTCAAACGAGCCAGATTCATAACTCATGGTTTGAAGTTGGCTTTTTTGGTGTCGTTGTTGTTTAGTCGTTTAGTCATGTCCGACTCTTCGTGACCCCATGGACCAGAGTACACCAGGCACTCCTGTCTTCCACTGCCTCCTGCAGTTTGGTCAAACTCATGCTGGTAGCTTCAAGAACACTGTCCAACCATCTCATCCTCTGTCGTTCCCTTCTCCTTGTGCCCTCAATCTTTCCCAACATCAGGGTCTTTTCCAGGGAGTCTTCTCTTCTCATGAGGTGGCCAAAGTATTGGAGTCTCAGCTTCAGGATCTGTCCTTCCAGTGAGCACTCAGGGCTGATTGGTGATAAACTGTAATTAAGCTGAACCGAAGTTTGTCAGATTCAGATGATATACTAAGCCAGCGATGGGGAACCTGTGGCTCTTGATGTTGTTGGGCTCCCAGCTCCCATCAGCCCCAGCCAATGTGGCCCATGGTCAGGGATGATGGGAGTTGGAGTCCAGCAGCTTCTGGAGATTCCCCATCCCTGTGCTAAACTGTGCTCGAGGGAAGTCAGAGGTGTGGCCTTGGACCTGGGATAGCTCAGTTAGTAGAGCATTAGTCTCTTAATCTCAAGGTTGTGGGTTTGAGCCTCATGTTGGGCAAAGGATTCCTGCATAGCAGGGAGAGTTGGACTACATGACCCTCGTGGTCCTTTCCAACTCCACAAAACTATGATTTTAAACTTGTGATGGGCAGCGGAATACCATAACTGGAGAAAGGGTAGGATGCAAGTATAATTGAAAATATGATGTGGCAGCCCCAAATCTTTTCAAATTTCCCTTCAGTTTACTGGGCTGGTTATGGGAGAGGGTGAAATAGAAGTAATTGTATTGTGAAAATTTGACAACTTTCTTTTACATTTAATTTTATATTGGGCAATCACAGCTTGTTATCTTTACGACTTGTTTTACTGCTACCTTTTGAGGCAGCAAAGAGGAGCTTTGCAAATAGTTTCAAACCATCTGTATAAATCAGATTCGGGTTTCCTATTCATCCATCCATCAACCCAACTTTGCTATTAAATTTGCAGGCCAGATTTCTGTTTTGATACTCACTAGGCTGTTGATTTAAAATTCCAGAGTTGTTTTTCTTTTCTTGCTTCCCCTCCTCAACCCCCTTTCAAGATTACAGAGCGTAGTAAGGGAGAACTACATAAAAAAACCAAAACCCACCCTATGAAATGGAAAGAGACCTCCTGCCAGCAGAGTGCTCCTTTGATACAGATCACTGGCATTTACCAGCTGTATCGAAAAACAATATTTTCCCAAACCTTTTGTGCTCTTATTTTTGCAAGTTACAGAGCGCAAGGCCACCTAAAAGCCAAAAGCGTACCAAAACAGATGAAAACTGTCTTGGGTATGTTTTGATTTGTTCCTGGGGACGTTTTGTTTTGATTTTGTGTTTGCAAATGATAGGCATCCCGGTCACTGAGGAGCTCAGGGCTGCAGTGAGCCATCACAGATATGTCTCCGCTGGGAGTTTTATATAAAGAGGGCATTCCCCGTTGCTAGTGCTGGTTACCTTTGCAGTGTCAAGGATCACGTCAGAGAGGTCTATATAAAGAACCCGAAAGCAAACAGCTAATTGGCAATACCAGTTGCATTATCAGTTTTATCTTGGTGCCACTTTTTCATACTGTAAAGGCGCAGTGCTGCCATTAATGGGATATATTAAATTTTCACTTCCGTAGTATTATTATTTTGCAGTTGTGGCACTTGGATCATCATGAACCTCAGTTGACTCTCTTAAAAAAAGTTGGTATGCATAGCTGGAAATTAAGACTGGAATGACATAGTTGCTTGCCTAATTTGGATAATAATAATAATAATAATAATAATAATAATAATAATAATAATGATGGTTTGGACTATCACAGTTTAATAAGCTGTGATATACACGTGCTTCATCCTTGTGCAGCCACTTTTCTCTTCCCTTCTCAACACAATTAACCCTGGAAGTCTTCACCATAGCATCCATTGCATTGGAACTGGGAAGCTATGGTTAAGGAAAAGCCAGGATCTTAACCCTCTGCTTAATATGCCTTGTAACCATAGCCTTGTATACAACCAAGTTTTACTCGGGAGTAGGACCATTGAAATTAGTAGATCTAATTTAGTGAGTCTTACTAATTTCACTAGGTTTACTCTGAGTAGGACTAATGTTGGGTGCAACCCATAGTTTCCTTGTTCAGCTATCATGGGGAACTAGGGTTTATTGAAGACTTCTGGGATTAATGGTGGTATGGCCAGAGGGGAAGAAGGAAGGGGCTGCGTGCTCTGGCAGGTCCCCCTTTTTCAAGTCCTGAGGATCAGATGATTGTCAAGGTTTGCAAAGTGCCTGCATGCCCATTTGGGGCCCAGCTATGTCTTTACCTAACAACACCAAAAGGGTAACGTAAGACACAGTAGCATATTGGCAAAGCAAGAGCAAACAATAAACAATTAATGCAGCTTAATATATGAGCCCCTGATATAATAATAATAATAATAATAATAATAATAATAATAATAACAACAACAACTTTTATTTTTATTTATATCCCACCCTCTCCGGCCAAAGTCAGGCTCAGGGCGGCTAACATCGCATATATAACATTGGTATAAAATCAAACAATAATTAAATTACCTCCTAAAAACAGGTCAGAATCAAATTAAATTCTAATTACATGGCTTTCTGCAGGGTTAGGGTTGGGAACAGTAAGTGCTCAACTGCCCAACTGTTTACTCTGATCTTATATGGGCCTATGAGAATGCAACAAGGAGCTGCAGTGTGTGTGTGTGTGTGTGTGTGTGTGTGTATGTATGTATGTATGTGTGTAAGACCGCCCAATGTGTGCACATTCAACTCTCCCTGAAAAGAATATTTGAGTCACACAGCCAATATTTTGCTGCTGTGCAGCGTTGGCCAGCAGTTGTGAGCGAAAGGAATTTGTTAGAGCCTTTTTCTCCCCCTTTTCCTCTTTACCAGTGAATCGATATTGTTGCAACTGTTTCCCCATGACTTAGTTTTGCAATTTGTAGCAATCATTACAGCATCAAAGGAAGTCTGTGGCTTTTATTAGCAGAAGCCAGGAGGCACTTTTGTTAAATGTGCTGTTTGTCACCAGCACAGCAGGGGTTTAGAAGTAGTTTCAGTTGTTTCGCTCAGGAGTCAGGACACTGGGCATATGTCCAGCCGAGGCATAAAAGTGTTTTAAATCCGGGGCAACTCCTGTTTTGGCCTAATGTGTCCCTTAAGTTGGGTGCAAAGAGCTAGCTCTGCCTTTGTGGAATGAAGTGGAAACCACTGATGATGGTGGTGGCGTCCTGTTATAAAGATGCTCCATGGTGTTTGGTTGTTCTAAAAGGGACTTTTGGAGAGCCTAGGGCTTGCCGATCAGAAGGTCGGCGGTTCGAATCCCCGTGACAGGGTGAGCTCCCGTTGCTTGGTCCCTGCTCCTGCCAACCTAGCAGTTCAAAAGCATGTCAAAGTGCAAGTAGATAAATAGGTACTGCTCTGGCAGGAAGGTAAACGGCGTTTCCGTGCACTGCTCTGGTTCACCAGAAGCGGCTTAGTCATGCTGGCCACATGACCCGGAAGCTGTACGCTGGCTCCCTCGGCCAGTACAGTGAGATGAGCGCCGCAACCCCAGAGTCGTTTGCCACTGGACTTAATGGTCAGGGGTCCCTTTACCTTTTAAGTGAGGGAATAAAGTTGACAAGCAGTACACGATTTCCTTCCTAGTGCAATGCCCTAAGATGCATGGCGCCTTCCTCTTTGCACCAGCACGGCATTGCACCGGTTGGGAAGATATACCAGGGAAGATTGGAGTCATAGAATCATACAATTTTAGAATTGGAAGGACCCCTGAGGGGCATCTAGTCCAACCCCCTGCAAAGCAGGATTCTTTTTCCCCAACACAGGGCTCAAACTCAAGACCCTGAGATGAAGAGCTTCAGGCTCTTCTGACTGAGCTATGTCATTATTCTTTTTTAAGGCATGGGACCATAGCTAAGTGTCAGAGCATGTAGGTTGTATGCAGACGGTTACAGGTTCTAATCCTGGCATCTCCAGTTACCAGGATCAGGAAACGGGGAATGTGAACAGCCTGTGTGGTCTCAGAGAACTGGCAGGCAGAGTAGGCAAATAGGGTCACTCCTCTATAGTATTAGACAGCTAACTATTCTCCTATGGTGCATGAAGCCATGTTAACTTGTCATCCATGTGTTTTATACTTGACGACCCCGGTGTAGACCTGTAGGACCACTAGAATAATCTGGGGAGGATTTTGCTCATGGGACTAGACCAGGGGTCAGTAAACTTACCGCACCTCGGGCCGGTGTCTCCAGCGCCAATGGTGCAGTGGGCCGGAGGGCGGGGGAGCGCATGCCCATACGCGTGCGCACACACTATTTCCGGGTCGGAGGAGCACCGGAAATAGCTTGTGTGCATGTGCACGGGCCTCCTCCAACCCAGATGTGCACCGAAAATAATGCTTACGCATGCGCACAAGCTATTTCTGGTGCTCCTCCAATCCGCAAGTTGGCAGCCGCGCAGCGCAGTGCCGGTAAGAGCGGGTGGCGGGGGTCACTGCCGGCTGGATAAATGAGTCCCTCTGGCCTTATCCAACCTGCGGGCCTTAGTTTGGGGACCCTTGGACTAGACCCTACAAAATATTGCAGGGTGGTGACCTGGAAATAGGATTTTTTTTTCATCGCCCCTACACTGCAGAGGGTCTTCATTCTGCTTTATGTTAAATAGTACCCACTTGCTGCTTCAGATGTCTTGTAAAGATATATCTCTTTACCTAGGCTTTCCCTGATGCATAAAATTGACTTTGGGTTTGGGGGTGGGTTTTTTCCTTTTACCGTATTTTTCGCTCTATAAGACGCACCAGACCACAAGACGCACCTAGTTTTTGGAGGAGGAAAACAAGAAAAAAAATATTCTGAATCTCAGAAGCCAGAACAGCAAGAGGGATCACTGCACAGTGAAAGCAGCAATCCCTCTTGCTGTTCTGGCTTCTGGGATAGCTGCGCAGCCTGCATTCACTCCATAAGACGCACACACATTTCCCCTTACTTTTTAGGAGGGAAAAAGTGAGTCTTATAGAGCAAAAAATACGGTAATTCTGGTTTACTAGTTTTTGTGTTGCATCTCTGTTTTTAGGATGCTGTTTTAATTGTTTTTATATTATGTATGGTATACTGATTAAAATATTTTTAAATATTAAGCTTTTTATAAATGCTTTTAAGTAAATAAAATGTAAGTTTAGATGTTAGAAATGCAGGGCAGGATATCAACATAAAAGAAGAAGAAATTTTAGTTGATTGATTTTTATTTTTTTGGAGGACAATTTCAGTCAATCAACCACTTACTTTGAAGTTCTTTTAATGGCGCTGCAGTTTAAGGCAAAAATATTGATTCCACATATTTCCGAAATGTGCTACCAAGGTAAACAACATGGGAGAGATATGAATGTTATTAAAGTGTATCTTTCCCCCCACAACAGGTACAGTAAAAGTGAAAAGTTCCAGTATTCAAGTTGGGGACCTTATTATTGTGGAAAAGGTACATATGGATTTGTAAAGATTTTATACTTTTCTTACTACTTCTAGCATGCTGGGAGGGAGAACCAGCTTAGTCTGACATTGTACACTATCATTTTGTCTCTCTTTTCCTAACACTATTAACACTGAAAATGTACCTCTTCAGCTGAGCATTTTCTTGACCATTAATACTGGTTCCTGGCCTTCCAGGTTCCTGTGATTGATAACTTTAACTTTGCTTCACTGGGCTGCTTTTATTGCAATATTCTGTTGTTTTAGATTGTGAACCGCCTTGACATTTCATTTTGAAATGGAAGGAGGCATATAAATTCTCTTAATACATAAACACCCTAGCTTAAATGTTTCAAAGTCTTTAAAGTAGTAATGCACAGCATTATCATAGAAACAAGGATAACATTTTAATAAAATATGCGGAACTGCTCTTTATATTTTATAACACCCACCCACATTGTTAACTTAATTAATAATATGGGGTTAGACCAGCAGGTGCAGCTTCCTTTATGTGATCATAATCGTGTGGAGGATAATAGCCAAAAAAGTGCTTTTCTTAACCACTCTGTTGCACCAGTTAATATAACAAGAGCCCCGCCAGGTGAGACCAAAGGCCCAGCAAGCCCACCATTTCAGTGGCCAACAAAAGGCCTATGGGATGCCTAGTTTACTAAGCAGTGACTAGTAGCCATTGATTGTATGCTGAACACTCAAAACCCACCTTCCATCTCTCAAAACAGAACCAGAGGGTCCCTGCTGACATGATCTTCCTCAGGACGTCAGAAAAGAACGGTAAACATCTGGAAACAATAGTGAAAATGATCTTTAATGGTGGTTTGTTGTTGTTTTTATGGGACAAAAGAATCGTTTTGAAAACGTAACCCAAGTGGATACGATTTTTAGGCTTAGCATGTCTGCCCGATTCAGAGGCTCCTTTTTCGATAGCGTGGCTACTGTCCTTGTTTTATCATTTGTGATTGTTCAAACCATAGCAATTAGTTTATCCTGTAGGGTGTCCTGTTGCGCGAGGTCAGGCAATGCGAGGATAAAGGAGATTGATGCTGCGCACCGTCGCTCACTGGGAGCCTCATACTGGCTTGTCTTTTGACATGTGCCGCCATTTATTCAGAGTGTGAAAAATGCATCCTTTAAAACCGATAGATAGATAGATTATATATATTATATAAGCGGTCATCCTGGGGTTCCTTCTCATGTTTATTTTCTTGGCCCCCAAGAAGAACTGCAAGAAAAGAAAAGACTTTATTTTTTTAAAAAAAAAAGCTTGCATGGTTTTGCAGACACTGGGACCCTGTCTGTGTGCAATAATATTTATCAAGCGGACAGCTGCCGGTAGCAGTGTTTATTCAAGTGCAGTCATATTACAGTCTTGGTGGCCGCGGTCAAATTGTTTGTGGGTCATACGGAGACAATGACCCAGATCAAAAGTGCAGTGGGGAGGCACACATGGAGCCACCCCAAGCACTGGAGCAATTGGGTTGATAGGCTTGCAGCCATGCCAAAGAAAGAGAGAGATGATGAATAGGAAAGCCTCTGCTCACATCACACCCCTAGTGGGATACTGGCTTGGACGAATTATGCCTAGTAGTTTTGCTTCCATTTAGTGTGGATGGGGCCAGTGTGGATGGTCAGAGCTAATAGACTTCAGACAAGTAAATAGGGTCCTTCCCTCCATGCTTAACACCAGCCTTCTCCAAACTGGTTCCCTCCAAAAAATTTGAACTACAGACTCAGCTACATTAGTCAATTTATAACGTTATAAATGCATTATAACAATGTGACACCAGGTGGTGCCGTGGAGCTGAAATCCGAAGTCAATGATAATTTCCATTGTGAGCTTTTATAACTTTTTAAAAATAACTTTTTAAAATAGCTGTGTAGATCCAGCCTACAACACCTATCAGCCCCAGACAACATAGCACAAGTCACCCTGTTCTAGGCTGCTGTGCTAAGCTCTTGAATCTGTGCAGCACATGCAAATCAAGCAAATTACGTGGTTTTTGCTTAATTTGCACTAGGAATGTGCCCGGCATTGCTTGGGAATTCTAAGAAACATTTTTGAAGCCTGCTTCTTGATCTCGGGAGTCGTCATTCAAAATCTGATTGCTATACATTTTGACACCTGATAAGATGTTGTAATAAGACAAACAACTTTTCATAATGTGTAGATTTAATCAAATTAAATCTTGTCTGCAAATCATGGAGGAGGAGGAAGGGGCAATGAAGGATTCTGGCTCATGGTTCTGTTTTGTTATAAGAACCAATGGCATGCCACATGAAACAAGATGGTGTATCCTTCTGGTGTGGTGCTATTCAGTAAGAGTGTTTAAACTGCACAGAAAGCTCTCATACCAGTTCAGTCTATTTGTCCATCTAGCAGTAGCTCTTATGAATCTTAGGGAGAGGTCTTTTGTCCTCACAAGCTCTCTGATCCATCTTACTGGGTATGCCAGGAATTGAACACAACCAGATGAAGGTTTCATTTCTGGAATACAATGGTACCTCGGTTTACAAATTTAATCCATTCTGGAAGTCCGCTCTTAAACTGAAACCATTCTTAAACCAAGGTGCACTTTCCCTAATGAGGCCTCCCACTGCCAATGCCCTTCCACCGTTTGGATTCTGTTCTTAGACCGAGGTAAAGTTCGCAAACCGGGACACTACTTCTGGTTTTGCAGAGTTCATAAACCGAATCGTTCGTAAACAGGACTGTTCTTAAACCGAGGTACCGCTGTATCTTTATAATGCAGAGTTGGTCTGTCAGCAGGCCTGGTGCCTGAGGCCAGCTCCAAGGTCTACTGGAACACTCTCTCCCTAAATATGTAGCTGCCTTGGAGATGCAGTTTGAAGAGCAACCACCAAAGCTCCATTAACACAGATTTAAAACCCACAGGGTCCTGCTTTCTACGTACGGATCAGCTGGATGGTGAAACAGACTGGAAGTTGCGCCTGCCTGTTAGCTGCACTCAGAGGCTGCCCACTGCTTCTGTACGTAAAGTTTTCTAATTTGTCGTTTTTAACCATTGCCCTCTAAAATGCAGCCATAATTTTTAAAAAACCAGGGACACAGTTCACAGTAGCATGTATTTTCCTGCAGCTCCAATGAGATTGATGGCATCTGTAAAAAACAAAGTATGTTGAAGCATTCTCTAACCATGATAGTCAATTAGATGGAAAGTTGGTGTACATATTTCACTAATTTAAAAGAAGTTTCCTCTTCATCTGCCCTCTCCTGCTTCCCCCTCCTCAGAAGCACCTGTCATTTATTTGAAAAAGAGGACTTACTTTAAACAGCAATGTTTTTAACTCGTCGTTGTAACAACTCATTTTTATCCTTCTCCATAGGACCTTCTCCAGATCCGATCATACGTGTATGCAGAGGAGCCTAACATTGACATCCACAACTTTGTTGGCACTTTCACTAGAGTAAGTGGTTGCTGTTGGGCAAGAAATCTAAAAACCTCTTAAGAACCCTGGGGTAGTGGAGACAACCTCCAGATTATTTCAAAAGAGGTTGGAGATGTTCAGTGTGTTGGGAGGATCATAAAACATGACTTGCAGAAGTGCCTTGCGCTTTCTGGGACAAATAAGTTGCTGTTCTTCTGTAACAAAACATTGCAGTGCAGAGTGCTGCTGCTCAGGGAGCCAGCCAGCCATTCATTCCCTTTCTAAGGTATTCCATTCCATTGCTCGTCTCCTTAGTTTTCCACCTCCCACAATCATGTTCAGGTCTCATTAAGCTATTCCCTCCCACCCCAATCACACACCACACTTGGGGTTCCACCCAAACTTTTTTTCTGACTTGCATTTCCCCAAGCTTGTAGATACCTCCCCCATGTGTCGATAGAGCTATTTTGACCTATTTTTGGTGACTCTTTCAGGAGGACAGTGACCCTCCAGTGAACGAGAGCTTAAGCATCGAAAACACCCTGTGGGCCAGCACAGTGATTGCTTCAGGTAAGGCCAGAGTAAATGTTGAATGTCTCTGGGAGTATGTTAGCAATTTTTTAAAACTCCCTTTGCAATTTAAATAATCATCTCTTGTCAGTGGGAATTAGTGGCTGGGATGAAGTTCCCCACTTGTCCTAACACCTCTAGGGACTTTGAGCTGACGTCTAATTACCCCTCGAACATTTATAGATGAGAAAGCCTTTGGAATTCCAATAACCTTTGGGCAAAGCATCCCCTGCTTGAATAACACTTAATTGCTCTCAATATTGACATTTGAAATCTGTAACAGAAAGGGTGTCAAAGAGATTTTAAATGGAAGCTAGGGTAAAAGATCTCCAAATAAAGGCTACCCCCTGGTTTGTAGCTCTGTAAGAGAGCATCTTGTAAAAGCAAGACCAGATGTGTTATGCGTTAAGGGCAGGGAGTGGAAGAGCTCATTAATATATGGAAGAGCCTAATATCTAATATCCTCCATGGAACCACAACTCCCATTAGACCCAGCCAACGTGACCAATGGTTGGAGCTGATTGGAACTGTAGGAGAAGGGCATATGTACCCTTACTTTGCTCTAGTAAATGCATTTCAATAAAGAGCTATTTTTTTTATTCCTGCTAGTGCAGCTTGTGCATCTCTCCCTTAGAAAGCTTTGTGTTTAGTTGAGGCATTAAAAGGTGCATCTGATTTGATGTCAGTTTGGTACTTGCTGTCAAGGTCTGACAGCACTCAAGTGCTGGTATAATTTTGGACACTCAGCAGTGTTCAAGGGGAGAAATCCCATGGTGTGAAGTTGAACCTGAGCCCAATGCTCAGTGCCATGCAATGCAGGAATCTCAGCTAAAGCATCCATGATAGATGGCCATCTAATTTCTGCTTAAAAACCTCCAATGAAGGAGAGACCACAACCTCCTGAAGGAGTACATTTCCACGTGTCCACTTTCCGTTTTTTAAACAACTATTTCCTTTCCAATTGGGATCAATCTGGAATCTGAATCTTTTTGTTTCCTCAGGAACGGTTGTGGGAGTTGTTCTATACACAGGGCGGGAGCTGCGTAGTGTCATGAACACTTCAAATCCACGGAGTAAGGTAAGGAGAGATTTCTTGGTCCGCTCTACTTATTCTCATCTAGCAGACCCAGGTTTCCCAGCTTTGACCAGTCCTGACTTGCAGGATTTGTACTTGTATAATGGGTGTGTTTGTCACCTAAGTGAGCTGTACCCCTAAAAATGCAGTGTGCGAGCTGACATTTCTTGATGGGGTGGCTTTGCACATTATGGCTCCCACATGGCAACCAACCCAAACAGCTTCTTGGGTCTTCGATATTAAGGGCATTGTAGCCTTCAGGCGCTTGGCCTGAACATGGAAGGGCCAAGATATGTAAAGGAAAATAAGGACCAAGCCCTGCTCTACTCCCCATGTTTGTGTGGAGAACCGACGCAAGCTTGTAAGTGCTTTTGCCTGAATTACAACCCTCCTCATGAACAGGCCCCAAATACTTGGAAGACCACCTTCTTCCTGATAGACCCTCTTGGGTGCTAAGAGTAGCAGAGGGGGCTCTCTTGGTCATTCACCGCTCTCAGAAGCCCTGGGGGTGGAGGCCTGGGAAGGGCATTCTGGTAGCAGCCCCTAAGTTGTGGAGCTCCCTCCCCACAGAGGTGTGTCTGGCACCTTCATTGTACAGCTTTTGACAAATGCTGAAGATTCACCTCTTTACCATGTCTTTTGACGTTTGAGATGTTTAGTTTTTAGGATCTACCTTATTTCTGTGATTGTAAGTTGTTTTCAGTGTTGGGTTTAAATTGCCTTTACCTACCCTGGGAACTTAGGGCGAAGAACCCGGTTGTTGTAGTACTAGTAGTTGTTGTTCAGAGTTCCCAGTCGCAAGGAGGTTTGTGAGTGCGTTCAAGCCAACATACTTAGAAACCCTCTTCAGAGAGGGATGAGTCCAAGTTCCTTATGAGACGGGGAGGGGAAACTACGCAATATCTACTTTCTCCACACCTCAGGGTGTGACTTTGCTCAGCATGGACTACTGAGAGTGAATAATAGCCCATCACTGTTGTGTGTTGCAAGAAATATCTTTGTTGCTGTTCTCCTCCTCAGATTGGCCTCTTCGATCTGGAAGTGAACTGCCTCACCAAGATTCTCTTTGGGGCCTTGGTGGTGGTCTCTCTTGTCATGGTCGCCCTTCAGCACTTCGCTGGCCGCTGGTACCTTCAGATCATCAGATTTCTTCTTCTCTTCTCAAATATAATTCCTATTAGGTATGATATTCTCCCCTCCCATTACTTTCGTTGTGTTATTCATAGCTTCTTATTTGCTTGGCCCTTACTTGAACTATACCATAAATAGCAAGCTGAGCCCGCTCCCTTATTCTGAGCACCATTAAAGCTGCGTTTCAGGAAAAAGCTGCTTTTAGAACTAACGCTAAAGAGTAGGATTCCACATGTAATGCACCTTTGGCCCAGTTCAGACATCATAACAAACCATGGTTTGTTACACAGATGAGGCAGCATGAGCTCAGGCATGTGTGCATTGTCCTGCCCTTGTGCGCAAAATGATATTTTAAAGCTTCCATATTTGGTAATAAACCAAACCAGGCCTGGATGGAAAAACACATGGTGGTTTGCTGCTAACGAGTTATTGGGTGCTTTACATTTCCACTTGCACACAAAGTGGCAAAGCACGGTTTACAGTGTCTGTACCGGGCCTAGGAGTGGAATTCTGAGAGTTTGAGCCTTCAGATAAAACAGTTTCATGAATCATGAAACTCACGTGAAACACTGCATGCTGATTTCATATGTACAAGGGATGTTTTATGTGGGGGAAGTTGACCGACATACTCAATCCATGGGGCCACAGAGGAACTTGGGGGGAGGGGTTGATTTCAATCAGAAAAACTGTACAGGAATTGTTCCTCAGTTGTTTTCCCTGCTGAATTTTTCACCTCTCTACAGTTTACGTGTCAACCTTGACATGGGGAAAATAGTTTACAGCTGGATGATCCGGAAGGATTCTAAAATTCCTGGCACTGTAGTCCGATCTAGCACAATCCCAGAGCAACTTGGAAGAATATCCTATTTACTTACAGATAAAACAGGTATGTTAGAGAGAGACCTGGTTTTTATTTATTAATATTATTCTTATTTTATTTTCACTACTCTGGGAAACTTTTCCCCCCCAAGGGCAGGATACAAACCTTTTTAAAAAAATGAATACAGTCTTTGCAGGGAAAGAAGTCATAATGTACATCTTGCATAGCTAAAGGTTATTGTTAGAGGCAAATGAAATGATAAGTAACAATAGGAAAGGAGACTCTTGTAATGGTGTGCTGGTTTATTTTATTATTACAGTTGTACCCCAAGGGCTCAAGGTGGTATACAGGGTCCTCCCTACTTTCCACATTATCCTCACACCAACCCTATGAGGTAGGCTAGGCTGAGAGGCAGTGACTGGCCCATGGTCACCCAGTGAGCTTTGCACTTGAGAGGGGATTTGAACTCTCGTCCTAGCCTGAAAATCTAAGCACTATGCCATGCTGCCTCTCAAAGTGGTTGTGTGGGTATATGTGTAGCTGATGAAAATGCAAGATTGTAAGAGCAATTGTGTGGGAGCTTGATTTATGTTTTAAGGTAGGGGTGTGTGTGTGTGTGTGTGTGTGTGTGTGTGTGTGTGAATAAAGACTTCTTTTAATTTTTAGAATTGCAGACTGATAGAAGATTATTGATACATACAGTCATACCTCGGGTTGTGAACGTGATCTGTGCGGGAGGCACGTTCGCAACCCGCTGCGCCGTGTCTGCGCACACACGTGATGCGATCCGGGGCTTCTGCGCATGTGCAAAGCACGAGTTAGTGCTTCTGTGCATGCGCGAGTGCTGAAACCCAGAAGTAACCCGTTCCGGTACTTCCGGGTTCAGCACGGTCCGTAACCCGAAAACACAAAACCCGCAGCGTTCGCAACCCGAACGCTGCACATGGCTATTTGTGCTGTATTATCTGTGTTTAGATTTTATTTTATTCATAAATGGTTTAGAATATGTTTATGATATATTTACATACCTGGGTTGTTGTAGTTGTTAGATCTGTTGCTTGTAAGTGGTCTGTAAATGTCTCAAATTAGTAAAATAAGTAAATAAAAATGAAAGGAGGGTGGCCTTTCTCTTCTTCATAAATTCGATAGCATGGGTATGTGTGTGAGAGAGAGAAACAGCCATTTCCACCTTTTTGCACTTACTTGGGTCTTGACTTTATAATTCTGCACTTGTTCCAGGGACCCTGACTCAGAATGAGATGGTTTTCAAACGCCTTCATCTCGGAACAGTTGCTTATGGACTAGACTCCATGGATGAAGTTCAGAGCCATATATTTAGTATATATACACAGGTGAGCTCCGCACAATGTCAGAATAAAAATGGCAACCCATATTCTTCATGTAGTTAACCCAGATTTTCCCTTTTCATTGAGAATTCAGTAAGTTGTTGTTGTTGTTGTTGTTGTTGAATAGTTGAATAGTTGTGGTCTCACCTTCGCACAATAATTGAAAGCATGAAAAGTAGATGTGCAGGTCCCTTTCCCCTTCTGTCCATGCTTTCATGGTACTGAGCAAGGCAGTATTCAGGCAGCTCAATGTATCAAACTGTATTCAAAACCCAACTTTAACTAATACAGCTTTATTTAAGAATGAGGAAAGCAGCCCCTAACCACATTAAAGAGAGCTTCCAAGCAAGTATAAGTTTAAATATAATTAAAAGGTTAGATTCTTTGGTAATTGGAAGCATTTGCTGGCCATGATTCATTTAAACTGTAGTTCTGATTCATTGCTCTAATTATTGTTACCATGCTATGCCCTTTGACCTGGAAGTGAAACTTCTGTCCTCTTGACACAAGAGGTTAACAGAGCAGGAAACTGGATGACTATATGTTCCCCCTGTGGCCAGCATAATTTAGTAATTGTAAAATTACCTGGAAGGTCCGATGCAGACTCTAAAAATAGTATTAAAAATCAAAACGATCAGCTTTCTACCTACCTCTATGCTGACCCATCTGTTTTTTCTTTTTCGGTTGGCTGTGTGTTTACGAACATAAAACCCTGTTCATTTCAAATTATCCGTCTCTCGCTGAGGAAAGGGATTTCACTGAAAAGACCTTTATGGGGCTGAGTTTTAGAGGCCAAACTGGTGGCGGGATCTTTAAGAAACCTACTTTTCCTGACCAACTAGGAAAACTTAGGTACAGTTGTCTCACGTCAGGAATCTCCTTTATTGCTACAAACTGGAGTGGGCAGAAGGCAAACTGGGATCTAATGGTCAATCTTTAGGTGATTTGCAGATTGGTAGGAATATCTGACTCCCATTTTTTAATTGTTTAATAATAGCAATAAGAAAAAGAGGGTCTTCCGCCCCGCAAAAACTAGACTCAGAGTTTGTGACGTAGGTTGCCTTTGAATTGTTGACTTTCTATTACCTCTCTCTCCAAGTTGGAAACTAAGAGTCTTTAATTTCAATAGGTCTTCTCTGAGTAGAATGTAACTGAATACCACCTTTCAATGACACAAGGGCAAATTGTATTTATTCCATAGAATTTTATACACTGCTTGATTTAAAAAAACAACAGAAAACCCTCAAAGCAGTTTACAAAAGAAAAACAACATGAAAATCATGAAAAATTCACAGCCATACTTTAAAACATACAAAAGACAAAATACTAAAACATTAAAATTACCTCTTTGTATGGCAAAGGTGATGCCTGGATTTGCCCTAAATTAGGCTGCTGAAGGAAAGTTTATGAGAAGACCTGAAGTGCATTTTTATGCAATGAGGACTGTGGGCTCGGTTCTGATACTGGGAAGACGCTCCTGGGCTAAGCACATACTCAGAGGCACCCTCTTCCCTAGTTCTAGCCTCTCCTGCCCCACGTACCTCCAAGCAGCTATTTGTACCTGGCTCCAGTAGGTGGGCTTCAGGAGTCTAGTAAGTCACTTGGGGACTCTTGTGTACCAAGCAGCTAATACAAGAAATAAACAATAATAATCCATAACAGTGGCAAGAAAACAGAGTTCCCACAAGTCTGCTTCCTTTCCAGATTCAGGTAAAAGTTTCACAATAGGTTTCATTGGCATGGAAGCATTTAAAAATATTCACTTGATACTGATTTTGAGAGTCCATTGTGTTTTGGAGGAGAGGGCACTGGTTTTGGATATAGATCTGAATTCAAATCCTGGTTTGGAATCCCCATTGAGCTGTAGAGGGTTTGCTCAACTTGGTCACTTTCAGCCTTAGTTCCCTGTCTTTCAGTGACTCATGAGCAGGCCTGATGAGGCAAGGTGAAGCACACAAGCTCTTGTGAGGGCTTCTAGACTGCAGAGAATGCGGAATATGTGGCCTGCCACATGTTGTTGAACTTCAGCTTCCATCATTCTGGAGCAATGGCCTTAACCACATGCCATTGATGTCAGTTGTCAGCGTCTTGCCAGTCCCTGACACCAGGTCCTGGCTTGCAGTGGCCGTGGTGACCTATTTTTGCATTCTTCAGCATATTTTTTGCAACCAAATTTGTATTTGCTCATCAAGGATCTCAGCCTGTATTCCTAGGCTTCCCACCCTTCCCCTGTGCAAATGGCGAGTATTAATGAAAGCCAGGTCTTTTTTTCCTAGCTAATATAATTGTGCTTTATCCTCTTTTCTTAGCAGTCTCAGGAGCCACCTGCTTTAAAAGGCCCCACCCTGGCTACCAAGGTACGGAAAACCCTGAGCAGCAGAGTCCATGAGGCAGTGAAAGCGATCGCCCTCTGCCACAATGTGACTCCTGTCTATGAATCGAATGGTGTGACGGATCAGGCTGAAGCTGAGCGGCACTATGAAGATTCTTGCAGGGTGTACCAAGCTGCTAGTCCTGATGAGGTAAATTGTGCCTTGGAAACGATGGTTTGACTTCCTGTAAACTGTTTGTTGAAATGCAGCTATTGATATATTGCTAGTCAGTATCTGTGCACAGCTGTTAAATTTCAGACAGCATCAGGGATGGAAGATTTGATGGTATTTAGAAGAATAATAAGGTAAAGGTAAAGGGACCCCTGACCTTTAGCCCAGTCATGGCCGACTCTGGAGTTGCGGCGCTCATCTCGCTTTATTGGCTGAAGGAGCCGGCATTTGTCCACAGAAAGCTTCCGGGTCATGTGGCCAGCATGACTAAGCCACTTCTGGCGAACCAGAGCAGCGTACGGAAACACCATTTACCTTCCCGCCAGAGCGGTACCTATTTATCTACTTGCACTTTGATGTGCTTTCAAACTGCTAAGTTGGCAGGAGCAGGGACCGAGCAACAGGAGCTCACCCCGCCACGGGGATTCGAACCACCAGCCTTCTGATTGGCAAGTCCTAGGCTCTGTGGTTTAACCCACAGCTCCACCTGCGTCTTCTTTAGAAGAATACAATTTATCTAACCCTATAGAAAAAGGAGCTTCTAGTCTATACCATCAGTCCTGCCCAGACTGCCTTGCCATTGTTTAGAAAATGCACAAATGACAATTACAAAATAAACAAAATGTACAAGAAGCTCATTTCCTTTTAAAAGCAAATTCTAAATGGGTGATTTTTATGTCTCATACTTTGCCCTTCCTCTTATGAAGGCTCAAGGACCCCAAAATGGAACATTAAAAGCAAAAGTAGAGCTGTGGAATGAAGCAAACAATACAGTAATAATCCACATTAGATTATGGTATACAAAATTCGTCACTCCTGTCGTGCTCCAACGCCCTGCCACAATAAATAGGTCGTAAGCAGGTCAGGAGGGGCAGCGGGTGGTGCTGTGGGTAAAACCTCAGTGCCTAGGACTTGCCGATCGTATGGTCGGCGGTTCGAATCCCCGCAACGGGGTGAGCTCCCGTCGTTCGGTCCCAGCTCCTGCCCACCTAGCAGTTCGAAAGCACTCCAAAGTGCAAGTAGATAAATAGGGACCGCTTTCTAGCGGGAAGGTAAACGGCGTTTCCGTGTGCTGCGCTGGTGCTGGCTCGCCAGCTGCAGCTTCGTCACGCTGGCCACGTGACCCGGAAGTGTCTTCGGATGGCGCCGGCTCACGGCCTCTAGAGCGAGATGAGCACGCAACCCTAGAGTCGGACACGACTGGCCCGTACGGGCAGGGGTACCTTTACCTTTACCTTTAAGCAGGTCAGGACAAATAAATAAGACATTATTGAGCATTGTGTGGGGGACAAATCTGATATCTTTAAAGGGAAGGATGATAAGAATCTGGCTCAGTTTTGAGGGGGGATGCAATTGGCACAGCAAGCGTTAAGCAATATGAAATACACATATCATTTACACTGTCTCAGCTCTGCAACAGATGGTTGCTGAGTAAGAGCTGGACGCTTCCAGGAACCTTCAAATACAAGATACTATGAAGCAGCAATTCCCTAAGGGTGACTCCCCGAAAAGCCTCTTTAATAGGCGTCCAAACTCTGCCTTTGAAATCCTATAGCAATAAAAGATTGTTAAGGCAGGAAGGTCAGTTTACCCTCCGAATCGGAACAAAACCTTGGAGGTGTTTTCCTCCCCCCCACCTCCACCAAACTTTTGAACAGCAAGGGTAATTTCTACCAGTTGGCACAGAATTCATTTCCTGAAACACAAAGCAGGATTTCCTAGATTTGTTTCCTGTATGCATTCCTGGGCAGAGACTCCTGAAAGCATCTTTATTGAGAGATCAGTTACAGCCTCTGGGGCTCTGTGCTCCTGTCAGGTTGAGGCCATACAGTAACAGAGAGGGGAAATGTAATAGGTAGAATCAGATCAGAGATAACTCGCCCGGGAGGAATCCTGGCAATCTGGCCTTTAACCCTGACGACACTTCGCTGCGCTCGAGGATGTGAAAGAATGTGCAGATCAGATGTGTTGCCAACAGCGGCAGTCCCTGGGACCAGGCAGCCCAGTAGAAGCGTGGGGCAGCGACTAATGACAAACAGGGGTCCATTTCTCTCTCTCTCTGATTCTGAAGTGATTTTAATAGCCTTTTATTTTTTGGTTTGACGCAATTCAGTGAACGGAAAGCGTTAACGCTCAGTCGGATGAGCTGGGGAGTTGCGGAAGGCTGAAAATTCGTAGAGAGCAGTAATTCATAAAGCGTAGTAACGATCCACTTTTGCCCACCGAAGTCCTACTCAGAGTTGACCCATTGATCTCAATGAATGAATGTATGTTTATTATGAACGGCCAAGCAGCCAGCATACTAAGAAATCAATGTTATGGAGTTTGCAGGGCCCATTAATTTGAATGGGTCTACTCTGAGTAGGACTAGGATTGAATGAAACCCAATATTGTTTCATGCTCATTGTTTCCCTGGGTGGAAACTCTGGGACGGTTTTATAGGATCATGGTCTCTGTCCTTGTCTGCCCCCCCTTACCTTGTCCCCCCATAGATTGTTTACAAATATGCAGGTTGAGTGGGCAGGCAAGCAAGTCCCTTTAAACTGGAAGAGTTAGCTCTTCAGCAGCAGCATTTTTCAGAAACAGGACCACAATGGTACCTCGGGTTACAGACGCTTCAGGTTACAGATGCTTCAGGTTACAGACTCCACTAACCCAGAAATAGTACCTCAGGTAAAGAACTTTGCTTCAGGATGAACACAGAAATCGAGTGGCGGCAGCAGGAGGCCCCATTAGCTAAAGTGGTACCTCAGAACAGTTTCAGGTTAAGAACGGACCTCCGGAACGGATTAAGTTCTTAACCCAAGGTACCACTGCACTTCCAAAACTGCTTCAGCTCCAAATTCCCAGAAGTTTCTCTTTTCTAGGGTAAGTGCCACTCTTTTTCCCAGCTCAAAGTCCAAAATCTTCCTTTTAGCTCCCACGTAGGCCGGTGGGTGTAACATTCCTAGCTAAGAGTAGTAAATATTGCATAATACGGTAGAATGTTTGGAGCGTTTAGTATTTGTAAAGCAACCTGGTGAGGTTTTTATTCCTATATTTCTGTTTGAGGGCAAAGGCTCCGATGTTGGCTTTCAAGCGCTGCTCGTACCTCATTCTCATAACCGCTATGTGTCTTCTATTTGCCTCTTGTGAAAGTAAATGAATTTGAATTGCTTTGTTTTTGTGAAGTCTGCAGCAGATATTCCTCTTGGGTGTGAAAGCAAATTTGTGGTGGAGTGTGTTTGTTGCACAAAAGTTGCACATTGGTATGAATTGCACAACCTGGATTTGCTGCTGTGCGATTGAATCGCAACCCAAAATAGCAACAATATGGAAGCGCCTAGATTGTGGGTCCTTATGTTGCAAAAATGGCACCAGTCACCCACTGGAGAAAGGGGGGTGGGAACCGGCCTCTCCAGCTATTGACGGACTACAAATCACATCATCCTTGATCATTGCCCATGTTGGCTGGGGCTGATGGGAGTTGTAGTCCAGCAACAATTGGAGGGCCACAGGTTTCCCACATCTGCAGAAGGAGGAAGTATCGGCAGGCTTAGGAAAGCCCCAAGGTTTGCAGAAGTGCACATAAAATATAATAAAATAAAATAAGGCTGTTTTGCAATTGTGCCACCTTATGAGGACCAAGTATGCTCAGTGGGATTGGAAAATAGGAAACATATTGTGGGAGGGCAGATGGAATGGAGTTTCCAGGAAGACTCCATGGGTGACTGGCTGAACCCTGACCAGGAACACTTCCTGCTGCAACATTTTGGTTGCAGTTCCTGCTTGGAGTTTAAAACTGGAACGTGAAATTTGAAGAGAGAGGAACAGAGGTCAGAGAAAAGCATCTGATTAGTGTTACTTATTAAGCTTTAATGATCAGATGTCTGGGATAACTGTCTTATCTGGAGGGTTATGAAGACAATGAGCAATAGAACAACCTGTAAGAAAGCTCTTTAATGCTACATGCTTGCATTGTAGAAGGTTTGGGGAAAGATAGGCAGAACAAAGACAAGGACTTGTTATCGTCAAACAATTTCTAGAGATTGTTAGGGCACACAATAAATTATCCATATTAGAAACATGGAATTGTAGAGTTGGAAGGGACCATGAGGGTCATCTAGTCCAACCCCCTGCAATGCAGGATTTATTTATTTTTATCCAATGTGGGGCTCGTACCAATGACCAAGATATTAACAGTCTCATGCTCTACCAACAGAGCTATCTCAAATAGCATAACGCTGTATTTTAAAAATGGGGTTTGGGATCATTAATCTATTTATTCCTGAATACCCCAGTAATCAAAACTGGTGAGATTTTATTATTCTGGGCAAATAGTTACGTACTGTCTATTTAAAGCAGTACCATACTACTTTAAACAGCTGTAGCTTCCCCCCAAAGACCCCTGGGAACTGTAGTTTGTTAATGGTGCTGAAGTTCCCTATTCACCAAAAGGTCCCAGAAAGAATATTCGATTTATGCAATCCTGTCCAAGAATGCATGTCAGCTGTTGAGTAAGGGCAGGAGAGGCTTGTGCCCTCTACAGAGGTCTCTTAGTTGTGTCTCTTTCTCATAGGATATATACCTGGTCTGATCACTGTCTTCCTTTTGGCAAGCTTATTGGGTTGTTGTTTTTATTTTGATTATTTTGACGCTCTGTCACAAGAGACTAGGGCCCTGCGGGACTTGACATCTTTCCACAGGGTTCCACCTGGCCTTTGGTTTGGACTCGGTCTGACCCTTATGTTTTCCCTCCCCTTATGGTCTTGATTTATCAGCTATTTTAAAATGAGGCTGCATTTTAACCTGTATTTTAAATTGTCCCCCCCTCTCTTTTTCCCTTATTATGTTTTTACTGTGATTTTATTAGTGTTAGCCATCCTGAGCCTCGCTCTGGCTGGGGAGGGTGGGGTATAAATAAAAGTTATTATTATTATTATTATTTATTATTATTATTATTATTATTATTATTTATTATTATTATTAGAGAGAGAGTTGTTTTTATGTTTATCTTTTCTGTGATAAACCTGGTATAGGGCACTATATAAATTCTATAATAATAATAAGTAAAGTAATAATAATAATACTTTTAAGCTGGGAAGGGCTGAAGTTTAGTGATGAAGCATCAGTTTTTCAGATTCCTGAAACCCTGTAGAGCCTCTGCCAGTCAGTGTAGGCAAAACTGGGCTGGGTGACCTAGTGATCCAACTCAGTACAGTGGTACCTTGGGTTACGAACTTAATTCATTCTGGAGGTCCATTCTTAACCCGAAACCATTCTTAACCTGAGGCGCACTTTCGCTAATGGGGCCTTCTGCTGCCACTGCACCACCGGTGCACGATTTCAGTTCTCAGCCTGGGGCAAAGTTTGCAACCCGAGGTACTACTTCTGGGTTAGCAGAGTCTGTAACCTGAAGCGTTTGTAACCTGAGGTGTTTGTAACTCGAGGTACCACTGTATATGATCCTAACAGCAGCTCATTGCTAATAAGCTCCTAATGTTCTTCAGTGGCTTCTTAATGCCAGCTGCATAATTATGAGCTTCCTTGAGTGCCCTCAGCATAAAAAGGTAGGATCCAGATTGTTTTAATATATGAATGAATTTAAAGGTAGGATCCATTTTTTTTCAATTTGAAAATGACATTCCACCCCGTCCATTTAAGGGACGAAGGAATATTCCTGACCTCGGAACCACGTGCACTGGTGGTTTTGATTTCCCAGCTATGCTTAGAAATCCCAGCACTAGCAAAATTGAGATTTTTAACCTCATTTGTGCCAGTGAAGACATGCAAGCACTGCTGCGGTCCATGCATTTTTTCCCTGAATTTTTAGCAGCAGCAGCAACAACAACAACAACAGATGACTCCAGTGGGGGAAATGTACAGTTATCAATTGAGTAACTTCCTCTCCCATCGCTCTCCTGTTCCATATGCATCACTCTCTAAGCTTAGCAGTCTACCTGACCTTTGACCTTTCTTGTGTTTAGGTGGCCCTGGTGCAGTGGACAGAAAGCATAGGCTTAACACTGGTGGGCAGAGATCAGTCTTCTGTGCAGCTGAGGACTCCTGGCGGCCACATCTTAAACTACACCATCCTCCAGATTTTCCCCTTCACGTACGAAAGCAAACGGATGGGGATCATTGTTCGGGTAAGTTGTACAAAATGGTAGCAAAAACCGCCATAAGCAAAATAAAAGCCGTAGGTTATCACGGAAGACTCAAGATTTTATCAGCTCTCCCTCGGCTGAGATTTGATATTTTTTTTAAAGCTGCTTGATTCACAACCACAGATCTGCAAGACCACATTAGTACTGGGTTTTGCTTTCAAGCACTGGGTTTTGAAATAAGGTCAAGCACTCTACATTACAACCACAGCAGAAGTTCAAGTGCTTGTCAGCCAAGAGGGTGGAGTTAAATGCCGTGCTTTCTGTGGATTCCACTCTTTGCTTGTCACCAACAAATAACGATAAAGGCTATGAGTTGTGGTGCATTCTTGTTTCCTATAGACATCAAGTTGACGACTTGCTGTTGCATTTGGGGAAAAGGGGCATATACATTTGCAAAGGCAGGTAACTTTGACCTTGAGGGATGACACTCTCAGATAGTTCAATCCCTGTAATGTGATACCTTTTCTTATCTTACAAATTTCGAATAAGTTGCTCCAAGTAGTAACTACTGTTACTGTGTGGCGTAGTGGTTAAAAATGTTGGTTTGGGACCAGATTTCCCCCCTTTCCCAGCCATGAAAGCTGCTGGGTGACGCTGGGCCAGCCACTCTTTCTTAGACCAGCCAACTTCACAGGGCGATCGGGAGAATAACATGATGGGTGGGGAGAGTTGTGAGTTTTTCTAGGCCTGACAACAACCCTGCAAGGTGTCTGCAATTGCATTTGAGGGGGTGGGGATGAAACTGAGAAATAACGATTTGCTTAAGGCAACTTAGTGAGGTCAAGGCAGGGGTAAGGTTTAAACCAGGAATTTACCATTGGCCACGGCATTAGCTCTGCAAAGAACTATTTCCTGGGCCCAGGAAATGGGCAGAGATCACATGGTGGGCCATCAGTGTTAAAGCTAAGCAGGTGTGGACCTGTTTGGATGGGAGACCAGCATGAGCCACTTTAAGAGTAGTTTTAAAATAATATATATTATAAATATATGTGTCTTTAACTTCGTGCCTGCCAGTTTGCAGAGAGGGATAGCTATGTTAGTCCTTTGCAGGAAAAAACAACAGGAGGCCAACACATTTGCTATGGCTTGACAGTTCATGGATTACAGTCCACTTATCGGCTGCAGCAAGTCCACAAAACTTATGCGTAATAAATCTACTGTTCTTTAAGTCACCATGAGATTTTGTTGCTGCTGTTGCTCATCTTCATTGGAAGCCTTTTGTTGGAGTTTGTTAGAATATCAGGACCTATATCAGCAAGCCACTTGGGCACACATTGCTTTTAACTTCAACCAACTATCAGCTTTTACAGCCTTGCTTTCATTTTGCACTGTTCTGAAAAACCCAGCTGCTAGGTGTGAATAGATGTCCAGGAACTGGAAGCTTCCATCGGATGGGGGAGGAAATAGCTGCCAGACACTAGGACGGGGTTGTCAGCAGTTGGCCTCGACTTCCTCCATTCTCCTTTATATAGTTGAAATCATAGCAGCATGGGCATAGTCAAGGCAGGGCTGGGAGGGGCCGCTTCCCCCCATCAAGTAAAACAATGGGAATACTTAACTAACTGACCAATCACGTCGGTTCCGCCCCCCCCCCCCCCGGAACAAAAATCCTGGCTAAGCCCATGCATAGCAGGTTTGTGAAACAGTTCTGGAATACAGTGGTACCTCAGGTTAAGTACTTAATTCGTTCCGGAGGTCCGTTCTTAACCTGAAACTGTTCTTAACCTGAAGCACCACTTTAGCTAATGGGGCTTCCTGCTGCCACCGCGCCGCCAGAGCACGATTTCTGTTCTCATCCTGAAGCAAAGTTCTTAACCTGAAGCAATATTTCTGGGTTAGCGGAGTCTGTAACCTGAAGCGTATGCAACCTGAAGCGTATGTAACCTGAGGTACCACTGTATTTGACTGCATGTGCATCAGTTTGTGCACTGAAGGTTCAGCAAAGGAGATGTACTATTAGCAGTAGACTTGATTTACCTGTTGACCATTGACTGCGTGGATAGGATTGCTGACTCCACTGTGATTCACTGCTTTTCATTTAGCGGAATCTCAGCTAGCTCAGCTTCTTCCATAGCAGTGGGGGGGAGAGTTATCTACCCGCTGAAACATTCCCTGCTTAATGAAGGCACAGGATACATAGAAGAACTGAGAGGTCCACAAGGTGCTGCTGTCTTGCCAAGGGATGCTGATGCATCTTGCTTCTGTTTCCTGAGCTTATAAGGGCTGTTTCCAGCATTCTCCATCTGCTGGCACAAGGGCTCTTGCACTAGCAGACAGGTGGATTTCAATGTTGTGCAACAGAGGAGTCCAACACAACAGGTGTGTCAGCAGAAACCCTTTACACAACAGATTGCATAATCTATCATGCAGCAGTGTTACCAGCAGGCTGCTTATGCATTCTCATGTGCAGCAATGTTCTCCTTGCGCAAAACATCAGTGGAGCAAGCATACCGCTCAGTGACTTTGACGTAGCGCTACCTCAGATGAAACTCTCAGTTGCTTCTACCGCGTCTATGCATGTGGTAGAACTTTGACACACCTCTTTGGCAGGAGATATGCAGACTTACGCTTTTGTGAAACTTCGTGTTTAGTGGTTACGGGTGAAGAAAAGGATACAGTAATTCTATTTTGTGCAACATGGAGATTTATCGAGGAATGCTTCTCCAGTCTTATGCACAATAATTCTTTAGTGGCTGTTCAAAGATGCTTGCTGTTTACTTCTAGCCTTTGGAGCGGAGTGAAAAAATTCAAATACCCTTTTCAAATTCTCGAGCTGCCTCTGGAGGTTTGCTTGCTAATAATTGGCAGAGGAGGGAATAGCAATTTATGGGTGGGATGAGATGCCTTCAGACTGGTGTTTTATCATGGGCATATTTTGCAGCAAGTTCTTGACTCAATAATAGTGTGTCAGCGGTGGATTTATTCTGCTTTAGTTTGTTCTGCAGTGCTTCCCCAAAGTTACCAGATTATTGCTGTCTGGAAGGCTATAGCACATCCATCAGCCATGAATGCATTTGCTGAGATTCCTGCATTTCACATAACACCAGTCTTGAAAGACCTACATTGACTCCCAGTACGTTTCCAAGCACAATTCAAAGTGTTGGTGCTGACCTTTAAAGCCCTAAACGGCCTCGGTCCAGTATACCTGAAGAAGCATCTCCACCCCCATCGTTCTGCCCGGACACTGAGGTCCAGCGTCGAGGGCCTTCTGGCGGTTCCCTGACTGTGAGAAGCCAAGTTACAGGGACCCAGGCAGAGGGCCTTCTCGGTAGTGGCACCTGCCCTGTGGAACGCCCTCCCACCAGATGTCAAAGAGAACAACAACTACCAGACTTTTAGAAGACATCTGAAGGCAGCCCTGTTTAGGGAAGCTTTTAATCTTTGATGCATTACTGTATTTTAATATTTTGTTGGAAACTGCCCAGAGTGGCTGGGGAAGCCCAGCCAGATGGGCGGGGTATAAATAAAATTATTATTATTATTATTATTATTATTATTATTATTATTATTTATTTATTTCAGGGGGATTAGACTAGATGACCCTTAGGTTTCTTTTGACTCTACAAGTCTATGATTCTATGAAATTGGAAGAAATGAAACCAGAACTGCTCTGAGGGTTTTGCTTCTGCTTTTGTATTTTTGTATTTATTTATTTTTTAACAATCAAGCAGTATACAGTGGTACCTCTGGTTGCGGATGGGATCCGTTCTGGAGGTCTGGTAGGATCCTGAGGTTTCTGCAAGCTGAGGACCGCTTCTGCGCACGCGCATGCAGCAAAACCCAGTAAAATAGTTCCCGGTTTGCTGCTTTTGTATACTGAAGTTTACGTAACCAGAGGGTTACATAACTGGAGGTACTACTGTATAAATTTTATGAAGTAAATAAATAACGTTTTTGTTACAAAACGTGGAGAGACCTCAGCAGGAAGTTACAGGATATGCTCCGATTGAAAAGGAAGCAGAGTGAACACTCCAGAACTTTTGCAGACACAAACAGTATTGGAATTGCCTGTGACCACCCCAATAGCACCATGAACATAAATACCGTAATTGTGAATGCGCAATGGAAAGAACATTTGGAGGAGCCCTAGCACTCAGTGGAGTTTTGCTTGTGTTGGTGGAAGAGGACAGGAAGTTGCTTCTGCCGATTTCCCCCTGACCCGCCCCCCTCAGGGTTAGAAGAGTCTGCAGGACAGGCTGAAAAGTGGTGTTGGGGGCTGTAGGAGTAATGAGGGATTGGCCCCAAAATCAGTTTCTCGGCCCTTTCCTTCAGCAACAAGCTTCAGTCAGGTCCAGGTTCCATGCATAAATGAAAGGAGCCTCTCCGTTCACTGTGGAGCAAGTCTGAATCAAACCCTGTTCACTCTCTTTGGTTTTTTAATGTCTGCTGCTTAAAATATGGTGGCAAGAGCATTCGCTGCTCTAAAGATGTCTGTTCCAAAAGGTCCCCTTAAAGCAGTGGGGGGTTAGCCATCTCTCGTGGCTGCCATCTCTCGTTGGTGACAGAAGCAGTTGTTATCTGACCACAAAAGTTTCCTCTCTCTCTCTTTCTGCTTCTCTCTCTCTCTCTCTCTCTCTCTCTCTCTCTCAGCAACTGGAATGGAGCATGTTTTCTTAGCAGCTCAGAGAGCGCTATTGTCATATGTCAAATGGGAGTTTGGGGGAAGGTGGTGCGGGGAGAGAAGGCCTTTGAACCTTAGCCAAAATCAGACCATGGTGGAAAAAGATGTGGTAGAGAAACAATACAACTGGCAAATCTTTCTGCAGATTTATAGTTGTAATCGTGCCATAACATGGGAACGTGCTCACCTCCTCCTGAACTTGGTGAGAGGAAATGACTAATGCAAGGAGATAGTTGATACAGTATTTATATTGGACAAAAGATCTAAACTATCTTAAAGCTAGTTCTACACCACAGGAAGTGGAGTCTCTGCTCAGTTTCCTACCAAAAAGTTGTTAAAACGCTTCTTAACAGTTTAAATCATTTTATACGCAAACATCTATCTCAACTAATGCCAGGGATCTTTTTATTTTAGAGTGGGTTTTTTTTCCCTGGCCTCTCTCAGAGTTGGAAGTTTACATCGTCCTGTGTTTACATTGACAGTTGACCCTTTTGCAGAAATAGGTTGAAAGCCACAGCTGAACAACAATATGGCATCCAGCAGTTCTTCAAAAGCTTTGGCCATGATCCCAACACAGTTTTGAGCAGCTGCAAGGCCATTGGCTTCAGTGGGCAACTTAAGCATGCTTATGTTGGTTTTGGGTTGCAACCATGGGACATCGTGGCCCTGCAGAAACTTGCAGGCTGGGCTCAGATTACAAAAGATTTGGCCAGAGAGCTACACTTCAAGCTGCTAAAAGAGACATCATTGTTCAAAACTGATCTCTGCCATGCAGCGCAAGATAGGAAGTTGCCTTGGCTCTGTTAAGGATTGGGCATAGAGAGTTCCACCCATCAGTATTTATTGAAAAGGGAGGCCTAACAAATTCCGCCTACTTTGTAGTCTTCCCAAAGTGCTCATGATTCTTAACTGCATGATGGGTCTTTCACGGTATCTGGTTCCTTGCTCCAAATTCAGCCTCCACTCTTGATGGTGATGTTGAGCTATAAGCTTTATTTGTGCTCCTGAACTATTTGGCTGCCCTCTTTCTTAGACTTTTTGAATGAATTGGGGTAGAGGCAGGCATGCTACCGATATGAACTAGCTACTGCTGGGCTGTAAACTGCAATACGTACCTACGATCTCATCTAGCAGATTGGCAAGAATATACTACCTAAGAATTTGTTTTTAAGCAGAAGCTTTAAGGTTGTAGCCAGTGCTAGTCCTACTAAGAGTAAACCTGCTAAAGTTAATGGGCATGACTCACTTAAGGTTCATTAATTTAAATGGGTTACCTCTTAGTAGGATTCGCATTGGCTACAACTCTTAGTCTCAGGCTGGCTCCCTCTTAGCCAGGAAATCTACACAGGAGAAAGCAGACGGGTTGCTTACTCGTGAGCATTTTTCTGCTGTTGCAGACCAGTCAGTTAAATTTGACTAAACATGTTGTTGTTGTTTGTCGTTTAATCGTGTCCGACTCTTCGTGACCCCATGGACCAGAGCACGCCAGACACTCCTGTCTTCCACTGCCTCCCGCAGTTTGGTCAAACTCATGCTGGTAGCTTCGAGAACACTGTCCAACCATCTCGCCCTCTGTCGTCCCCTTCTCCTTGTGCCCTCCATCTTTCCCAATATCAGGGTCTTTTCCAGGGAGTCTTCTCTTCTCATGAGGTGGCCAAAGTATTGGAGTCTCAGCTTCAGGATCTGTCCTTCCAGTGAGCACTCAGGGCTGATTTCCTTAAGAATGGAGAGGTTTGATCTTCTTGCAGTCCATGGGACTCTCAAGTCTAAACATCACCCAGTCCAAATTTGACTAAACATAACCCAGTCCAAATTTGAAACTCAGAAGTTTTCAAAATGTTCCGAAACCTTATATTTTGGCTCTAACATTCAGCGAATACAGATTTGTGGGGTGAGATTGGATTTCCAGAATCTGTTGGAGTTGAGGTGGGGTTTTTTTAAGTGAGTAAAACCTTACATGAAGTGGAGAGTGGGGTATTATTCCGTATGACAGTCTATCAACCAGCAGAATTAATTATTATGACTTTTTTCTTTACATCCCCAAAGTACGAGGGCATGGGGAAAGATTCTTCACACATCTGGGGGGGGGGGGAATTGTGAGGGGAGGAAGGGGTTTCTCTTTCAAGGAATGAGACAAGGTGGCACCAGTTTGCACTATCTCACCTCAAGATTCAGGTCCATTCAGATTTAATCAGAACAGATGTGCATCTTTCTCATTTATTTTGGTGATTTAACATTTGCCAGTTTTGAATGTGAACATATGAAAAGGAAATTAATGTTGTAGTTAATCTGTATTAAGCTAAAAATGAGTTGGTTGTAATGTTTTTTTCTGCTCAGCATGAGAATGATTGGAATGAGTATCACCTGTTGCTAACAAAGGCCTGGTTCCCACAAACAGAAGATGAGAGTTGCTAAACCTGTTTCTTCATTGCACTGCTTGGGGCTTCTGGGAGTTGTGGGCTCACGTCAGTGAGTTCTCTGTCATTCGAAACAAATGCCTCATCCATAGAAAGATAGCATGTCAGGGAGAAGTCTAGGCCTTCCCTTTGATGTGCTAGTTTTGCATAGGTAGGGGATTAATTGTATTGTATGGAGGAGCACTGAGTCATCTGAGCACCCTCCTGCAATCTCAATTGGTACAGCAGAAAAAAACTACTCCATTTAATGATGCTTGTTAGTACTAACCCCTAGAAACTGTGGGTGGACTGGGCTGCATGCCATCCTAAGCCAAACCATGCCTTAGCTCAAATGTATGGGCTCTGGGAGAAGAGATTGTGTTTGCTTTGCTCCTCTTCAGTTGTTCTGATGCTGTGCTGTTGCAAGCCATGGTTTGACTTAGCATGTCATCTGAACTTAGGTCCCTGGTTTACCTTTCCCCCCCCAAACCCCATGACCTGCAAATCATAGGACAAACCTTGGTTATAGCTTGTGGTTGGTGTAGAGAGAGCTAAACCACCACGATCCCAGGTTCAGACAACCATGGATTAGCAGTAGCACTGGAACAGATAATCTATGAACCATTTCTCTCTCTTTCTTTCTTTCTCTCTCTCTCTCCTAGGATGAATCTACAGGGGAAATAACCTTCTACATGAAAGGGGCTGATGTGGTGATGGCAGGAATTGTTCAATACAATGACTGGCTAGAGGAAGAGGTATGGAAATGCACCAGTGGGAAGCCACACTTGGTGCAATGACTGTCAAGTGGTACAGGGATCACGGGGCACACCATTGCCTTGGGAGGTAATAACTGAGGCTGTGACTTAGCTATTATAGCTGCTTCTCAAAACAATGAGTTGTGTTAAGAAGCGATAGTAGCAACAATGAGAAGCTATAGTAGCAATATTGCAGCCTTCTGGAACTTGATGCCCTCCAGACATTTTGGACCACACCCCCCATGGGGAAGGCTGCAAAACATGACACAGTTCAGTGAAAGAACAGAATTATGAAATCTAAACTGCCATCTCCTCCTATCTTGGCCATGGGGAACTCTCACTTAGGACTCTAATTTTACTCTTCTCCACCAGCCATGCCCACCTGGCCCACATCTCAAGCCAAAAAGGGAATAGGTAAAACTGTGGCTGCGAAGGAGCAGCCAAGAGCCTTAGAGGGCATTCCCAATTCTTCCTTGGAAGATGAATGACCTCGTGTCAAAGTAATGGACAGGTGGAAGTGACCCACAGACCCACAAAGTGGATCTGTCCCACAAACATTTTAACTAAATAAGGATCTCTGATATGCAATCCCTAGCTTCAGATGTGACCTGACCAAGTTTGCAATTTCTCCTCAACAGTGTGGCAATATGGCAAGGGAAGGGCTGAGGGTCCTTGTAGTAGCAAAGAAATCCCTGACTGAGGAACAATATCAAGACTTTGAGGTAAGCCAGTTTTGTTTACCTCTGGTATCGTGTCGTCTTACTTGCTTGCCTATAGGTTTTAGGTCCCAATTCAAGGTGCCGGTTCTTACTTTTAAAATTATGGATGTTCTGGGACCCTGTTGACTTAAGGACCATCTTATCCTGCATATTCCCCCCTGTTTACTCCCTAACTTGTTGGATGGCCATGAGAGACAAGACCTTCCTGGTTGTCGCACCATTGTTGTGGAAAAGTTCAGGCAGGCCCTGCTGGCAAAACCATCGCTGTTAAGATTTTGCTGTTCAGAAATGAAGCCGTTCCAGTAAGCTTTAGGTTGTGGGTATCTGATGACGTATGTTTTGATTATTTGCCATTTCTATTTAATAGTATTTCAAATCCTTTATTTGGTATTCCAGGCAAATACACGTTCTACGTTTTAAGAACTGCCCCAGAAGTATCCTCACTTTATTTTCCCCAAACATAATTGTTTCTCTGCAGGAGTCAGGCTCTGAAGGGGCAAACAGATTTGCTAGTTTGAACCAGGAGCCTGCAGTAGGCAGCTCTGATCAATTTCCCCTACCCACCCACTGCATTATAATAAAGAAACTCCTGCAAAATCCCACAGTGAATGAGCTGGTGACCACATGAACATTTCATCCACATGGCACATTTAAAAAATCATATGCAGGCTGCCTTCTTCAAGCTTTGTCTGCTTCTGTGCCTTCCTTTCTTATCAGTTGTGAAACTGGAAGGAAGCTAGTTTCACACCCGCAACTTGATAATTTGCTGTGAGCTGTTTTTACATTTTGTCAGCTATAATCATTGGCCTTTTAAGAGAGGAACATTGTCACTTGCACAGCAGTTTTCAAAAGCCTTCCCCCCCCCATGTGTTTTCATGCTTGACGCATCCCAATGAAGCTAGTCTCTGGCAGTGTTTGGATGTTCATCTACAGCAGTGGTTGTTCTCAAACTTTTTTGGGCTGCTTCCCCCTTGGTACCATAAACTCAACCCCAGAGCCTCCTACCTTACAAAAAGCATTGTTCTTATAAAATAACCATTTGCATTCCCCACTATGGAAGATAGTGGACAGTACAGGACAGATACAGGACGACAATACAAAACAGTAATGATCAATTGCACATTCATTCAAAATCCAGTGAAAACTATCTAGTTTAATGCAACAAAATTGATGAAATTTACCCAGCCATACCAGCTTTTTAATGCCTGATAGTCATTTACACCTCCCCTTCTGCTGCCCCCTAGGTAATCCCACCACCTTCCAGGGTATGGTACCATCCACCTTGGGAATGACTGAGCTGCAGCTTTGTCAAGCATGATGTGTGGAGTTGTGGAGGCGGCTGGGTGTTCTTCCTCTCCTTACTATCCTGACTTACTAGCTTGTTTTGTTCATGGACATTTAAGCCAGAGTTCCTTGATTCAGACACAAGAAGTTGCAACAGCAACTGGAGGGCCACAGGTTCCTCATCCCTGATGCAGAAGCTGGAAGGAAGGATGAGAAAAGGGGGTGAGAGAGAGAGAGAGAAAGAGTGAGATCTACCTTCAACATACAGACATACAAAGCTGCCTTATATCGAGTCAGACTATTGATACATCGAGCTCAGCATTGAGCTCTACTTTTGACAATAGGCATGCAGTTGGGAATGCAGGGTTTCAGGCAAGTATCAAGCCTAACTTGGAGAGGCAAATTTCTAGCCGCTCCAAACAATGGCTTATGTAGCTATAAATATCCTTGAAGGCACTCCTCCGACAACAAGGGTGTGTACAAGGCCAGCAGCGTTTTGCAAATTCGGCTGCCAATGTTCACATGAGAAAAGGATGCACCAGCCCACACCACATCCTGTTACCTTTCACTTTTTTCATCCCACTTTCTCATTATTATTATTTTTCTCAGGTACAATTTTAGTAGTACTTGGTGAAAGAGGTACAAGATCTTGTCTGCAGAGAAGTTTTTAGCTGCCCCGTTCCTTTATTACCAGGGTAGTCCAGGGGTGTTTGGGGTGTTAGGAAAGGGGTAGGCCCTCTGGTGGGGGGCATGTCTTGCTCCTTCTGGCATAGCTTGCCCCCTTCTTGGACCCCACCTTGCACTTAGCTCTCAACTGTGGCTCTTGGAAGATGTCAGCATGTGATAGTAGCGGCAGCACCCTGGGAACATCTTTGACTGGCCCGCTAAACCAGTTGAGGGTAGCCGATGGGTCTTAACCCTTGGTGAGTTAGAGACTTACCCTGCTTGTGAAGACACCGATAGTGGGCGCAGTGGTCAAGAAAGCAGTTTCATCACGTGCTGTGGCAGGAAGTGAGAGGCAGGTGAGACTCATCAACCTGGGAAGGTAGCCTTGCGGGATATCTTCGGGAGAAGAAATGGTCAAGGAGTAAGGTAAAGGTAAAGGGACCCCTGACCATTAGGTCCAGTTGTGACTGACTCTGGGGTTGCGGTGCTCATCTCGCTTTATTGGCCAAAGGAGCCGGCGTACAGCTTCCGGGTCATGTGGCCAGCATGACTAAGCCGCTTCTGGCGAACCAGAGCAGCACACGGAAATGCTGTTTACCTTCTACTTGCCCTTTGACGTGCTTTCGAACTGCTAGGTTGGCAGGAGCAGGGACCGAACAACGGGAGCTCACCCCGTCGCGGGGATTCGAACCACCGACCTTCTGATCAGCAAGTCCTAGGCTCTGTGGTTTAGACCACAGTGCCGCCCGCGTCCCTAGGTCAAGGAGTAGGCCTTACCCAAATCTGGAGTCGAGCCCCTAAGGCGGATGGATGGCATCTTGTACGCCTCCTTCTGGGAACTCCTGCAGCCAAACCAATGCCAAACATATTGCTCTGCTTTCCTTAGGACCACATCAGGGAGGCAGAGAGGGAGGACTGGAATACTGCTAAGTCATAAGAAATGCATCAACACGGTTTACAGCAATAAAACCGTAAAACCATGCAATTAAAAGCCATAAAAGAGTTAGAGGCAGACATCAATTAACTGTTGTGCAAGGAGGTGCCCTTTATTGCCTGCATCAGCCTGGCAGAAAAGAAAAAGTTTTCATCAGGCATTTAGAAGTTGGCATAGAAGGTGCCCTCTCTTCTTTCTCTTGGCTCTCCCTTTTTCCCATCCCCTTGATGTCTCTGTCTTCCTGCATTGCCTTCTATGCTCCCATCGCTGATGGTATTATACAATTTAATCCAGGGCACTGGAGGACAAAGATGAAATAAAAATGAAATATGACCAAGAGGTGCTGGTCTGGCAGTGCTCTTAGTCTGTAGCAAAAGCAGCCATCTGGCAGCCTGGGGGCCACATCAACTCGTGGATGGCAGCCAGTTGGCTCACCACCCACCCATCTTCTTTGAGATAAAGAATCTCACGACACGGGCCTAGCCAGTCTCTACGCATCTGGCTTTGGGAGGGAGGGGAAATTGCTAAAAGCACATCGGCTACCCCACCCAATGTATTTCCTGCAGTGTTCCTCCTGCATGTTGACATAGGCCAAGTGAGTAACGGGATGGAGGGAAACAATTTCCCACCCTGTTCTTTCAGGGGTTGTCCAGTCCGTCCAATGCAGGGGTCGGGAGCCTCAGGCCTGGGAGCTGAATGTGTCCCTCAGGGCCTCTCTGTCTGGCTCTTGAGACTCTTCCCAGGCCAGCCCCTCAGTGGCCCTATCTTGCACTTTGAGTGCTTTTTGCCTGGCTGGAATGTGTCCTTGAGCTCTGATAATACACCTTCTTTGTCTTAATGGGTGGCACTGTGGGTTAAACCACAGAGCCTAGGACTTGCTGATCAGAAGGTCGGCGGTTCGAATCCCCACGACGGGGTGAGCTGTTGCTCATTCCCTGCTCCTGCCAACCTAGCAGTTCAAAAGCATGTCAAAGTGCAAGTAGATAAATAGGTACCGCTCTGGCGGGAAGGTAAATGGCATTTCCATGCGCTGCTCTGGTTCATCAGAAGCAGCTTAGTCATGCTGGCCACATGACCCGGAAGCTGTACGCCGGCTCCCTTGGCCAGTAAAGCGAGATGAGTGCCGCAACCCCAGAGTTGGTCACGACTGGACCTAATGGTCAGGGGCCCTTTACCTTTAAGGAGCATATGAGTATACAGTGGTACCCTCTGGTTACGAACTTAATTCATTCCATAGGTCCATTCTTAACCTGAAACCGTTCTTAACCTGAGGTACCACTTTAGCTAATAGGGTCTCCCGCTGCTGCCTGCCACCGTGCGATTTCTGTTCTCATCCTGAGGTAAAGTTCTTAACTTCCCGGTTAGCGGAGTCTGTAACCTGAAGTGTTTGTAACCCGAGGTGTTTGTAACGCGAGGTACCACTGTATATAGAAACGAGCTTACTGTACAAAAGTATCATTTGCACTTGTCACTCCGCCCACTTTTGCCTCTGCCCCCCCCCATGTGGCCCCTGAAAGGTTCCCCAGAATGGACCAGCCTAAGACATTTTGGCACCTGAGGCAAACCACAGAATGGCACACGTCCCTCCCTGCCAGGGAATAAGGGGTGAGTGAAGATCTATGTCAGGAACAAGGGGGCAATAAAGATCTACATTGGGATCTGCCGCCCCTGCAGATCCTGCTGCCTGAGGCAGTCGCCTCAACTTGCCTCATGAGTGGGCCAGCCCTGCCTTGGACTGAAAAAAGTTCCCTGCCTGAATCAAATGAATGGCCTCAGGTCTTCTGGGAAGTTTTGAGCTATATCTGGGGCTGAGTGGTATCTGGTTTTCAACCTTGTGATATATCTCCATCTAAACGTAGATCAGTTTATCACCAGATACAAGAAGGCAAAATACACTAAAAAATAATAAATGGAAGTGCAAAGTGATTGATCTCGTACTGACTGGCTATGTCTCTCTCGGGTCCTTGCCAGGCACGCTATGTCCAAGCAAAGCTCAGCGTCCATGACCGTTCCCTGAAGGTAGCAACTGTGATCGAGAGCCTGGAGATGGAGATGGAGTTGCTCTGTCTGACTGGAGTGGAGGATCAGCTGCAGGCAGATGTCAGGCCTACTCTGGAAACACTGAGAAATGCCGGCATGAAGGTATGGCTAAACCGCAAATGGAAAGCATCATTGGTTCACCTCCCCTCCCCAATCTGACAGTGCAGTGGCAAGAGAAAGTGAGAGATACTATAGCATCATTTTGTGGAAAAAAGGGGGCATTTCCCCAGCAATTAGAACACTGCATTTTGTGGCTGAAAAAGCTGGCAGCATATTATGATATGCAGGGATTTATGATATGTAAAATGAACCATGGGAAGTCCTTGATATCTTAAGGATGTAAAAAAATGAGTATTGTAAATTGTAAAACAGAAAATTTAATTAAAAAATTATACACACACACACACACACACACACTGAACTTTGGGAGCTGTGAAAAATGAGGCATCCTGACAACCAAATGTTTGGATCAAATAACAACTGTTTTTATCAGACACATACAAAAATAGCTTCCTGTAAATGCTTGAAGAGTTATCATTTTTAGCCTCTCACTTTGATACCCAGGAGAGCGTTTGGTTCTTAAGTTTGGAAATTTTCCAAGTATGTGAGTTCAGAAGTAAAAAAAAAAAAAGTAGGACGAGTGTTCGTTGGTTGGTTGGTTTTAAGATGCATTGCCTGCTGTTCAGTTAAATTATCTGAGTGGCTTACAATAAAATTAAAGTACAGGCAACCCCCCACTTTATGCAGGGATTGCATTCTGGTCATGTCGGCAGAATGCACATAAACCTGTTACACCCTGTTATGCCCTTGTCCTGACGCCGTCATGCCCTCTTCTGGGTCCAAAGACCCACATGCACGGTAGAGCATTTTTTTGAATTCACACAAAATGGGAGGCGCCTGTACATAAAAATTAGCTGAAGCAGCACATCTGTAAAAGCGGAATTAAAAGTTCCAAGGTTGGATAAAACAGAAGAAATGATAAAGGTCTGGCAGCAGAAAGACTTCAAAGTATTTGATAGGTAAACCTCCCTGGAGAGAGTTATCCAAAGCTAGGGTGCCACCAATGAAAAGGCCCTTTCATGGAACCCACCTGTCAATGGTGGAGAAACCAGAGAAGGATCACAACCTATGATCTTGGAGACCCATGTGGTTTGGGGGCTGTTTTGTTGCACACAGGAAAGCAAGGCAAAGATTGTGTGATCAAGTTTGCTTTAGTGATCAAAGCAAACGCGACCACTTTGCCCTGCCTTCGGTGCACTTATGAAATCTGGGCAACACTGAATCCTTACCTAGCACAATTCTTCTCTTGAGGCTCCCGGGGTGGTGTATGAAATAATTTTTTTTAAAAAAAGTCTGAAACAGTGAATTGTATTGAATTGGCCACCAGAGGGAGCAGAATTGAAAACAAAACAAATCATGAGCTGATAAGTTATAGTGTACTTACTTTACCATTTACCATTAGTTTTTGATGAGCATGACTGGATGGGTAGTGAAGGGGTTAAGAAAGCATTATCTGTTTTTAGCCTGTTTTTAACTGGAGATGGATTGTGTACCCTGTGCCTACATACATTAAATTAACTTTTTGATAGTTACCTTTGAGGTTTGGGGAGAAAAGGATAGGCTAAAAATGTTCAGTCTCAGTTCTGAGCTATGCCCAGGGCTGCCATCTTACCATATCTGTATCTGGAATGCCTGTTGTTCTGCCCACACAGAGCCTGTAACACTGACTAAACTGCTATCTCTGTCTGCCCAATGTAGGCTAGACATCTGTTATCAAATTGAATCCCCATCTGTTGTTTACCCCTCACAGAGCTATAATTCTCAGTACCCTCAACAAACTATAGTTCCTGGGATTCTTTGGAGGGGGAGCCACATGTTTTCAATGTATAGTGTGGGTGATGAATACAGTCTCTTTCATTTTAGTAGAAATTATACGTATTTTAACTAAAGGCCTATGCGTGTATTCTATTCCATTAAGTTACTTTAAACTTCTCCGCATGATGGCTGTCTCCTCAAGGACTACAAGCGACTCACTACGCAGATGGGGCCATTTTTCACCCTGCCACCACAAACTTTCCTTGCTGTGTCTCCTATACACAAGGAGGCTGCTGTATGAAGTCAGTAGCCACAGGGAACAATTTAAAATGGCCTTTGTAGAATGCCTGGATCACAGGTGCCAACACCTTTTACATTTCTAAAAACGTCATTGGGTTGACTCCTGATTTATTTGTTTCTAAAATTGCGCAGATCCCAGTATGATATAGAAATCCCTCACCCTTAAAGAAGCTTGCTAACTACATTGATGGAGCTTTTTCACATGCAAATGCATTGAAAAATGTGTACACACACCCTCAGCTCCACATTGTGAAGTGGTACAGCTCCCAAGTTCTGCAGCCTCACACTGTGTAATGTGTAGCTCAGCTATTGTATCCAATTAAAATAAAAATCCATTTTTAAATGAGACTGTTGCTCAAACTGATTCATTTAATGTAAAAACAAAGTAGCTCAAACACACACACACACACACACACACACACACACACCAATTTTCCTGGATTCCAGTACAAATATAAAAATAGGGTATCTGATAAACCTCCTACAAACTAAGCATTTTGTCGAATGCCTTTTTGTATCATTGTTGATTCCAGGATATTAAATGGTGCTTTTTTATTGTAGGTATGGATGCTCACAGGGGACAAACTAGAAACAGCCACGTGTACAGCTAAGAATGCACATCTGGTAACCAGGACCCAGGACATTCATATATTTAGACTGGTGAGTAATATGAATAAAACTAGCTTACTTAGCACTTGTCCATGGAGCTACATTATGAATCAAGGGGAATAATTTACACCAGCCCCAATGTGCAGTTAGAATAAAATATGAGTATATTATGCAGACCTAATCTTCCTCTGACTATCGTTGCATTTACACAACACCTAGACCCATCTGATGAATACATCGAAGTTGGACATTAATAGTGGAAAAAGAACGTTCCGAAAAAAGTCTCCCTCGTTTCCTCCTTTGTTTATCCCTCTTGGGATAAAATGATTTCTTTCCTGCAGGCACGGTTGACATAGTGAATTTGGATAACAACTTAAGAGGCAAAATACAGAGCAATAGGTTTGCTAACTAGTGACCAGTGTAAATATGGTTGAGAATTCCTGTCTTCATTAATCTTACTCAGCTCCAGCTCTTTGAGGAAATGCTCTGTGAACATGCTTTTCTGAGGATGCTCAGAAAAACGACAGGTTATGAGATTCAAAAGGAGAAGCCAATACTGGTCCTGTGTTCTGATATTTTAGGGCTCCTCCAATTTATTTGATTTGCTTCCACAAAGTGTACACAAAGGGTAGATTATATCTGGTCATTATTGAGCATTTGTTCTGATTTGCTTTGGGGTTGGAGTGTTATACAACAATGAGCATTCATCCTGACATGCTTATTGTTAAGTTGTGGGTGAACATATCAGATGACACAGCGATTTTTCAAATAGCTCTTGTTTATTCAGAGGCCAGAACAGAACTGAACTGAAGGGTTCAGTCAGCCTGCTTATATAGAGCTCCAGTACAACGTAACTGTAACAATTTTCTAAAACTATCCAATCACTGAACATCACTTTCGATCCCTTATTTGCATAACTATCTACAGTATCCCCCTGCTGGCCCAGGGTGAGAACTTCAGTACATAACACTTATGAGGTGCTTTTCCATCTTCCTGTTAATCATTCATTCATTCATTCCTGTTAATTAATTCAATAATTCATTTCAATGCATTTTCCCATTACTTTCCTAGTGACACAAAGTCCATTTCCTTTTCTTAAAATGTAGATTTGCTGTACTAGGGCAGGTGTGGGGAACCTCTGACCCTCCAGATGTTTCTGAACTACAACTCCCATCAGTCCCAGTAAGCATGGCCAACGAGAGTTGTCATTCAGCAATGTCCGGAGGGCCAAAAGTTCACCATACCAAGCTTGGAATCCCTCCTACAAAATACTGACAGTCTGGAGGAGACCTGACTAGTAGAGACAGACCGGGGTGCCCAAACCTTTTTCAAAGAGGGCCAGATTTGATGAAGTGAACATGTGTGAGGGCCAACCAAAGTTGTTGACCTTTCTTAGGATTGAAGTTGGTGAGCTTTTTTTAAATGATTTTACCCCAGAGTTGTTGTGCTTTTTTTACAATTTTACCTCAAAGTTCTTGAGCTTTTGGGGGGATTTTACCCCAAGAAATAAACTGCCACAGGGGCTGGATTAAGCCGACAACCGACCGGCTGGCCGGATTAGGCCCCCAAAACGGACTTGGACATGCCTTAGATAGACGTATTTGTCAGTTTCAGCTCTCTCTCTCTCAAGTCTCTCACAATGAATTCAGTTCTCAACATTTTCCCAGCAGCTTGCGATTTTATTCCTCAGGAAAATTCATCAGCATTTTACTGCGAATTCCTAGAGTTCACATCACTTGCTACTTGTTCCTTTTCAACTTGAGATGCAGAATGGGACCTTCTGCATGAAAAGCCATCTCATGGCATTTCTACACTGCCATCTTTAACTGGCTTAATAGGTACTCTCGCTTTCCACAGAGCGCTGGGGATTGTAATTCTGTGAGGGGAAAGTTGAGAAGCTCCCAAGAGAATTCTCAGCTCAGCATGCTGCAATTCTCAGGGTTCTTTGGAGGAAATCAATGCCTGTTGAAAGTGTTATTGGTTTGTAGTGTGGCTATTACCTTAGAAGAATTTCTCCTCAGCAGCTCGAGTCCTCAAGTTGTTCAATGCAATATTGACTTACGGAATAGTCTGACTAATCCATTTCAACGGCCTGATCCTGTGCATGTTTATGATTATTATTTATGATGATGATTATTATGTGAATTTCTTTGGGGGGGGGAGTCCCGAAGCAACTTACAGAAAGTAAAAATAAAAAACTAAAAAACTAAAACCAAGAAAAATATACAGAATACTAAAAGTATCCCTGCTTCAAATAAAGTCCTGCTAATTTCAGTGGAACATACTTAGGAGTAAGTGTTCATTGAAATAGAGCCTATGAATGTTTAGGGAAGGGTGATGCAGAAGTTGTGATCCAAATGACTTCCTGGCCATGCAATTTTGCATAGCATCTATTTTTTTAAAAAATAATCTTGATTTTCAAGTTAATTTTAGAAATCTGCTTGGAATGATTTTGAGTGCCTGTGGTTATCTGTTTGCTCTTCCCCAGGTCACCAACCGTGGAGAAGCTCACTTGGAACTCAATGCCTTCCGCCGCAAGCACGACTGTGCCCTAGTGATTTCTGGCGATTCCTTGGAGGTGAGAATGTGGTTATCGTGGTAGCCATTGCAGCAGGTGAGCTGCTGTTGGTGGTGGTGGGGAAATGTTTATATCCATGTAACTATTTTATCTGTTTTGTGGAACAGGTGTGCTTGAAATACTACGAGTATGAGTTTATGGAATTGGCTTGCCAGTGCCCAGCTGTGGTCTGTTGCAGATGTGCCCCAACACAGAAGGCTCAGATTGTACGCTTGCTCCAGGAGAGAACTGGGAAGCTGACCTGTGCTGTGGGTAGGTCATTTCCAGCTTCGTTTTCCAGCTGGGCATCTTTGGGTGGTTTTATTTTTACCTGTCTTCATTGGAGAGATTGAGAGACAGAGTGGCTGTGATCTAAATGCCATATTTCTGGGGGCTCTCGGTTTACACCTTCTGGTTGCACCCACCTGGCTCCCCTTGAAATCCCCTACAATGGTCAGATACCTTCTGGAACAGCACCCCAAGAGGTGTGAGAGATACTGCCAGAGGTCCCCATCAGCCATGCACATCCACTCAGGCCTACCTAGCTCTCTGCACACACAAACAGGCACCTCCCAACATAGACTACATAAATAAAAGCCATTCTCCCTTGGGTGCTGAATGTCTCCAAGGAGGTTTGGCTCCCTCTACCGCTTGAAAGCAGAAGATGCTGTAACTTCAAAGGAAGTCGTTGTCTCTACCTCCCTTTGAGGCTTCAGTTCTGTGGCCCCCCCCCCCAATATTTCACCATATTCTAGCATGATCAAGAAGGTTTGGCAAGAGCGGGCTTGATTCTCAGTGGCTGGGTTTATAAGGGCAAGGAGGTTTACCGCAGACATCATGCATAGGTCACTGATAATATACAAATTTGTGCATCTGCCCCCTGCTGCCATGGGCATTTCAAACTTGCGTATCCTGCTGCAAAGCGATATATGCAAGTTTCTCTATAACTTGCTAACTGGAAGCACAGAAATCATTACCCTGGGTCACTTGCCTTTGCTTTATTAGCCAGACAATATGAGATAAACTCATTGATCCTGCATCAAAGCAAGGAATCCATCTCTAGCACCAGCGCTTGCACTCTCCTGCTATAAAAAAATGCTGCAACGCACCTTTAGCACATTAATAACGGAATGGAGGCTCTTTTGTGATCAAGCTGAACAGCCCTGCAGTCTAATATAAGCTGCAAGTAAAGATTGGTGTTCCATCAAGATCCTCAATGGTCTTTTTCTCTGTTGCCTCTTGCAGGTGATGGTGGGAATGATGTCAGTATGATTCAAGAGGCAGATTGTGGTGTTGGGGTTGAAGGAAAGGTAAGTTTCTTTCTCTCTCTCTCTCTCTCTCTCTCTCTCTGGCAACATTTTAGTTTTAAGCCAACAATTATATCGATAGCTAATGCACACACAGGGAACCTGTTTTGCTAAAAGGGATGAAATGAGTGTCTGACCTAGCCTACGCGATGAAATCCTTACTGAATAAGTTGGTATATGCACAAGCTCCATGAACCCAGCACAGCTCCTTCACTCCCTGCTTGCGTACCTGTGGAGACACAGGCCAGGAAGCCACAGTTAACCATAGTTTCTTGTTATGTGCAAACCAGGAAACTGTGGTTAACGGCTTCCAAACAAGCCATGGTTTGGAATGGTGAAATTATCCTCCTGACAAAGTCAGTTCTGCCCATGGTGATGTATGTTTCCCACATTAAGATACCACTTGGTAAATGTGCAACCCTAGAACATTTTATGACCTGCCAAGAGTTTGTGGATGCAAACAAGGAACAAAAGCAAGAGGTCTGTTCTGCTCTGGCGAGCTGCTGTGCTTGATTGCTGGCTTGGCAGCAATTTTGGTATAGTTCAGCTTGGTAGATCACAAGTTGTGCAGGCCTGATCTCCTTTTCTGGGTGGTTGTGAGGTTGAAAGGGTAAAATGATGTGTACCGACCTAATCTCTTTGGAAGCGGGGTAGACTAAAATATCTAACCATAAAACAAAGCAGTAAATAACTGTGAAAAATGGACCAATCACTAATAAGGCTGTAATTATGTGCATGCTTACCTGGGAGTAAGCCCCACTGAATACAGTTTGACTTACTTCTGAGTAAACAGACATAGGCTTACACAGCACATTAGACATATATCTGCAATTTATTGCTTTTTAAAGTCTTACTGCCCTTTTGTAAAAGGTCCAGAGATGACCACTTTGTTTCTCAAAGGATGCTGTAGCAGAGTCTTGAGGCCATTGTGATAAAGGTTCTGAATCTTGCTTCTATAGCTCTAACCTCTCCTAATGAGGGCATATGAAGCAGGGCTTAAGCACCTGACCACAGCTGGTACTCCCACTGAGTAAGGGAGAGGCAGGTGCCACAGAATTAGGATTGTATCTATTTCCCTATGGCAGGATATATTTTCCTGCTATCTTGTGGTCTGATAGGTTGTTGCTTTTCTTAATTATTTCTTGGTGTACCTAGGAAGGAAAGCAAGCTTCCCTTGCAGCAGACTTCTCCATCACTCAGTTTAAGCATCTGGGCCGGCTACTGATGGTGCATGGGCGGAACAGCTACAAAAGATCTGCAGCCCTCAGCCAGTTTGTGATCCACAGAAGCTTGTGTATCAGTACAATGCAGGCAAGTAATGCCACAGCATCTTCACTTTTTTTCTCCCTGTTTAAGAGAGCGCGACTGATGTCCAAAAGTTAAAAACGGTATTTTTACATTGCTCTAATATGTCATGAAGTCGATTCAGTGTAGTGTCTTGCTTCTGTTAAAACTGAAAATGTGTCTTATTTTTATTGGAGGTTTAAAGCTTTTCAATCGGTAACCCGATTAAAATCTCCATTAGTTAATAAATAACAGGTTGTGGTTGGCAAAGGCTCAGGGTTGGCCCTATCTGTTCCTATAGTGGTGGAGCAGAGTCATGGATCCATCCACCCAATGTCAAGATGACTGGACCAGACCAAAGGCTTACCTGGTCCAACATCCTTTTCTCACAAGAGCCATCCAGATGTCCATGGCAAGCCCACATGTGGGACCTGGGTGCAACAGTACTGTTCCCACTTACTCTTCTCAGCAAGTGGTATTTGCAAAGGCATGCTGCCTGCAAGAGCAGACACAAAACATAACCATCATGGCTAGTAGCCTTTGATAGCCATTTCCTCTGACAACTATCTACTGTAAATGGATATTTAATTTTGTTTCCCACCTAAAAATAAGTCCAACAAGGTAGCCTGTAATCTAGAACAGTAAAATCCAAGAACCAATAGTGTAAAGGCAGACTGTATTCCTATACCTGCTTACCTAGGAGCAAGCTCCAGTGAAGTCATTGGTGGAATTCTGCTTTTTAACCAAAAACTTGAAAATAGACATTCCCCTCCCCCCCATAGTACCTGAAGGCCAGCTGTGAAGGCTCTGTGTATCTTGATTGTATTTGCGCCAACAGTGAGACAGAGTTTGAATTTGGTGTCCAAATAGTCCTGTGAAAACATCCATGACCTTTTTTTTGCGTCCCAAAGAAACTTCAGACCTGTTGTTCATCAGTATACTTGAGCATGTGTCAGATGATGGGCAATGGGAGTAATTGCTTTTGAGGAGAGAGAGAATAGGTAGGATGGAACGCAGAACACAAATCTGTATGTTCTGGGATTAAAGCACAGCTTGCTACCTCTCTAGCTCAGCTCACGTCGAGTCTTCTTCATGTGGAAACAATAGCTTTTAAAGAATTAAGATGGTTTGAGAGGTGCTGCTTTAAATCCTGCACATGAGAGCACCTTTTTCTTTGTCACCTGTGGTCTTTTCAAACAGGCATTGTAGGTTTTTCAAACTACATTTTTTAAAAAAGTGGAATGAGTGTGTACGTCGGGAAAGCCAATATAGGAATCCGCAGTTGTTGTTGAACTATAATTTCCACCATTCCTGGCTGTTGGCCATGCTGGCTGGCTGGCTGATGGGAGCTGGAGTCAAACAACATCTGGAAAGCCATAGATGAGAGAGAGCTCAGTTGATAAAGCATGAGACACTTCATCTTGGGTTTGTGGGTTCAAGCCCCATATTGGGTGAAAGATTCCCCTCACTGCAGGAGGTTGGACTAGATGATCCTTGTGGTCCCTTTCAGCTCTACAATTCTGTAAAATCGCCATCCCTGATTTAAAGCCCGCAGCTGACAGACTGTAAAGAAAACATGTAGATTAGTGTTCATTGAAAACCAGGTACTCAGGCTGTCTGACAAAATGCACCAAATGCATTTGCCAAATAAGCATTGTAGCTTTTTGAAACTATATGCAGTGCCTGTTTTGCTAGGGGATAAAGTGGGGTGTATTTAAATGCCATGAGCAGCAATCCCTTCTGCAAATCACTTTTAGCTCTTTGGGTGTAATGGGGGAGGAAGCCACATGTTTGCCTTCAGTCCCCAAGTGGCGAGTTCCAATCTTGCTCTGCTTCTGTGAATTGCCACAGAATTCCTATTGCCATGTGAGCTATCTGGATGGATCATTGCTGTTGAACACATCTTTGCTTCGAAGCCTAAAGAGTCTTTCCATTTTTGTTTGTTCTGCAGGCTGTTTTTTCTTCGGTATTCTACTTTGCATCCGTCCCTCTCTACCAGGGCTTCCTCATTATTGGGTAAGAACCAAACACCCCCCCCCCAAAAAAATATATGTGACCAGGAAGTCTGAAATGCAAGGAGGCTAGTTTTGAAATCCTCGTATGTCTGGAAGCGTTCACATCCTTGTGTGTCGCTGTCTACAATGTGGACTGCCTTCCTTCCTGCTATAGCTGCTGTTATCAGAATAAGAGATGAGACTTTGAAGGCTCACATTTTCAAAGCAGCAATTAATCCCGCAATCATGATAAGCACGTGGATCTTATTAGGACCAATTTCAGCTCTTATGGCAACTTTTATTTGAGGACCAGGAAGAAAAGGTTTAATTTGCTCAGCAGTCCCTCTTTTGGAAGAAAAGCAGGTTGTAAATTTTAAAACTAGTAAATTAACCTGGGCAGCCAATGCTTTTCTAACATGAGCCCTTTTTTTTAATTCAAGAAAGCCCAACAGATACGTGTGTCCCACTTCACATGTTTCTGGCCTAAGGTCTGTCATTGTAGCAGAAGAATTAAGACTGAGCATTGGCTGAGCATTGGCAAACATTGGTTTTCAGTGTTAGGGCCTGTGTCTTAGACAACATCACACATTTCACGGCAGCACAACGATATTTCCCTTAAAGTCTGTTTTTGTCAGGGAGGAGCAGCTAGGTCTAACCCCTGATGAGTGGCTCCATGTGATATCTATTCTTTGCAAATGTGTTTGCCACATTTATGCTTTTAGATCGCACATAAAACACATTGCACTTTTTTTAGAGAGAGAGAGAGATAGATGCATTTCAGATGTGAAGCAGCGCTTGGACACCAGCCTCAGGGTGGGGTTGTAGTTCAGCAGTAGGACACATGCCTGGGATGGAGATGGTTGGGGGCAGGATTCAATCTATGGCATTCCCATTTAAAGGGGTCAGGTGACAAGACAATGGACAAGACTTCTACCTGAGACTGTAGAAAGCCAGTCAGAGTTGACAATACTGGTATGAGTGGCTAAATATTATGATGTGGCAAATTCCTATGATATCCTATTTATAACAGGAGCTTTCATTTCACTTTTGTTTTTCCTTTCCTGAAGCATGCACTTCCACCCCCTGGAATATGAATGTTCAAGGCTGTTTAAAAACGAGAGTTTTGTGGGGTTTAATTATGCATTTGTGAAATGACACCCATGCATTTGTTGTGCCCTCCAATTATTTTATGCAGTACACTGATAATAGAGACAGGGAAACTGACTATGCATGGGATTGTGGATTAGCCAGAATTTGGGATCCAGGCTATTAGCCTTGCACAAATGAAATTAGAAATGCATGCCTTTGCATGGAACTCATATATATATATATATATATATATATATATATATATATAGTGGTGGCTATTAGCTAGAAACATTTTTAAAAGAAGCTCTGGGTGGTATCCAATGCACTCATTCTGTTGGCAAAGGAGTTCTTGCTTGTACTTTGGAGCTTTTCCTCCCATCTCCTCCCTGTGTGTGCACCCTGCTCCAGAGGGCGGGGGAACCCCCAGAACAAATTTAGGGGGTTTGTGGGGGAGAAGGCGAGGGAAGGGAAGTTATACTGTGCAAGTGAGAATCCTTGTACTGCCTTAACAAGTTACTTGGTTCTGCATTGGATACAACCCTCTGTGGAGGGGGAGAGGTGAGAAGAGGCTTAAACTTCATTGCTGATCTCATCCTGGGTCGAACCCAAACCCTTTAAGTGGCCAATAACATTCAATTGCGAGAGACAGCATAGAGAAATGTAGAAATCAACAAAACAACTCTCCCCATTCTGCTTATGTTTGCCACCCCTCAGTCCGATTTGTCGAGGTGGGAGAGGAGGTGTTGAATCCATGTGGAAATCAATGGGGATCTCTTCTGTTGTTGCTTTCAGGTATTCTACACTCTATACTATGTTTCCAGTGTTCTCTTTAGTGCTGGACAAAGATGTCAAATCAGAAGTTGCCATGCTGTACCCAGAACTCTACAAAGATCTTCTGAAGGTTTGATACATCTTGTGTTGTGTTTTCATCTTTTGTCTTCAGGTTTATGCTCAAGATCACATACAGAAATGTGCATCAGACTGACGTTCATTTTGTTTTCCTGTCCTCTTTCATTTCTTTAGGGAAGGCCCTTATCATACAAGACATTTTTGATATGGGTTTTGATAAGCATTTACCAAGGTAAGAGACTGTCTGTCCAGGTACCTCTCAGTGAATTGTTTGTAATGAATTGTTCAAATCTCATATTTTCCCAGATTTGGTGGAAACAACAAACACTGACTTGAATAAGCAAATCTACTAAATTGAATATTTGTGCATAATAAATTCTGGTTTTTATAGGTTTGGAAGAGAGACAATGAGCTCTGCAGAGAATTATATCTACACAAACACATGCTCATTCCCTGATCACTGGAAGTCCTGCTCAGTTTCCTTCTGGCTTCTCAGATTTCCCCAGACATTGGCTGCAATCCTGCTTCCTCCATGTGCAGAGAGCAGCCTGCAGAGGGGCTGTCAGGGTGGTGGTCTGGAGACAAGAGCAGCTCAGTCTCCTGTGTCTACCTGAGCCATGAGGCCAAGGAACCAAGCCATGATCAGCAGCTTTGTAGGACTGGGTAGAACCCTATCTAGCTCTAACATCACCTGACCTCTGTTGAGTGGTCCATTCTAATACAACCATCTGGCCATTAACAGTAATGACAATGCAGCTCAGCAAAGACTAAGCCAACAGGTGCCTCCTCCAGCAAACCAGTCATAACAGCACAGAGCACACAGAGCTTACTGCTTCTGCTACAGCCTAAGTGAATTGCTCATGCTGCCTTTCTATAGAGGCTCCCATTGAACCCTACTGTGCCATGTCCAGGTCATCATTAGCACTCTCCATGCATCCTTTCTCTACGTGGTATAGATGTTAGAGTGTCAGACTTGGACCTGGGAGACCAGAGTTCAAATCCCCACTCAGCCATGAAACTCACTGGGTGACCTTGGGTCAGTCACTCATTCTTGGGCTACATTGAAAGGCCTACACTGAAAGACCTAGATTGGCTCTTAGCACGTTTCCGAGCACAATTCAAAGTGTTGGTGCCAGTGTTCAAAACTCCCATTGTTCGAGGCGCATTTTGTGACAGGGAATTTCATTAGCGCGAGCAGTTTCTGAGCTCTGGGCTCAGTACTGCATCTAAGATTTCAGATTAAAACTGCAGAGTGAAGGAAAGGAGGACCTGTTTCTGCCTCCTATTCTCTGAAGACTGGAGAAGAGATCCTCTTAAGAATATTAGGGGCGGGCAGGCAGGGAAAGGACTAGACCATGTGAAAAATGAACATAATATTTTAGCTGCAGTTCATTCATTTTCAGCACTGTATTCTTGTTATAAAAAAGCATGCCTAGACATTCCGTTGTTACGCCCATAACCTAGGATTAAGGTGCCATTTAGCTCCTAGTTTTCATATCTCATCTCAGTTTCTAACACTGGTTGGTGCTGATCTTTAAAGCCCCAAACGGGTTTGGCCCTGTATATCTGAAGGAGCATTTTCAGCCCCATTTTTCATACCCGGACACTGAGGTCCAGCTCCGAGGGCCTTCTGGTGGTTCCCTCATTGCGAGAAGTGAAGCTACAGGGAACCAGGCAAAGGGCCTTCTCAATAGTGTCACCCACCCTGTGGAACACCCTCCCATCAGATATCAAGGAGATGAATAACTATATAACCTTTAGAAGACACCTGAAGGAAGCCCTGTATAGGGAAGGTTTTTAAGGTTTAATATTTTATTATGTTTTTATATATGTTGGAAACTGCCCAGAGTGGCTGGGGCAACAAATTCAAATGGTCAGGATACAAAATAATAAATTATTATTATTATTATTATTATTATTATTATTATTATTATTTTATTTTATTAGCTACCTCACAGAGTTGGGGGTATGTGTTTTCTGCTCTGACCTATTTGAAGGGAAGCTGGGATATAAATGTAAGTTTGAGAAAGTACATAACTGATGGCTGGATGCTTCAATGTGAGGCTCAGGATGGATTTGCTGTGCGGTTAATGCTTTAGATGTAATGTCACAAAAAACATCAGTGAGTGTTGCAGGGGGGACCATAATGGCTTCCCAGGAAGCTGTTCTGCGCCCTTCACTCTGCATAGCAGCCATTGTCCATCAGTTAACTTCACATTCAGAGGGGCTAAGTTATACCCAGTTCATTGATTGCCTTTTTAATTGGAAAAGGAGGACCAGGAATATATTACATTTTAAGAGGGTCAGAGAAGAATTGGAGAGTTGGCTGCAACAGCAATTACTTTTCAAGGGCTAAATCAATACTACAGAGCAGTGTCTTGGCCTTCGCAGAGATCACACAGCTCCCGGACAGTCAGAAAGAGTGAGACATCGTGGGAAAGCTTTCCAGGCCAAGAGCCTTCTCCTGTTACATTCTGTTGGTCAGATGACCTCACCCCTTGATGGATCACACCATGCAATTTTGGCTAGTAGTTATCGCTCAAGATCAGGGATGGCCCAAAACTGAGCAGTACCCAGATGGTGGAAAATTTACTCCCTGGGTCTGTGTTTTATGGCTTGATCTTGAGTCACTGGTAGAATTGTTCTTCAAACAAGCATAATGTGATGTCTGTGGATTAGTCATCAGTACAGATGACTCATGCTGATGACATGAGTTATGTCTGCAGCTGAGGATCTGGGACGTTGTGTAGCTATTCTCAGATCAGCCAGAAGTAGGATGCAAAGTGATTCTCAGTCTTTCTCTCCCTAACCATTCTCAAAAAATACGTTTCCTTGAACATAAGTCCTACTGAGTTCATTGAGACTTCTTAACATGCTTAAGACTGGTAACAAAATTAGCTTCAGAATCTCACCACAGCCATGAACGCACTGAGAAATCTTGGTCAAACTCTCTCTCTCTCAGCCTAACCTGTCCCCACCTTCAGTGTGTGAATATTATTACAGGTCTACCGAGTTGCAGGGCTTTTGTAAGGTTAGCCAGGATAATATGTCAGAAGGGGAGAACCTGTGGCCATCCAACCTGTTGCTGGACCATTGACCCTAGCAGCATGGCCCAGTGGTGAGGGATGATGGGAAGCGTAGTCAACAACACATGGAGGGCCAAAGGTTCCTCGCCTCTGATGTATTATGCTGGTTAATAATATAATTGGTCATAGGAATAAGTGTTTTGAAAACTCTACAGCTACTGTATAATATTAAGATACTGTCTAACACAGGCATAGGCAAATTCTGGCTCTCCAGATGCTTGGGACTACAACTCCCATCATTCCTAGCCAGCATTCACTAGTGGTCAAGGATGATGGGAGTTGTAGTCCAACAACATCTGGGGACCCACAGGTTGAGAACCACTGAGCTAGAGGAAGGAAGGAAGTCTTCTGTATTTTCTTGTTCATGGAAGGGTCATAGCTCTGACTAGCAAGTCCCACTGATTTCAGGGAGACTGCTCAAAGTCTGGATCCAACCCACTCACTGTATTTTTTACATTTTTGTAATTTATTTAACCCCTCCTTTCTCTTTCATCCACTTGCAGGCAGCATCATTATGTATGGCGCATTGCTGCTCTTTGAATCTGAGTTTGTCCACATTGTGGCTATTTCCTTCACATCCTTGATCCTCACTGAGCTGTTGATGGTGGCGCTGACAATCCAGACGTGGCATTGGCTCATGATAGTGGCAGAACTACTCAGCCTTTCCTGCTACATTGCCTCGCTGGTCTTCTTGCACGAGTTTATTGGTAATAGCCGTTGCTCTGAATTTCTCAAAACATCTTCGGTCAAATGTAAAGCCAGGGCTAGTTTGGGAAGCCAAGGTACTTCTGGAAGTGGATTTAGGGCACGGGCTCTAGGGCAGCTAGAATTAAAGAACTGACCGTCTTCAATATTGAAAGCAAGCGGGCTGCCATGTGGATTTTCCATCCCATACTCCAAATGTTCAACTGCAAACCCATGAATTGTAATGGGCAAAGAAAGTGATGAATTGGTGTTAGAGCAGATGTAGAAAACCTGTGATCTACAAGGCTGCCAAGACAGTTAATTTCATTCATTAGCCCATTGATAGGTCAAGATGGTGGTGGGCAGTTACAAGCTACTGTTGTAAGTTTTTGCAAAGGAGTCACCCCTATCCTATAAAAACATTAGCATAAGTAAAGCCCTCTTGTATCAGTCCAAGAGGTCTGTCCCTCACAGTAGCCAACATATTTTATTCATTTGCTTACTATGAATGAAGGCCACCCTTCATTCACAAGGTGCCAAAATACAGGCAGTTAAAATTAAAAAATAATATTTAAAAGCAGCAAACACAATTTCCATACAAGTAAAACGGCAGCCACAATAGAAATCCAATCCGATCTACCTCTCCCTTACCCAAGAGCCTGAGCAAAGAGGCAAGTCTTTGGCTGATGATGAAATGACAACTGGGTCATGCTGAGACACACTTCAGAGGGAAGGCTGTTCCCAAGGCTTGGGGCCGCCACCATGAGAATTCACCGCAGATCTTAGAGATGGCTAACAATAGCCCTCTCCTTGTAGTAATATAGAAAAGCCTGCTAAGGTCTCTTTTTTTGCATCCATTATTAGTCTAATCTTTCAGTGGAAATGGAAAAAAAGGAAGTCATGGAAGGGCTGACAGAACAGGGGGAAACGTAAGGAAAATAACTGCTAATTTGCAGAGCGGTCTAAAATTGCAATGAAACAATATATCTACCTCCATTCCAAAATATGCAGCTGTCAATGCTGAATTAAAAGTTGTGTTTCCAGAACTTCAACTTTGAAGATTCATTTCCCCCCTTTGAAGACCTTAGTGTGATGCTCTTGTCAGTTTACTTTCAACTTTAAGTGTTTGCTTTCTGCAAAGATTGAAAACTTGCTACTAGTTACCCACTTTCATTTAGAAATTCAAAGCATAAGTAACATTGTTGTCATATTTTAGCAATCGCATTTTAAATATGGAAGCTTGATTTTTTTTTTTAATTGTATACTGTATTTTAGTATGATTCCATTGCTGTTTTAAGAGGATCCAGTTCCTCTTTTACAGCTAACCTGAAATTATTTTATTGAAACGGCACTTTAGGCAGTTAGCTACTTCATCAGAGTGGAACTGATGAAATTCGTTCATGGAATGTTTACACCCAGTTTTAATTTTTTTTAAGGGCATTTAAGTATGCTTTGAAAAGGGGCTGTGCTTTCTTCTCAAATTTGTGTTATAAAAAAGCTAAGAAAAGTACTTCTGATACTGTATTCTAACAGTACAATCTTATACATGTCTACTCAGAAGTGAGCCCTGTTCCTATCAATGGGACTTCCAGGAAAATGTGGCATTTTCCAATGTTAAGTTCATAATATACATAAATGTCCCTTCAAAGTTGGAGGAAAACTGAGTGTGAGCATTCCATTACTTTATTCTTTTCTTTGAACTTGTATTTGCTTTAAAAAATAATATATTTAGCAGAACAATACATTTAACAAACCATGCTACACATGGAAATTTTGAAAAGTAATTATTTAAGGGTCAAAAAATAGCAACCTTTAAACATCCCAACAATAAACACACGAAATGCTGTATTGAAGCAGCAGCAACACTGTAATAAATATGCTGGAGCCCTCAATGTGTTCCTTTTTATATCTGCATGTATTAAAAAAACAATTCCTGGCCCACATTGAACACTTGTGCTTGCGGGGGGGGGGGGGCGCAATTTTGGTGGCTTCTTATTAACATTTCTAAGTTGCACCTCACAGTTGTACTCCAGTTAAGCTGCCAAAGTAGAGGAACCACCTGCAAAAGCCCATCTTACTTTTGGGTAGTAAAATGATTTCAGTTAGCTTTAAATGTACAGCTGGACTCCTTGAAGTAAGCATGTTTCTTAAATAGGGACACGGGGGCGCTGTGGTCTAAACCACTGAGCCTCTGGGGCTTGCCGACCAGAAGGTCACCGGTTTGAATCCATAAGCTCCCGTTTCTCTCTCCAAGCTTCTGCCAACCTAGCAGTTTGAAAGCACACCAGTGCAAGTAGATAAATAGGTACCACTGCAGCGGGAAGGTAAATGGCGTTTTTGTGCGCTCTGGCACTTGTCATGGTGTCTCATTGCGCCAGAAGCGGTTTAGTTATGCTGGCAGCATGACCCGGAAACAGGGCCGGATTTAGGTTTGATGGGGCCCATTATATGTCCAGCTGTCCTTTGCCAGCAACAAATTGTCACTGTTTTTTGTGTTGAATAAATGCTATATGGTAATTTATGGGCCTAATAGGTATCTAAAGCCATTTGCGCATAACAAAATATGTATTTTATCAAAGTAATTGTTGAACTGAAATACAATTTCAGTTTAGAAGTATATTAATAGTGAAATACAATGAAGAAGAAGTATATTTTTGGTGGGGGGGCAAGAGAGTGGGGCCCTAAGCTTTATCTTGTTTAGCTTATAGGTAAATCTGCCCAGAAAGCTGTCTGCAAACACCGGCCCCCTCAGCCTGAAATGAGCGTCACACCCCATAGTCGCTTTTGACTGGACTTAACTGTCCAGGGGTCCTTTACCTTTTTATTACATATTATTAAATAAATAAATAAAGTTGCATGGCTTGCTATTTAGTTAGGGTGCATGCATACGGCTCTGTTCTGTTGAACATATTTTGATGTGTGTTTTTCTTCTCCTTCCTCCCCCTCAACATGCCTCCTATACGAACCATTCTCTCTTTCTTCTCTTGCAGATGTTTACTTCATTGCAACCTTATCGTTCTTGTGGAAGGTGACAGTAATCACTCTGGTCAGCTGTCTTCCCCTCTACTTCCTAAAGTATCTGAGGCGAAGATTTTCTCCCCCAAGCTATTCAAAACTCACTTCGTAGGTGGTTCTACCAGTGGAGCAGAGACTACTTCTCGCCCCCCCCACCCTCTTTTTCTTTTTGCACAAAATAAATGTGTGTTCCTCATAGTAACGGTTATGTCCGATGGTTGCAAATGGATCATGCACTGGCTAGAGAATGTTTCCGAAAGACTGAAATAACTGGCAGTGCAGCAGAAACAGCCAAGTAAACCGGAGAACTTACATATGTGATCCAGGTTTTGTTTTTTTGTGTCAACTTTATATTTATTTTAACTGATAATAAATGCATGTAACTGGAAAGAAGAGTTGGCTTCCAGTGGGCAATTACTGGAATGGGTTTACTTGGGAAGTACTATGTAAGCTATTGATGTGACAAATTTTTCAAACGAATTTCCCCCCCCCCTTTTTTTTAAATTTCCTCATGTCATTTTTATATTACTATTTATCTTTTTAGTTCAGGTCCTAGTTTATAAGCATTTTTTATATCTCGGGAAATACTTTAGAATGGGTGAAACCACATGCTCACAGGCAACTTTAGCCATGCTGACCTCTTTTGATGTGTTCCAATGCAAACCAGAGCTCCAAATTTCAGCTAAGATTTCTTTAATCTGCAAAACGGAAACAAACAAAAAAGCCACAGTGCGTCTTTTCTGCTCTGAAGTTGTCCAATTATTTTTAACGGGGATTGACGCTGGTAAAAGAGAGGTTCTGTTTTATTAAATGGTACCATTTTCTTGGGAGAATACTTTTGTGTCATCCAAACTGCCGGTGCGTCGTTAACGTTATAACAACCAGAACTAAGGCAAACATGGGGTTCCCACCCCATATTCACATAATTAATGCTTATGACCAAGGGTGCCAATTTGAATAAAATATTGGGGAGGAGGGGGCTTGTAAGCCCCTCCCTGCGTGATCAATCATGACAAGGTGCACACACAGGATTTGAATGGCAGTGCCCATCCACTTTGTGGTGGTGCAGCCCCTTCAAATATTTTCTTGCCGGGGCTGAAGTCTCCAGGGCCCCTGGGAGTTGGCTTCTGTGTGTGAGACTACCACTAACCTTGGGCTCCAGGTGGGCAGCCTTTGCTGTACACTGCGGCCGCAGCACAGTTTGAGGAAGGAGTGGGCAGGTGCTTCCTGCATGGCCGATGGGGTTGGGGAAGAGATGTTTGACACCTCCCCTTCCTGACCATGCCAGTATGCTGGCTGGATCCTGTCCTATGGGGGGGGCAAGGCGGGCATTCCCCCACTGTCTTTAAGGGGGTGGCCTGCTGTGGGTCACCATGAGAGTGGAAGGTCTTTTGCAGGGAGAATCGGGGATGCAATACCTAACCATGTTAGACACATTCCTCCAGCCACCGTCACCCCCCTCCTCCTGTTTTCACCTAGCGGGGAGCAGGTGATGGAGAGAACGAGACCTGCAGAAATAAAGACTTTGCAGAAGGGACTGAAAAGGAGAATTGACACATGGGGGAAAGGGTTAAGCACTCTCTCCTTCCTCCTGCTGATTCTCCCCTGCAAATGTTCACCACAGAGCTCCCACGTTACCACTAACTAGCAAATATATACTTGCTGAGATCATACAGATTCCATTCTCACATGCAGGTTTCGTTTGGCTCATCCAATGGAGCGAACCAGTGTTTCTTCCTGCTCTGTGCAAATGTACACAGCAGGTGACTGCCCCAGATGGGGCTAGCAATATGAGTATCACTGTTGTATCAGAATAAACACCTTAACCTTCATCAACGTTTTGGAAGGAAACCAGCTGCTAATTGCCCCCTTTGAAAAATATCTGAAATGTTATTCTGCAGAAGTGTAACAGATGTATCGGATTGTAATAGAGATGTAACAGGATCACAAGGGAAAGTTCATGGGATACTGGTTATTTTCTGTAAAGCTTTTTAAAAGTTTCTTATTAGCACTGAACTGCACGTTTTATATTTTTCACCGGACTGTACCACTTTGGACTGCAGATGTGGACTTGTGCTTGGATGTTCTTTTCCATGTAAAAACAACAGTGGCTTTCAGCATGCAAAGCTCATCCACACTTCTCTTTCCCCTGTGATTTCCAGGCATGGGTCCAAGAGGTTTTTCTTCTGTCCTGCCACTTTCCCCATAAAAAAAACCCTTGTTTACTGCTGAATCGGAACAAACGTCATGCCGCAGAAAATCCGATTGTTCCGATTCAGCAGTAAATGTGACGTGTAAAAGGGAAGTGTATCTGCAGGTGAGAAGGTTATTCATTTCTACATTCGGTTCAGAGTTGTGTACAGTCATACCTTGGTTTTTCAAACAGCTTAGTTCTGGCTTCCGAACGCCGCAAACCCGGAAGTGACTGTTCTGGTTTGCGAACTATTTTTGGGAGCCGAAGGTCCGATGCAGCTTCCGATTGAGTTGCCAGAAGCTCCTGCAGCCAATCAGAAGCTGTGCCCTGGTTTTCGAACGTTTTTGGAAGTCAAATGGACTTCTAGAATGGATTCCGTTTGAGAACCAAAGTACAACTGTGCTTCAAGATCCTTGGGCCATTTAAGAGAAGTCCAATCAAATTAGTGGGTGTTCAGCACCGCAGTAACACATATAAGTCCATTTGAAATGCATTTCTGTGGGACTTGAGCATGTCTAACTCTGGGTTGTACAGATTTTTTCTTTTGGGGAGGATTCCATAAATACAGCATGGCCCGTAAATTTATATTCAGTTACTATATCCTCCTTCAACTTCTTTTATGGGTTGTCTTTGTCTAGAAAATAACACCTCCCTGAGTGTATAAGAGTGTCCTACAAGAAAACTGTGGTCACAGCCCCTGTGCAGCCCCTGTTTAGATTTAATCGTTATTGTGCAAGACCATGTTAGTAGACTTTATAGATTTTTGGGGTTGTGTGTGTGTTTTTTTTAATCAGTGAAGTTTACACTAAATAATGATCACTGGGCCATTAATGGCCATGTTAACAAAGCCAGCAAAAAAGGGAACAAATTCTAATTAAGTTCAGTAATATTTATTGGACTAATGACGTAAGAAACTATTTTATTTAGTGGCAGTAATGTAACTATTAATGCTTTTTGTAAGACATGGAATCTCTTTGACCTGTTGTTATTCTGTAGATAACATCTTAGACAAGGTTGTAATCTGTGAAGTGTTTCTGAGTGGGCGCGATTTAATTTTGTGAGCGTGTCTTAAAAAAAAAAAATCACTGTTCAAAACAGCCTCTTGTACAACAAACTAGTAGCACCAGTTGATTTGTTTATTATTATTATTATAGCTTGATAGGATCTCCACAAAATTACCTTGGTTTTGGGGGGGATTGGAGCACAAATTGCACAAATTAATAATTCCGCTGAGATCAGAACTTTTCTTCCCTTTTCTTTCTTTCTCCCCCCCCAACCTAAAAAAAATTATGTGTCATTATGACAAGGGAAATGGAATTATCCTTTCCTAAGCTATCCTTTCCTAAGCCTGGCAATCATACTTTGTGGCATGCAATCTGCTGGGAATGCCGGCACAATGTGAGTGTACTGAAATGGAAATTCTACAAAGGCACAGCTTGGAATGAATTGTTTCAATTGGGTTTACACTGGCAAACATCCCTATAGATTGTGTGTTCTATGTAGTATGATACAAGTCAGTTTGGCAGTTTTCCTTAAAATGGAGAAAGTGGTGCATTATGTAGATTGCTGATAAATACTCTTTCTCTTTGCAGCTGGTTACTAAAAACACTTACTTATTTTTGCACTGATGTGATGATCCTCTCCTCATGTTGCCATTTCATTAAATGGAGATACAGCATCCGTTTTGTTTCTGATACTTTGTTGGTTATTCTCCCACTTCTGAATCATATGTTTGCCTGTATTCCTACAGCCTTTTTTCAGACAAGAATACAAGGTTGCAGTGCTGTGCAAACATATCTGGGAGTAAGTCCAACTGCATTCAGCGGGACCATTATCTGAATAAATGTGGATAAGATTTGGGCTATTAGCTACATTTTCATATTGGCACTATACTCCTGCTTGAAGCACCCAAAGGTAATAGGATCATAGCCTACCCCCAAATAATGGAAAATGCTGGAATAAGGGCCTGCAAAGTGAGGGCTGTGGCTGGGTTGTGGTTACTGCTTTGATTATACCCATACTTGAATGCCCAAACTCTTTAAAAAAAATAAGTAAACTTGAAGTTCAGGAATTGGTACAGGCTTTGCATAGAAGAATTGCAATACTAATCACCCATTACGTCAGACATTATCCGTGAGGTGCCTATAGCAAAGGTGCAGCCATATTGCACACAGCATTAGATGAGACAGCCGCAAAGATACTGCATTTTCTCAGCAACAAGGTATTGTGGCTTGTGGCACTGAGCAATTTTGATATTTGCAGGCATTGGGAAGTTGTTGAGGTTTCGCATGACAAATGATTTAAGGGAAACGATCACACGTGAAGCTCCCTGACGGATTATATCTGTCGCCAGAATTGCCCTTCTTCTGTTCATGTTGGGGCAAATGTTCTCATACGTCACAATTGTTGCATTGGGCCTCCTCAGAAAATAGAGGATGAAAAGACAGAAATGCTCACCTAAATCTTCTGCCCAACATCTGTTGAATACTACACAGAACGTCTGACATATAATATCGGATATGGAACATTCTATCTGAAAATTTAGAAGGCTTTTCATGCACAGAAAATCCTTTTAAATTCTGGGCTTAATGTCCTCACTTTCTGTCTACAGCTTATGGGGCCAGTCTTTCGGTGTTCTCACCATTGCTTCTCCTTCTGCAAAAGGCAGCTCATGACATCTCAGATACCCTGTTTCCTTAAGATATGGCACATAAATGCATGAGCAATACCATAATGAAATCTTATAGCCTGGTCTTCAGTGTCAGGAGCCAGCAGGGACACAAAGTATACTGGAACGAGTGTTGACCTAAAGCAGAGGGTAGGGTTAACATGCCCAGCAGTTGCAATTACCATAGTGTAAATTAAAAAGCAGGCTTTCTAAGATTACTGTTTCAGGATGTGGGTGAGGGTATTGCCTGCTAGCTTTTTGCTACAGAGAGTAAACCCCCATTCCTGGGCATTCTCCATGGAACAATGCTAGGAAGGCTATACCACATTTCCCCTCAACATTTGAACTGGCTCTCAGATACTCCAAAGTGTTTGTCAACTGTGATCAAGTTGGTTACTGTCACCTAATAAAGTATGTATTTCCATACCTTTGGATGTGAAGCAGGGGGGGAATAACATGTTTTCCTGTGTTGGGGAATATGGATTCTCTTGTCAAACTATTTGTGATGCTAATGTTTTGTACCTGTCCTCTTGTTAATTAAGATGTGCATATTCTTGATGCAAGAGAAATATAAAAGCAAATTATTGTCGTGTGCAGTTCTGTGTCGCAGATGTGTATGAACTTTCAAAAAGGGAATGGTATAAAAACAGGTTTAAAAGAAATAAAATTTTATGCAACTTCATATCTAATTCCTGGCCTGTGAGTTGATGTCTTATTTTAGGCTGCTGTTCTTTCCAAAACATTAAAGCCGATTTTCTGTGGCCTGAAAGAAGACTGAAGGACAGAGAAAATACAGGAAGACAACAGTTCCATAACAGATGGAATTTAGATTCTTATGGGGCATTTAGATGCCCCATGAAAGAGTGAGTGAATACCACATGCCAATTCCACCTTAAAAACCTAGTGTGGGATTGCTCCTAAGAGGAACAGGAAATGGCTTAGAATCACACACAGGGGAAGTCTATTCCCGGCAAAGAAGACAAATAAGGATGGGAGAATTGGAATAGTGGCAAGAGGAGAATAATTTTTGCCAAAAGGAGCAAGTGTAGATGGGACAGTTGTAAGGCTTGGTTCACAAACCAGCAGATTCCACTTGCAAATAGTCCCTCTCCGGCATGTGCCATAGCCATGATTGCAGTGGCGTAGCGTGGGGGTGCAGGGGGGGCCGGCCGCACCGGGCGCAACATCGGGGGGGCGCGCTCGCACTCGCAGCTCTCTGCCCCTACTAAAATCCACGGGTTAGGGGGCGCAAATTACTTGCCTTGCCCCGGGTGCTGACAACGCACGCTACGCCACTGCATGATTGTGACTCACGTTGAGAAAAAAAAATAGAATGAACCAGCACCTTTAAAAATTAACATTGTGACTTGCAATAAAGCCTTGTAGTTTGGTTTCATGGCCAGATTGCTTTATTGGCGTAAACCATAATGTCTACTTCATGCATGGAAATCTTCCTTTTACTGAGTCAGACCACAAATCCATCTCACTTCGTATTATCCACATCGACTAGCAGATGCAAAACGGGGACATTTCCTTGAGATGTTGGGGATTGAACCCACATCCTTTTGCATGCAAACTGACTGATACATGGCCCTTCCTACAGGTCAAATCTTCAGCACTGGCTACCTCTTCTTGATCATACAGTTGGTGCCAAATCCAGGTTTCCTGCCAATTCTTAAAAAGGCCTCAATGTACCAGCAGTTATTACTCATAACCACTTTCCCAAAAAGGCTGCAGAGTTTGGAACTGACGTTACAAAGGTCAGTTCCGTATATTATCATAACCAGTCCTCATACGTATATGTTGGTCCCTGTTTCTTAATTAATTTGAGCAATCAAGATTCCCTGTTAATTTGCTGTGGAATATAGTAGAGCAAATGGATCTTCTACATTTGCCCACTAGGTGGAACTTGAGTATTGATTTAGGCTCTCTCAAACATGTGTTTTCTAGAACCAGTTAGTCCCAGAGTACCCAACTGTCCCAAAGTTACAGACCAGCAGCAGAAACAAAAAAGTCAGTTTTGTTTGCTTATAGGGCTGCTGTAACTTAGGCGATAGAAAACATAGTTTGCACAAATGAGCTCACAGATTCAATTCCGGGCACTGCCAATGATTTATTTTGTATATTTTTTAAAAAATGAATATCCCACACTTCACCCTAAGGTCATAGGGCAAATTATTGCATTTAGGTAGCAAATGCAAGGGACAGCCACAAAATGAAAATAATATATAATTTTTAAAAATATATAAATATGATAAAACAGAAAATTCTCAATTCTGAAAACATTCGCAAAAGTGAAAATGATGTTTAATCTCGGGTTCTGAGTTAAGTTTTTATTCTTTGACATGTAATTTCACTCATGACCTCTGAACTATGCCATCAGAAACAACTGACCTCCTCTGTGAATTCATTGTTTGGAAGAAATCCAGTCTGTCCACCATAATTTTGGATCCCCCCCCCCCATTTCTGCACTAACGTACCATAGTTCCCAGTATATGGTCATACAGGTATGCCTCACTGAGTTCTCAATCGGATAAATGCCTGACAATCAAAGAACTGTCACAACATTAAAATTGGGTAAATGTGTACAATAGAACCTGAGAAACTTCCACACTCACATATCCTATCACAACTTTGCAAGATTATTAACTATCTTCTTGCCCCAGACCTCTTGTTTGCTTTTGGATTTTATTTTATTTTGGCTTGTTGGATAAGAGTATCTAACTAGGACTGGAAAACCCCAGATTCAAACCCAGGGGCAGAGCTAGCTGCTCTGGCACCCGGAGCGGCGGGTGCGGGGTGGCAATCTGTGCATGAGGGTGCCATGGTGATCCGCCCACAGAGTCCGTCTGGCAGATGCAAGCCCCATGCTGCCATTTCAGGCAGTGTGGGGCCCCAAGCCACCGAGTCACTCCCAGGAGAGACGTGTGGCTCGGGCACACTGCAGGCCAGGTAAGTGCCGCCCCCCATGGTGTATCATTTTGTCACCCCCTCAGGGATGACACCTGGGGCGGACCACACACCCCGCACCCCCCTTCCTATGTTCAAACCCCCTCTCATTCCTGGAAGCTCACTGATTGCTCTTGGACCAGTGCCTATCTTTTAACCTAACCGACCTCACAGAATTATTTGTAGGTGTAACAGCGGGGGGGGGGGGGAGGCATCTCTATATGCCACTGTGAGCTTCTTGGAGGAAAGATGGGTTATAAATGTAATATATCTTTAGGATACTCTTTTTCTGGTATAAAGAGATGATAATTACACAGCATTTTGGAGCATTCAACATGCTCCCTTACAACACCCCTCCAAGGCTAGCCAGTATTATTACCAATTTTGAGGAAGGCAAGAAGCTGGAGCAGAGAAAGAGTGTGGCTTGTGAGGTTATGGTCGAAGCAGGATCTGACCTGAGCTGCTTCCCCCAGCGCAATCCTGCGCATGTCACTCAAAAGCAAATTTCACTGAGTTCAATGGGGCTCCCATGTAATTGCAGCCTTCTCATTACTAGGTTTATCCTATGTGTGTGCATGTGTGTGTCGTTTTTTAAAATGATAGGTCATCTTTCAATAGTTACTGAAAATAGGAGGGACGAAGAAAACAACAACCAATGACAAACAACAACACAGGACTACTTACAGTATGTTTAAAAACTGTCTCTATTAAGCTGCCCATTAAAGTCCATTTAAAAGAGACAATGGCCAAAACTGGAAAACTTCTGTAAGGGTCACACCAAGAAATCTCTCTCTTGGTTGTGGCCACTAATCTGAAAGATTTATGTGTGGCAAATCTTACAGAGCAGGAAAGTACATTTGTGAGAAGATGCTCCTGCAAGTATCCTGGCCCCAGATGACAAAGGGCATTTAAAGATAAGCGTCAGCACCTTGAATTTGGCCTAGAAGCAAACTGGTAACCAGTAGGTCTGGTCTTAGATGTTTCCTCCAATGAAGGCAGAACTTGCCAATCGTTTGGGGCTAGTGGGTACATTTGGAAGTGTGTGGGGGCCAGCTTCAAAATGGCTGCCATATAAAGAAATGGAGCAGTAAGACGAGCAAACATTAAGGAATAAATAAATAAAAAGATTGTCCAGTAGCACCTTAGAGACTAACTAAGTTTGTTCTTGGTATAAGCTTTGGTGTGCAAGCACACTTTGTCAGACCAACGTGGCTACCTACCTGAATTAAGGAAGGAGTTCTGGATGGAATATTTACTAAACCTTTCATGGGAATCATAAGAGGCAGAGGAGCCACCTTCTGGGGCGGAGGTCCCTTTGGCCTCCCCGATAAAATATTTGAGGGGGCTGCCACCCCCCCAGTTGATAGGCATTCTCATTCAAAGAGTGAGCATGTGTCATGTCATGTGGTTGATCATGACCTGCCCCCCCCCCCCAATATTTTATTCAAGTTGGCACCCCTGATAAGAGGTCCTGGTGAGCACATCATTGGTTCATTTATCTCAGTACTGTCTACTGGTAGCAGCTTTCCGTGGTCTCTGCCAATCCCACCTTGGAGATACTGGGATTTGAACTTGGGAATTTCTGCTTGCAAATCAGATGTACCACCACTAAAATGCAGCCCTTTCCCACCATATACGGAGCCAGAGCATCGATCCAGTGCTGTTTGCTCTGACAATTGCTCAGCAAGCTCTTGTCTGAGTTCCTCAGACAAGAGATGCCAGGGATCAAACATCAAACCATATTTATGCATTCCATATGATGCCACAATCCCATCGCCGGAATAAATAGCTCACAATCTCTTGAAATCCCAACAGCATTTGCAGAGCAAGGGCACTTCCAAAACTAGCTATTCACTGTCTATTTCTGTCCTGTGGAACCTGTAACTATTGTAAATATTGACGAAGCAGATAATATTTGAGTCCTCCGAGACAAAAGGAACAGATTTCATTGTTACAGCAAAGGCTTTCCCTCCACATGTTCCCAATTTCCCATGCTAAAATGGGTTACATAAGTTCTGTGTAGTGGGCCGTTATTCTAAAAAGCTGTCCTGAATTAATGGTGAAATGTAATTAAAAGCTAGAAATAGTTTTGGAGAGACAAGGGGAAGTTCTGCAATACTTTTTCACACACACACACACACATTGCACAATTCTAAAAATGTCACAGATTTCCATTGCAGCAGCTGGCAGAATTTTGGGAGCTCACACGTGATTGGTTAAGCTTCCAGGTTTAAGCTTGCTCAAAGAGTGTTTGTGCCTTATTTCCCCACCCCCAGCCACATTACAGAATTATACCTATCCTATGAGTCCTGTAGCTGAATGGTTGCTAGCCACTATATTTCAAGATTAGCCTGAACTCTAAACTTTGGTTAATGCTAAACAGCTGTAAATGGAAAACTGAAACAAAAGCTCTCACTCTCGTCCTTGCACCTACTTGTGATCTGTGCCTTCTACCTGTTGCTATTGCTGCCCTTGTCATTCATTCTGAGTCCAGTCCTTACCTGCAGGTTTCTGCATCACCTTATCCATTCATCAGAAAACAACATCAGTGCTGATAACCACAATTTAGGTGGGATTTTTCTCTCTTTTTTTTAAGGGACGCAGGTGGCGCTGTGGTCTAAACCACTGAACTTCTTGGGCTTGCCAATCAGAAGGTCGGCGGTTCAAATCCACACTACGGGGTGAGCTCCCGTTGCTTGGTCCCAGCTCCTGCCAACCTAGCAGTTTGAAAGCACACCAG